GCGCAAGTCTCAAATCGGCTAAGCAATCACACTGAACAAATAATCCATTTTAGAGGGATAAACAGAAACATATACCCCATTATATTGGGTCAGCAGATGCAGCGAAATGTAACAGTATCATTGTGCAACCGCTATCCACACTACCAGAAATAAAGTGACCTGATCACGATTTAGTACCACAGACAATCAGCAGGTCTTCAGAGAAAAGTACATTACAGTTATTTTCTCCAGGCATGTTACAAAGTTATAGATGTTTCAATTGCATTAAAAAATGGATCAAAACATGGTTTCATTTCACAAAATGCTTGACCTTGAAAAGCTAAGGACAAAGCTAAGATGTTTACAGCCGTTTTCTCCACAAACAAATGTTTAGTCCGGTGCTGTGAGATTTATCCAGACACGTCGATGTGATAGACCACAAAATGTACTAGTGAGCAAATGATCAGGGAAATATGAACAGGAATAATAGGATTTGTGACATTATAATGACTGGGACTTATTAGACTTATAAGACTGCTGAGCAAGTCTGTAACTTAAACAGGGTACATCAATTATTCCGATATGACCAGATATAACGATGACGAGTTGATGAGACGATCAATTTGACTTCTTCCTCATTCATTTCACATGTACTGTATGTGTAGATTTGTTGAGAGCCACTAACAACTCCACGAATTATGGATTTTCCCAGCGACAGAACATATTAGGGGATCTGAGAAGCAATATGAGCAAATCTCCCTCTTCATTCACGCCGGTCCTGTTTAATGAATCACTGGGAGATTGCCCTCACTGTTGCCATTAATCAGAGCTTCTCCGCTGCTGATTGAAGAGGGTAATATTAACAGGAATACCAATGAGTGGAAGAATGTGCGAGGGAGGAAAAAACGGCAGAATAACTCACAGCCGAGTGCCGCGTGCAGTCCAAACACACCCTTGTCTCATCCTTACAAGGAATTAAGTGCATTACAATTTGCTCTGCTGTGAGACCGATAACACATTGAATCTGGTGCATTAGGAGCCGCACGTTGCGACGCTAAGACACCAAACACAAATTGTTTCATTGATTGAGGAAAACTGAGCCAGGCTTGAGGGAGCATTTGATTCATGAATTGAATTTGTAAAGGTGTCAATGAACGCATGTCTCTATACCATGAGGTAGAAACCGTTGAGGTTTGTGGGATGTCATTTTTTCATCAGTACTGGATTCATACGGATGTTGTTTTTGGCCTTTGCAAGAAACTGCAATTGATTTTTGAAGAGGTGGGGGCCAAGAATATTATGGGAAATGTCCTTATTTGCCTTCTTGATGGGTGTTGGATGAGAAATATTCTCATTTTGCCAACAGAAAAGAAAGTGAAAGTGAATAAAAAGCTAATTATTACTAAAGAATATTATAATTATGTTTACAATAGAGCAGGTCTACAAATGTATATATTTGCAATTAGAACATGGATGGGGACAGGGGAGGGGTGGTGGGGGGCTGTACTGCATCACCTAACATTTGGTATAATTTAATTTAATCTGGAAGTTGATGGACTATGATGAATCGCCTTGGGAAAGAGGTGCGTGTAACTACATTTTTTGCACAAAGCTGATATCCTTTCTCTAAAACTCAAGGACACACACAATTCCTCAATGACTGCACACTGCAGAGTACAGCATGGCCATCACACAGAGCATTCCATCATACTGTCACTCACATCTGCTGCCCGTTCTCATTACCGCTGCCTCACAACCCCCCCCCCTCTCTCTCTCTCCTTAAGGCCCCCTGCAGCCGAACCCCAGTCGTTCCTCTCCTCCTTCCAGAACCGTCCGCATTTCTTCTCCCCTCCCTTCACGCTATTCAAACGTCCTTCCGTGCCAGCAAAAAGACAAACACGTTTCCTGGGGACATGGACGCGGCGTGGAGGCCGCTGGGCCGACGCGCTCCGACACCGTGTCCTCCGTCCTCCGGGCCTCTGACAGCATGTTAGCAGTCTGAAGGAAAAAAAAAAAAGTGCTCGAGAAGTGATTTTTTTTTGGGGGGGGCACGTGCACACCGGCCTGTGGAGACACAGACGGCAGGTCATCCGTTTTTTTTTCTACTCACCTTCCCCTGAACCTGTGTACATGGATTAATGGAAAACACAGTTTTTGCCTTCCCACAAATTTCTGCAGTATTTGCTGCAATCTCCTGCTGCCCCCTCAAACCCACCGCTTCCAGAGAGGGATAAATGACAAAAACCGTGTCTTGTCTGGTGATGCAAAGAGGATAATTAGGATTCACGAACACAGTTTGTCCTCGAAAGCGAATCACTTCCCTGTTGCTCAGGGGGGCTGCAGAGGCACAGATCGTTTTATATATCAGCACCTAGCAACTGGCAGATGGACTGAACTTTAATGCAGGCTGCCAAAGCCGATAGGACACTGCAGGACTGCAAAATGAGCTGTGATGATTCCTCTGCTGAGGCCAACAAGAGAGACGTACCTCATTAAGATGCGCGGCATCCTCGAAAGGCGCAGGCGCACTTTACAGCACCGAGTCGCTGCCATCCAACAAACAGGCAGTTTGCAGCCAGAGGGATGAAAACCGCAAACTGGCCAGGTTGGTGAGTCTAAAGTGGTAGAACGTCAAATGGAAAATATAAATAATATCCAGTGTTGGCCATTGATAAAGTGGTAAATACTCTGACATAAAAAACCAAAAACAGCGACGCCTTAAGACATCTATTGCCGCCATCGATATGAGCACGTGGGGGAGAGAGAGAGAGAGAGAGAGAGAGAGAGAGAGAGAGACACGGGTCATTATAACTCCACCTGTTGCGGGTTCGCAAGCCTGCGTCGCTCACCATCTCTCATGAATCCGACAGAAGAAACGCCTTTTTTTGTAGAGAAATATTCACATTACAAATGTTCCTAAAGGAAATCAGAGGTGAATATCTTCCCTTTTCTTTTCGTATTTGCCATTGATTTATTTTAACGTTTATTTCTTCCAAAACTAAAATCCTGCATTGTTTTTTATTACTGTTATGTCATCTTCCTTAAAATAAAAAGAGAAAAGAGAAATATTTTCACTCATCAACAAACAACAGAACACCAAGGAGGAGATGTGCACATCAGAGAAACGGCAGAAGAAGGAGGAGGCGAGGAAGAGGAGGAGGAGGAGGAAGAGGAGGTGAGCGGGACAAAGACAGAGGCAGAGTCTCCTGGGACGGACCAGAGGGGCCGTGGAGAGAGGAGCTTAATTTCCCGGCACCATCTGCTACCGTAGCCCGGGTCGCAAAGCTCCACTTATGTCAAACCTCCCACAACCGAACACCAGGGGAGCCGCCGAAGACCCCTGCCGCCGCCTCCTCCTCCTCCTCGGTCCCCTGCACAGGATACCTCCTCCACACCTATGCAAACCACCCACCCACACACACACACACACACACACACACACACACGTATCCTCCACAAAGGAACCAACACACACACTTCAGAGGAGATAAATGAATGTGCCGTTATCTGGGTCATGGAGGGGTTTGAGATTCTGTACAGGAGAAGAAAAGGCATGAGTACCCGGGCACCGCCTTGTTAGAAGCACTTAGTGTTCTCCGGGAAAATGAATTTTGCTTTCATTTATTCATGAATATATGAAAGAAAAGCAGCTTCATGCGAGGTCACCGTCCACCCAATGGGGGTCGTGATCCAGTTACTCCGGTTTGTAACTCCGGTGTCGCGGGGTTGAAATGATCTTGATGAACTGTTGTTCCGTGGTAGCCGGCTGGCATCGATCGAAGCAAAGCCCAAAGGAACCGCTGGGTACAAATATAGGCCCCTCTGCCGGGGAAACAAGGGCCCACAACTCAAAATGTGTCAATGGAAGTGCCTCCAAGCCAATGTTCTTCCTCTCTTCCCAAGCGTTGGTGTGAAGGGTCTGGCTGACTTTGTGTAGGCATGGAAATGTCAAATTGCAGGGAAGAAGACAATTACATGTGTGCTGCATGGAGCTGAAGTGCAGAACCAGATAATAAAGCGAGAGGAGTGTTACTGGCAAGAAATTGAAAGTCAGAAAGTGACATTTTCAGCACTCTAGTGGGGCAGATTTCTTTCATGGAGAGAGTACTTGAAAGGTTTCAGCTCCTGCATCCACAACATGGAGGGAACAGTGGAGTCCATGAAAATACAGGAGACGTATGTGTGTGTGTTACCCTGAGGAGAACATTCCCCAGCATTTCAGTCACTTCTTTTACACGCGCTCTCTGGTGGTTTCTATGCATCTTGTGTGAAAAGGTCACGCAGCAGAGGGTCATTATTGTTTATAAACAGGAAGTGGGAAACGACCACGTGCAGACGAGCGTATCCAGCATTTCTTTTCAGCCTTTGGTAATTCCGTTTAGTGTTTCCAACTGGTTGTGCATTTTCATAAGCGAGGGGAGTCCCCATGTGGCCGGTTTAATTACTACAGTGAAATATTTAAATACAATTCAAACATGACTAACTGGTGTTCAGATAAAAGGTTTCTGGTCCTGACGAGACAAACTACCAATAAGAACATCATTCAAAAGAGTCGCGATGTATAGAATAGAAAAGAAGACCCAAGTGGTCAGCCTGTGTGGAGGACGACTACGTAAATCACATTTAATACAATTAGAAGCACTTTATAAACCCAGTACCTAATTTATTAGCAACAGTATATAAGTGAATGACTGGTTATTCAGCTCCTAGCGGTAAAGTCCCTGCAGAGCCACAGTCACATCAAAAGAAGTAGTTTGTTCAAGTCAAAGGACAGACGACGTGCACCGACAAGCCAGTCAGGGTTTCTTACAAATGCAACACACTGATGTCGGGATCGTGCCAGTTGCTTGAGGACGGCGGTCTGATAAACCGAGTCACTGAGCGGAAATAATGGCCGCCAAAATTACCTTTTAGAGACACCCTCAAATATACAGACTAGATTTACAGCTATAGGCAGACAGATACAAGCTCAACGCACACATATAGATATCTATATTATATGATAAATGAATAAACCCCAGTGTTTTTTCCAAAGTTTATTTGATGACAATATACAAGAACATCTTGAGCACGGAGTCCCTCCCTGGTTGTCCGCTCTCACTGTGAGGAGGAAACGGTACAATTAATGACAGACATTTAATTCCTACTACAAAAGAAACTTCCAGAACAATGCATATAATATTAGGTTGAGGACCACACACTGAGCAAACAAAAACTTAATTTAGGCAAGACCAATAGTTTTAACCCAAACATCTTAGTCTGAAGATTCGTAAAACATGACTGGACTAGGACGTGTTCGGGAAAGAATTCTGTGAAAACTGTACATATTGGCAGGCTTTTAGTTCGAACCACACTCAACATTAAGAATGTAAGAGCCACATGCTACTCAGGTTCTGCTTCTATTGACCAGAGATCTGAAGCATCAAAGCACTCGTGTCTGTTTAAATGTACGGCAGGTTTGAGAGCCTAATGGAAAGGCCTATCGTAGTGCTACAAAGGAACGGCAGAGGGAAAAACCTATTAGCCGGGAGTTTGAAAAGACATGTGTAAGTAGAGGCTGGAAGGAGAGGGGGGGGGGTCACTGAAGGAGAAATTGCATGGGTGGGTAAGGCAAGACATGCATAGCACAGCTTAGGCCTTTCAGCATTTGATGTCCAACACAATGGCACACCATGCTTGTTCAGCTTCTATACCTGCACACTGACACTTCACTTCTGCAAAAGAAATCCATGGGAAGCAAAATCAAGAGCAGAAGACGGAAAAAAGGTAATGTTAACAGTTGAAAATAAAAACATGAGAGAAAATGATTTGTTGCATCTGTACTCGAGTCAGTTCGAAGCAAGCCAATAACGATAAGAGTGTCAATGTTTAGCAGAAACAGATTAAATACAGCTGTGTTTTGTCATTTGGGTTTTATTCTAGGCGAGTTTAGAACAGTTCACGAACACTACGTTTTAAAGTCTACTCTTTTCGCTGACGGCTCTCACATCAAAACAGCGTATAATAAAATACTATTAGCGTTCAGGTTAAGCTAGTAATTATTAGTTTCAAGAGAAGGCTATGGCACGGGTGGTGGTGGGAGGGGGGCATCAAGGGTGGCTCTCGTATGGGTATGTGAGGGGGGGAAAGGAAGGAGACGGCTACGTCACTACTGGATTGTCTGCACACTGCAGGTGGTTTATGCACAACTGTTACCTTCTACAGTTCCCAAAGATAATTGGATATGATCGGAAAGATGGAAAAGGAAATGAAAAAAGTAAGAATTGGGAGAAAAATAGCAATGATTAACAACATCTGCAAAAAATGATCCTTGTTTTTTAACCCTTAATTTAGGACAGACCAAAAATATGTTCTATTTTCCCGTGGTATGCGCTCTAAGGACATTTAGTCAACAGAGCTGACCGGAGACGCACACGTTTAATGACTGTTCTTAAAGTACGTAAAACGGTCACATTACCTTTTTGCCAGCAGCGCCCACACTGGCCTTTTTGGTGCCTCGTACTTTCTTCATTCTGTTCTTGCGTTCCTTGCGCTGTTTCCTTGAGGTCTTCTTTTTCTCATAGAGACCATGCTAAGAACAAAAACCAACACAGGTTTAATTGGACTCGATACTTTGGCCATCATAACCGTGTGATGTTAATACATTCACAATTTCCACATCACTTTAAAGCGAACGTAAAGTTGTCATTTTACATGCATGAGTTTATACTCTAAAATAGTTCTATCTTTTAGGGAACAGTTTCCTACTATAAAGTGACGTGGGGTCACAGCAGCGTGCGGAGGGGCCGGTAATCAAACCACCAACATTGTGATTAAAAGAACAGCCTACGGAACAGAGTCAAAGACACTACCAATATCGCCAACCCATAGGATTACATTGGTGGCAGACAGACATTTTTAGCAAACTAGGTGTACTGGACCATAACATGGATTAGGGGCAGCTAATCACGAGAAGCTGTGACAAACACTGAATTGTGCTTTGTAATGATTATAGTAATTGAGGGTCTATATTGGGCTTTGGCAGGTAACAGTTAAATAAAAATACCTAAAATATGGGCACATACAAAAGGTCACCTGCTTTCAAATAACTGGCCTATTCCCACATAATCCACCATTGATGTGTGTCAATGGATATGCTTTTTATGGTATAACTTGTCATACCAGGGTGCTTGACTTGACATGGACTCAAAAAGGGACAAGACTCACTCTGGCCAGTCTGTGTTTGGGCTCATTCTTCTTAGCGTAGTCTAGGGAGTCGTAGACCATTGCAAAGCCGGTTGTCTTGCCGCCACCAAACTGAGTCCTGAAGCCAAATGCGAACACGACATCAGGGGTGGTCTTGTACATCTTGGCGAGCTTCTCCCTGATTTCAGTCTTTGGGACTGTGGCCTTGCCAGGATGCAGGACATCGACGACCTACAGGGAGGAAAGGCCCGTGAATACATGACTGCATCACAGATGCACACAGTTAACACTGCCGAAGTGTTCAAAACGCTTACCATTTGCTTCCTCTGAAGGAGACGGTTCGTCATGAACTTGCGGGTCCTGACTGTCACTGTGTCATTCTGGAGGTGGGAGAAAGCAGAAGGATGGACAATATTCAACAACTTGTTAGTCTGGAACTACGGATCTCAATATAAACAAATAAAAAAGGCACACGATCATTGCATTGCATTTTGCCTCTCCAGGTTCCATTGACTAACCGGCTAATATGACGTTAGCACCTATACGCTAACCAGGAAATGCATAACGTTCTGATTCTGATAACGTTCTGCTTCCCCCGCCTCGATTCATCTTAATCTATAAACCACTATGTGCCAGTTGACAAAGTGAAGTAATTCTACAGCAGTTTAATGCCCTTGTTCGTGCAACATGAGGGCCTCGCCATGGCTCCCGCTGTAATACATGCTAACGTAAGCCGCAGGGAGCTAGACTCTGTTATTGAAATCTAATAAGGGTCTACACGCGTTTGGGAGTCATTTAAGCAACCGTGTAGTTTGACTAGTATGCGTTGCGAATAAAAGGCCTTTAAAACAGATAGTGGAAAGTACATATTCCATCCGAAAGGAGGTAAATAGACTGTTGATGGCGTCCAGGGGAGCAACTGGGTTAGCATTTGGATGCTGACGCTTAATATCAGTTCAACTAGCGTCAAACCTTCTCGATATCGGGATTATACTGTAGTGCACACTTAAACCAACACTTATGGGGAATGTAATGGTTTAGGAATATCGGATGGCCTCGATGATGAACGGATTTTACTTAATAGTTGACCACCAGACTCACCATCTTTGACGCCGTGCTCGCTCAGGGACGTAGAAAAGGAGGAAGGACCAGCAGGCGACCGGATTAATGCCTGCACAAAATCATTTAGGTACGTCCTTCTCCTGCCTGCTGCAAAAACGTAAACATAACGTTAATTTAAGAACTCGGCGGAATTATTTTATTGTTTTTCTTACAGCAGGCGTAATACAGAGCCTATCAGATTTATACGACTTAACCGTTTAATTTAATACGTTTGCGTATTTTGATAAAACCTGATGCGTTTTTCCGACCGCCAAACCTTACTTTTGATTTCTGCGTTCATGCTGACAAATCAATGGACTGCTTGAAGTTTGAGATAAAACACAACCTGGGTTATTTAGATGAGCAAACTGTAAACGTGTAAAAGTACTGTGGCTATACAGACCTGTTTGGAAAACGTCAACTGCAGTTCATTTATTTACCACTAGACGTCAGTAGTACGCGTCTGAATAATAAAGTCAGTACCATTTAGTTAGAGGGATCAGGAAGCAGTATGTCAATAACCACAGTATCCTTGTGTAAATGCACAGCATAATTTTGAACGCGTATGTCATGCCCCAGTTATAGTGGTCCAGGGCCATGAATTGATGTGGAGCTGCCAGACACCTTCATGTTTCCATAGACTATTGTAGATTGCACATGGCAGACTATGAATGGCAGCTTTTTACTGTGCCTGGAATATTGGCCAAAAGTCCCTTCTACGAGACAGTATATTTTGTCCTGCAGTGTTGTAATTCTGCAATTAATCAAAATATCAAAAAAAGTAAATATTTCACTTACACCATTTTATTATTTGATCGACTTGAGCATAGGTTTAAAAGTTTACAACTAACAGTCTTTGCACATTTTTAGTCGGTCTGCCTGACAAATATATCGAAAGAACATCCCACATAGTTTACTACTGCCTCTACCGTTAAAAGTCTTGTGAATAGAGAAATTAATCGGTGCTATAACAAAGTGTATGTGAAGAGATTATATTTTTTGTTTGCTAATGATTACTAGTGATGTGACATTTTGGATGTGAAAAGAGAGCTGCGCTCTGTTGCACAGCATGAATCAGTGTTACAAAGAAAACATAATGAGAAATATCAACATAAGAATATTGGACGCCACTTAGTCACGTTCACTGATTCCCTCCATGTTTGTGCCACATTAAAAAGAAATACCAAACAGGTAATTAAAAACACAACATCTTATTTACTTTGTTACAGAACTTTATTGATCTTGCAGCAACAGAGTCCACTGGCATTGGAGTTTCATTTAAAATAAGGTACTTGAAATAAGAGCAGAAAGTTACAGTAAGTTTTGGTGCAAATCACCTTCAACACACAATGTTAAGCCCTCATTGCCAAACCAAACTGACTTGAAATGAATCTGCAATCTGAATTATAATGCTGCCAAATGTTGCCAAAATGTTTAACGCAAATTGGGTTCAAGCAACCCCTGAATGTAGTGTTCACGAAACGAGGCCAGAATAAAATACGTAGCCAAAAAGAAAAAGAAGAAAACCTTTGATAGACATCCTTTGAGCCAGTCACTGGTTCCCCTCGTTTAAAGAAACTAACTGGTGTTTTGAGTAAAAAAACTTCATGGTGATTGATTTTCCAAGTGAAGAAATGTTGCTTGGACAATTAACAGACGGGAATGTGTCTATGATGGTGTAACACAAGCAAACAAACTTTAGGAAAGGAATTTAGACTAAATGAGCTCATGGAGTTCTTTAAACCATCGCTATCTGAACTCCAGAATCCCCAAATGAAATGTGTGCTGCCACTCACAACTTCACACCTGCTGGAGGAAGGAAGAATTATTAAAAAAAAAAATAAATAAAACTTATTTGCTTTGCCAAATTGCCAAGAACAATGTTACTGTCACAGTGAAAAAATAAACATCTGTTGGAAAATACAACTCGATGGCTAGGAACCTAATTGTAGTTACTGCATTTGATGTAAAGTAAGGCATGGACAGACGTGACACATTGGAGGAATAGGGTGATGTCCGGCGGGTCGAGGACACGGGGAACCTGATGTAAACAATGTCTTCTGGTTCATTGACACGTCATCCAAAGGCTCGACATTGCTGATGATGCCCAAGTAATTAACCTCAACACCCAGAAATTGCGTAAAAAAATAAGAATGCATATAAGACAATTTTCAAAAATCTTATTTTTCACCTGAAAAATGCTATCGTGATATTAACCCTTTCCACAATCTAATTATTGATCTGGTCTGGATAATAATAAACACCTGATGTTGCAGAGTAAAACCTAATTTCTTTAATTGATCCAATCATGAACAAAAAGTGTCAATAAGGGAAAGTGAATTGACTTTTCTCAGGAAGAGGAAGGTGTAAACACAGTTTCTATGAAGGTCACATTAGCGATATTGTTATGCTGTTCTGAAAGTTAATTGCCATTGAAAATCTTGTTTTTAATTACGAGGTTTATAATTAGATTCAAGTGATAATAGGAAAGACAATAATTTGATGACAACAAAATATAAGATTAATTTGAAAAAGTTGGAAGGCTTTTGTTGGAAATGGGAATTGAAATATTGGAAAGGCATTTTCACCTAATCACAGAATAAAAACAAAAAGCACATCCCTTTGCATTCCTTCACAGGAAACTTAACTGACTGAACAATCAATTTTTAGATTGTGGGGTTTTTCAAGTCATTCAGAAAAAAAGACAATAAAATCCCTTAAACAAGTTGTCAAGGGTTCTTAAAACAAAACCATGATGAATATCAAAGATTTTGATTGATTCCAAGGCCAGTGCTTCCTCTTTCAATTAACGTCAGTTTCATAGTGTGCTCCGCTCACAGAAAGCTGGAAGACGAGCGCTGCAATCTGCTAATTGGACCAAGTGTCTGGGTACAGAATATTCAGGCCGGCTTCCTCATTGTGTGGTTTGTACAGCAACTGGTAACCATGGAGATCTATACAAATAAACATGATTTCCAGAGTAGACGTATGCGTGACACGCAGAATCCCCGTGGTTTACAAACATTACATTCAGCTGCGAGACAGAGAGCTAAAGAAGATGGCTGCCGTGAGGGCTCACAACATTGGTTTCTACAAGCCAAGCCACTGGCACGTGGGGATGCCAGGTCATTTGCTTCGTGCTGGTGTGTCTCCAGTCTGTTAGATGTCCATTTCAAACTGAGCATCATCCCCTTGAAAGGAAAGCAAAGGCAACACGGTGTTGAGGCATGTCTGGAACAGAGCTGAGTGGTTTAATGGCCGAGGCGGTTATTAAAGAGGTGCACTGTGCGATGCCCCGTCCGCGCGCTCCAAATAAAGGAGCCTCTTTTACTGGGTGTGTATATAATCTAAGTCTACAGTAATGGGCTGTAAAAAGAAAGCCAACATGTAACTAACGGCAAGGCAAGAATAAGAAAAGTTCAATCAAACTGCTGAACCTCTGAAGGAGGGTAAAAATATAAACGCTACGTTATAATCATCACGTGTGGAGTTGGCCTTTGGTTTACATTGGCCATCTTTGACATAAAGTCATGACTGAAGTCTCTTCACATTCTGTTCATCATGTTTGATGAACCATTGGACCGTGAAGTGGGATAATCATAGTACATACAGAGTAAGTGTATGTGTCACATGATGGAGAAGGAAAGGGCTGCTGATGACGATACCGACAAAACACTCTCTGTTACATAAGAAGATCTCTTGATCAATATTGTAACACTTACCGGTTGCAGGTTTGCCGTCATGTTTGATGATGTGCTTGTTGGCTTCGTTCTTCTTGTTCTCTCTCAGGACATTTTGGCTCGTCACTCCAGGGATGACGGGCAGGTGAGCCGGGGGAGTCTGGGCAATGGGGGAATTACGCCTGTCAAGCAGGAACTTGCGATCATAGATGATTCGGGTCCCTGAAAAAAATAAAAATATATAATCACATATAAGTTGCAGTAACTCATTGTCTTTAGTGGAGGAAGTATGGAATGAGGGTCCTATAAAAAGGTGGTGGTCAAAACGCTGGCTTTCATCCAGAGGGCCCAAATTAAAGCAGGGCTCTGATAATAAAAGCAAATAAATTAAATGAACCCAAAAGAATCTAAAGAAAAAAAAGGAAACGTGAAAGAACATGGACCACTCAGTCGAGTCAGTGACTCACACACTTTTAATTTAGCCTTCTTAGGAAACAAGGAAAACATCCAAACTGGTAAACTGCCTCACTGTTTCCTTTCCCACATTCGCTCAAACTGTCAAGAATTGATGCACATAAAAGACACAAGGTTCTGATAGTGAAAGATACTTTTTCCCAGTTGGATTTGACCCCCAACTTTGCCACATCGTCTTTTTCCTTGAAATGTTGAAACTTCCGCTATCATGTAATGTACATGCGGTTTGCTTTTTAACATCACAGCACTTGTGTATTTAAATGTGTTATTATTATTCATTTATAACTCCGACATAAAACAGTTTGGCTAACCGTTTTCAAGGCAGAAAAAAAGGAACGCATGGGTTTACATATTAACGATGGCTCAGTTACAGGTTATTGCATTGTGGTGTAGCAATTATTTGAATCATAACCTGTTTGACTGGTGTGTCTGTCGATTCCAACGGTTGTTTAGGTTTCGCTTTGCTTCACACTTTTCTCAGGTTATTGCAATTGCTCCATGACCTTTGCAAACCATTGCTTTACAAAATACTTACGATAATAAAACTCCTGCTTATCTGAAGTGGACATTTGCTGCCTTTTCACAGGTTTGTATTATTGTAAACTTAAACGTATTTGACATTTACACTGTAATGGACATACTTGTATAAAAAAAACCCCACAATGACATAAACACTTATAACATTGACATACATTGTCTGTGCAGATATGAAGCACTATAGGAACACAGTGTTCAAATCACAAGGCGATGAGTATGTATGGGTATGCGGTCTTGATGTATAGCACGTCCTCGTCTGAAAGGAACTTCTATGCAATAACTCACATATGGAATCTAACTACACTGACACATTCATTATTAGCTTTAAGTTGCCGCACAATGCACTTATCAAAATCTCTGCGCTGCAAACCAGCCAATCAGATAGCCGCGAGGGCGAAGAGGGGGCGGGGCTTCTCTTTGTTTTTGTTTTGATCGCGATGACACGGTAGGCCACGGTGACATAACACAGACGTTTCGGTGAAAACATCTCGCCCGCCATCCATTTTCGTTTGTCAAATGAAAAAAAGAAAGACAGGTCGCCGTTGTCTTACCCCCGGGAGTGGTGGAGAATAAAGTGCCTCCGGGGGTGGTGCAATAGTCATGAGGTAGCTGCGTTGTGTCGTTGATCAACACCGTCCTGGTCGGGATGGCCCTGCACTCGCTAAGCTGACGACTGGTCGACATTTTTCTGCGCCGATGACGGAGACGAATCTGGCAGAAACGGGAAATGTTTGCAGGTGTTTCTTTTTTTTGACCCCCGAAGGACGGTGCAAACCCCGGGGCCGATTCCCACTCTCTTCTCTCCCCTGAAAGCTTTCTGGTCTCTCCGGTCGTCCTCCCAGCCGTCAGCAGCGTCCCTCAGCAAAGGCAGGAAGCGCGGAGAGCAGTGGGCGGATATGACGTCAGCGGCGCGGAGCATCAGCCCCACTTTGTGTCCCTCGATGCATAGCGCATATGTGTGCTTTTTGGGTCAGCCCAAGCTTTGCCACGTTGCCCACACGGAAAAATGGCTTAGAACAGGCAAAACAACCCGTGCCAAACAAGAGATCGAAACATTAAAGCTAAGGAGCGTCAATCAATGGCAGCATACTACTTATTAGAGTCCCTACGTCTATTATACGTCTATTATAAGTGGTGAAATACATACATGGTCAAATGCAGAATAACACAAAATGATCACATTTACAACGGTAAAATCCTGCTTTTACATCAATGCTTGGTTATATGGCCATTCTTTCGGAAATGCATTGTTTACTTCATATATATATATATATATATATATATATAGGTACATATATTATTATGTTTAGATACTTTTGCTTTAGCACTACTTTAGCACCATACTGTCAATGCATGTCCCCAAAAAAAGACTATGTTGAGTTTCCACAGACTATCCAATTTTAAACTAATTAAAGCACATGGACCCCCCGCCACCTCCTCCTAATTTGTCCAGATTTATCAAGATTATTTAAGCACAAAGCCAGAATCTGTGAACTACAATATTGTAACATCGGTCGTCTTTGGACACATCGTGAGAAGATCCGAAAAAGAGGCAAAAATTAATTCTAAAATCAGATTTAATCAAACATTTTACTATACATGTCTCATATGAGATAAGACAAGATAATCCTTTATTAGTCCCACAGTGGGGAAATTTACAGGATTTATAGCAGCGTAGAGGTTAAAGCCTCGCCCCAAATAAAATGTTTTCCTGAATACTGTAAAACACTACAAAGTACAATTATGTGTACCTTTATCATTATTACTAAGCCATAATGAACTCGCCTTATACTTAGAGTCACATATTCAGTGAGACTTTAACTTACTGCATTGAGGGCAGAGAGCTACAGTTGTGAAGATAATGGGAAAATTACCCCACTTGATTAATTGTAAACATTGTAGAAATTATGTATTGGTCTTCTTCTGTAGTTTCCAGTAATGTATGCTGTATGGATTTCAGCGAAAAGCAAGTCCACAAAGAGCACAATGTAACTACTGGAGATGTAATGGTTTGGCGATAGTAATATCATAAAGATAAGATATGACATAGGTGAGTGCTTGTCATTTCCATTCATAAACATATTGCACATATTTTACTGTGGGAGTGTTTTCCAGTTGTTTGTGGTTTCATACAACGTTAAATTTAAAGGAAGGACTCAGTCTGGAAATGTCAAAATATTTTCAGCACGTTGATCTATTAACTTGCTATACAACCTAAAAGGAAACATCATTTAGTTCATATTTTTATAAACACTATATACTCTGCATACCCTGGCACGTTCATGTGCTAAGTGTTATAATTCCGACGGCTCCTGAAGGCATCAGACAAACAGCGCATGCGCCGTGCCCTTTCTTTCAACGCTACCCAGCACCCGGCGCATACGGCTCTTTCCGCCTACACTCCTCCATCCTAAAGCCAGCGAACCTGCACCCAAACATGAGCTTCACAGTGGAGGAAAGGGGAAACCTCAATTCCCTGAACTACCGCATATTCTTCAGTAAGTAGAAACTGAGTAGAAATGCTTACGTTTCTCGTTAGATACTTTGAGGTCTTTACCACAAATCCTACCGACTAGCGGCGACCTCCCACGTGTTACTTATTTAGTATTAGTGCTGTTTTATCACGTCAGTGATAGTTTGGGGCTGTTTGTTCTCACACAAATCTCCACTAGTCCCGATATTCGTAAAGTCTCTGTTTGAGTCATTTTAAGAGGCGTTGGCGGGTATTGGCGGTTCCCCCGGGGTCCCCGGTGAGATTAAACCGTTTCTTATTTATAGTCTTTAAACTCTAATTCGTCCCCGTCCTTTCTTACCTGGACTTTGGAGAAGGAAGTTGGATATTTCGGGAAATCCAACAAGGTGCTCGCACACGTCATCTGGCGTTAAAGCGTAAAGGCGCTGAGTGCAGCGCCCTCTGTGGTTACACGGTGTCAATGCAGCATTGACATACAGCCTGCATGCCGCGTTCATAAGCTGTTCCTTCTGACTGTTTTACAGAGAATGCTGAAGGAAAGTATGTGTCACCGTTCCATGACATACCAATGTATGCTGATGAGAGTCAGGTATGTAGCACCTGTAAATTCTAACCCAGTAAATGTATGTATGTATGTATACAAATATGTGTATGTATGCATATGTGTGTGCATTTAATTTCTGTACCATTTTAAATACATCACTACTTAACATATAACCTGCAGGGTTAGATATAAAAAAAATCAGCCAGTGGACCGGTTTTAAAAAGGAGTGACGTCATAGTCTGTTTGCTATGGCAATGGCCTTTGCTCTTTATTTTCTCAGTGCTGTGTCAATACTCTCTTGTGATTGCAGTAGATTAAGTTTTATCTAATCTAATGAAATAATTATTCTACCAATGTCTTGCCCAAAGTGATGTCAGTAAAATATGACCATTTGCTGTGTCATCTTCTGCCGGGTCCTGTTTATTTTTCAGAGCAGTTAAAAATATTTATGACAGATTAATTTCTCATTTCTTACAGAACATCTTCAACATGGTTGTCGAAGTACCAAGGTGGACCAACGCAAAGATGGAGGTATGAGTTTCATTTAAGTGTTTTGGTTGGAAAAAGACCTGAAATAAATAATGGTGTTTTTGTTTTACTTTTAGAACTAATCCGTTCTTTAAAAGTAACAGCAATACAATTCTATTTTTTTAGATTGCTACAAAAGACCCCCTGAACCCAGTAAAGCAAGATATGAAGAAAGGCAAGTTACGATTTGTTGCCAATGTTTTCCCACATAAAGGCTACATATGGAATTATGGAGCAATTCCTCAGGTTCGTTTTTTGTTTGTTTTGTTCAATTTGAGTTTCCCCAGAAATTACCAATTTTGAAGCATTTAAAATATACACCAGCAAATGTTTAATGTGACTTCATTCTGCTGGCGTGCTCTGTTCTGCGGCCCTTCAGACATGGGAAGATCCCTCGCACAAAGATGGAGACACCGGCTACTGCGGAGACAACGACCCCATCGATGTCTGTGAGATCGGCAGTAAGGTAAACCGCTAGCCGATGATGTTAGAGCCTCACACAAATGCTTGTCTTCTTTTGCAAGGTCACAAAGCCACGTTGATCATCGATTTCCAGTGTTTTCTTTGTGTGCGTTCATGTAATTGAAGAAAAGCGAATACTCAATAATAAGTCAATGGAAAAAAAATGAACTGCAAGCTGAAATGTGCTGTTTAGGTTCATTCCCGTGGGGATGTAATCAAAGTGAAGGTGCTCGGGGTCCTGGCCATGATCGACGAGGGCGAGACTGATTGGAAAGTGATTGCAATCAATGTAGAGGACCCTGAAGCCAACGACTTGAACAGTAAGAACCCTCATATTTGTGCCTCTGAGTTTTGTTGCAGTCCTGCATCGGTCGTACTGGACTAACGACGTTGCCCTCATGTACGTTCAGACATCGGTGACGTCCGGCGCCTGAAACCTGGTTACCTGGAGTCCACGGTCGACTGGTTCAGAAGATATAAAGTGCCAGATGGGAAGCCAGAGAACCAGTTTGCTTTCAACGGCGAGTTCAAAGACAAGGTGTCCACCCTAACGCACCTAACTCTGCTCTCCTTTTCACTTTATCAAATGGTCCCTTTTTTTAAACTGTTGACCGTGCCGTGATAAAACCTACTTTCAGTTAACTGCTGTCTCTTGTCAAACAGGTGCAAACTTCACTCAAACTAGAACTGAATGTAGTTATAAACATATTATTTCTAATTTAAAAAAACATACTTTCAAGCAGGCACTTAACTGCTTTTTGTTTTTTAGGACTTTGCCATCAAAGTGATCAAGAACACGCACAACTTCTGGAAAGATCTCATTTCCCAAAAGGCCGATGCTGGTGAACTCAACTGGTAAACACTGTTCTTACCCGTTTGACCACAGCTGAAAATACAGCTGTTTTTTTAGGACCAATTATAGCTTCTAAACCATAAATGACTGTCTTATCGTGCAATACAGCAAGAACACGTGTGTCTCGGCCAGTGACAGCCCTTACTTCTGCTCCGCGGAGGAGGCTAAAGCTGTTGTCAGTGGAGTAAGTTAGTTGATTTTGTTGTTCCCTTTCTTTCTTTTTTTTCAACATCTGCCCTTTTCCGGTCGCATAACTGATGTTTAATTGTCATTTTTAGACCAGTCCTCCTGGAGATGAAGAACCCATCCCCTCATCAGGTAGCCTTTCAAAGAAATGTTCCTGTCAATATTATAACGATGTGTATATCTGCCAAACACGATTGATCTGACGCAAGATTGATGTTTTTTTATTTGCAGTAGATAAATGGTTCTACTATGAGCGGAAGTAACCCAGCAGCGGTTTGGATTGGAGCAGTGAAGCAGTGATCTCACGTACTTGTAGATGGTGCCACCAATGTGAAGCAATGTGGGTGTTTGGTTCCGGGCTGGCTGATTCCCTGTAGATGCGTAGATGGAGAGATAATAGTTGTTTACTGTAGGAAATGAAAAGTAATCATGTCTCGACCAAATTAATTTTCGTATTTAATAAAAACTCTTAAGATTTCCTGTCAAAAATTAAAAGTGCTATTCTTGTAGTTACTGGTACCATCATGTATGAGAATCTGAACTGCTTAAATAAAGTTTCTCTGGTTAAATTATCATCAGTTTTGTTTCTTCTTTTTTTTGCAAAACACTCGAAAAAGAGTTTATTCTAAATAAATGAAAGGAAAAAGTTAGGATGCACTAACTTTTCTTTTGCTGTTTTGACCGCACTAGCGGGGCAGTACATTTTGAAAATCAAGTTTTAAATAGGCTTCATCTAAAAAGTCTTAAAAATTTTTTTGTAATTAGGCTGCTACCTAGTGTTTAGTATCCTACATTACCTTTCTAGGTTTTATATATATTAACTGTTTTCACGTCGCAGTTTGTGATACAATCAGTAATTGTTTGTTTTTTGTGATTAACCTTTACTATCGGGTTGATGCGCTTTTATTTTCTTAACGTGGATCAATAAAGAAATTGAGTTATCGTAGAAAATATTATTACAGATTATTGTAACTAGTCTACGCGAGGAAGTCTGTCTGTACTGAATTAATCTTGGTCATCACATTAAAAAAATTAATAAAAATATATTTTTCATTATAACTTTAAAAAGTGTTAACTATTCAGGCCTAAAGCCTATTTAACTAAAGTTAACTATTAGTTAAGCAATACACAATTGTAGGTTTAATGTGTCAGAAATGTATGTATAACATATTTCTTGTAGTAAAACCCTGTTATAAAAGACCGTATGAGTTCATGTTAATGTTTTAAGAATCGCCGGCACGTGCGCTCCCCCCTCTGTACACATGCCTGCTGCCTGGTGACGTATTTCCGGCTAACTGTCAAACCCGTGGGCTACATGACAGCGGACGGGACAGGTTGGACCAAAAACCCACTGACGGCTACTTCACAAGTTCGACAGACAAAGGTAATACTACCAACTCAGAGTTCGATTCGACGCCTTATTAAACTGCGCACTTCGGTTTTCGGTTTAGTTTCCCGCTTTCCTCTAACACTGCGGAGGTTTAGTTAGCGAGTCCTTCCAGATGTCTTTGCGCGCGCGCTGTTTACTAAACGTCTGTTGTCTGTTGACAGCTGATGACGTCGCTGCTGTAGCTTCATGTGACGGGACACACCGTCGCAGTAATGGTGAAAACGGACAGACTTGACTTTTTTTTAATGTTGTAATACCTGCTTTCTTTGTTTGGGAATACTGATTGTAAATGTGCATAAACTACCCGGTGGGATTTCTGTCTGAATGACAACAATACCGCGCGAATAACTCAAATAAACGCTACCTGCCGCGCTACAGACTTCATCCTGTTGGATTTAAACGTCCTCCTTTTATAAATAGGGTTCACAAATGACCCAACACCGAAACACTGTTTGATAAGTAACCAGCAGTGGGATATTTCCCCCTAAGCCTTAGTCACTGAAGGCCTCACTATCCATTGCGAGAAGCACATCAAGTCCCATATGGAGGGACAGGTGTGTGTGTGTGTGTGTGTGTGTGTGTGTGTGTGAGAGAGAACCAGAGGGTGACTGCCAAGATCAAGTGTCCTTGCCACAACCCGTCATAAAAATAGTCAAAGGAAGATCAGTGCAACTTAGTGAGACAGCTAAGAAACTAGCATCTAAAAAAATCTTCTCAAGGCTGTTTGCCCTCCTCTCCTTTCATGCTTTAAAGCTTGAGTGATTACGCAGAGTTTATACATTCCAGCAGAGTAATCCACGGTTGGGAACGATGATTAACAATGAGCTTCAGTGGTAGATTTGTCCCTTTGCAACGCTGCATTAAATGCTATGCTTATTTTCCACCTCACTCTGTCTTGATGGGCTGCGTTGCTTTGCTCATGGGTACTTCGGAGAGGAGGCGTGGTGAAGTTGTGACGTGCACTGTAACTAACGTAACCACTGTCCTGGGCCGTGTTCTTTAATGTTCTAAATGGTGTATTTTATTTCCAGAGAAATGTCTTTCATTTTTGACTGGATCTACAAGAGCTTCAGCAGCGTCCTGCAACTGTTAGGTAAAGTACTGTTTTCACTGTAAATATAAATAATATAGTCCCGCCTTAAGCGCCAGAGTTTTTATGCCGTGTAAAACGATTTGACAAACCCAAATTAAATTGGTTGTAGCTCATGAACCCAACTGAATTATATATTGTGTATGTATACATATTTATCTATTTCTAAAACTATATACCAATTTGAAACGCTTCAAAACACAGATACAGTTGAACTCCCATGCTATCCCTGAACAAGAAAAAAAACACCTTTGTCTGTTATGAGTGTGGGCCTCACTTTCTTCATCTCGCTCTTTATTAAGACCTTCAAGACTGAGGTAAAAGAAAAAAAAAAGGTTTACACTGACCTAATTTATAATGGTTTTTTTTTTTCCTTCTATTCTCAGGGTTGTACAAGAAGAGTGGCAAGCTAGTGTTCCTCGGACTAGACAATGCTGGAAAAACTACACTCCTGCACATGCTCAAAGACGATCGGCTGGGACAACACGTGCCCACTCTACATCCAAGTATACGCAGCAATTTGACACGTTTTCACTTCTGCAGTCAGTTTTGTTTCATCACTCATCTAAAGTCAGCGCTTCCCCTCTGTCCTCAGCGTCTGAGGAGCTGACCATAGCTGGGATGACTTTTACAACGTTTGACCTCGGCGGTCATACACAAGGTAGGAATTAAGTCCAAATGCCGTCTGATGCGCCGGTAGCTGTGTGTACATAAATGCCGGAATTGTGTGTTGCTCTCACAGCACGACGGATCTGGAAGAACTATCTCCCTGCCATAAACGGAATAGTCTACATGGTGGATTGTGCAGATCACGAGCGACTAGCAGAGGCAAAAGTTGAACTGGATGTAAGTCAATCATGTTGGTTTTCACCTGTTCACGACGTTCAGCTCAGGTCTCTTTTAATGTACATTCGAAACCCCTTCTGTCTGCAGGCCTTGATGACGGATGAAACCATCTCAAACGTCCCGGTCCTCATCCTGGGGAATAAGATCGACCGCCCTGAGGCCGTCAGTGAGGATGGGCTCAGAGGAATGTTTGGCCTTCACGGACAGACCACTGGAAAGGTAATTCACACACGAGCGTTTCAATGAGTGAATCCCTGTGAAAGCAGATAGAAACGCAGCATGTTTCCAATTCCTACTAAAACAGAACAGTGTGTTTCGCAAATCTTTCAAGACCAGATCAACCCTGATTTCAGCTCAGAAGAAAAGGGTTCTTCTAATATCCATGCTTATGGATGTGGCTTTTTTTGTGGCTTTCAGGGCAAAGTGTCACTTAAGGAGCTGAATTTGAGGCCAATGGAGGTTTTCATGTGTAGCGTGCTGAAGAGACAAGGATACGGAGACGGGTTCCGCTGGCTATCCCAGTACATTGACTGATCATGTTCTTTTAACGACGCCATTTACAACGCTACCTGAACACGGACAGACATGTTCCACAAAGAGAAACCACCCGCCACAGAGATATTTGTCAACCATACCATGTTTAGGACTTTGCGGCAGCAGGAAATGTGTTACGAGTGTTTTGTGTTCAAATGATTCGTATTCTTCATGGAGTTCAAAGAAATCTATTGCGCATCAATCAAAGCACAGTGAGTCAAAATATAATTAATAATATAAGTAATGAATCATCCGTCTGTATTGCTGAGATTCGGTGTGGAGGATAATCTTCACTGTGTGGTTTCCTCCTCAACTTAAAGCCTTAAAGAATTCGGTCTGCCATCTAGAACATGTGATCGCTGTGAACCAGTTTCTGACCCGGGTTTATTTTTAGCTGCTGGTGTAGACTTACAGTGAAGGTCAATTTGGTCAACATTTTGTGTTTGAGAGTGAATACTATAATTATTTCATATGTGCCCTACTCCTTTCAAAGTAGTGGAAATATTGAAAAAAACAAACAAATTTTCACTCAAGAACACATTAGGGGTTCTGGGCAGCAATGCAGAGATTTGGTGCCATATTTAAGAAAGGTGTTGATTCAGTATGCTGCTACCTCCAAGATACCATCAGTTGTACTGATTTCATGTTGTTTTCTAATTGTTGGGAAGGGTTTACAACTGCAGGGGAAGTATATGAATGTGACCACAAGTGCATTAGCGGATATGTTTGCTGTGAAGAGCTTTATTTAATAGTACAGGACTGTGATTAATATTTAGTATATAGTAACTACATAGGCACAGCCAGGTTATCTGACAATGTTGGATGCCAAACTACTGGTTTTTGAGGAAGGTGTATTCCTGTAAAACAACTTGAGTACTTTGTGATTAATGGCTGCTCAAAACATGCAGTGATATTAGGAGAGTACTTGGGTGTTGCTTACAAGGGCACACAAAAGATAGACATAAATTACCTCTTACTGCAACATCATACATTTTGTATATAAGCTCTTTATCTTTTACAATAAAAATTTGGCCTGCTTTATGCTACATGAAGCTTTGTGCTCTGACATAATATATCTGTCACAAAGGGTAGGTCATATTGTTATTAAGTGTGTGAAGTTTGAGCCTAATAAATATTTTTGACAATCCTATACATCTTTGTCTTATCCATTTTTGTGAATTGTAAAAGTTTGATATAGCAAATTGAACCTTGTTTAGCAATATTGTTATCACACCAGAATAATTGCATCAACCATTTCACCTTTCGTTAATTAAAAAGGTTTAGTATGCCTTTTAGATTTTTTTTTTCCAAAAGAATTGCCAAAACATAAATACCAAAACGAAGACTACTATGCCTGAGAGATGTAAAGTCCCGCCTGCTCTTTTCCTATTGGCTCAAAGCTTTGCTATCGATTATTCAGACCAATCATGGACCCGCTAATTTCGGCTCTGTGGACCAATGAGACTCAAACCGGAAGTTAAAAGGACAGAAACCACGTTAGTAAACACCGCAGCGAGTGTTTCCGAAACAGAAGACAAGTTTACATTTTGACTGCGTTGGCTATCACACATTTACAGTGTGACGTCATATCCAACCACTTGTCTCGATGCTGCTGCTGTCAAACGACTCCCCGGCTTCGGCTTGATCAAACGTGTCATCGATTAACTTTTTTTTTTTTTAGCGAAGTGGTTAAAGTTCACATGCATGGAGGTTCGGGGGATAGAGAAGTGGTGCTGCGTCGTCCAGGTGCTCGACGCATTTTCCGCGGAGAATCCCGCGAGCTGCAGCGGGGTCATCGTCCACCGTCACACCGGAACAGTGATCTGCTCGGGCGTCCCGTTCTCCCGGTTCGCCACCGACAAACGGTCCCTCTCCTCGGACCGCGGCTTCCTGTTGCCGCACCGCTTCAGCGACACACTTAAGATCCGCGTCAGCTTCCCCACCGAGCGAGATGCGTCCTCACCCTCCGGGGGCGAGACGTCGGCTCACCGGGAGGTCGCGGCCGAGCTGCTGATGCTGGTCAGCTGCCCGGAGTTCACACGCGCTTTCCGGGCAGTTTTCCAAGAGGCGGACAAGTGGCGTTTCCACGCCGACGAGGGGGACGAGGAGCTGGCGGGAGACGCTCTGTCCCTCGGCTGGTTCGCGGTCCTGAAGGCGAGCGTGGGTGCAGCCGGCGGCCCCGACGCCGCAGGGGCCGCCGTACCCTGGCGGAGCGGCTCGTCGCTCCGCAAGGGCCTCCCGGTCGTGGCGTGCGGCTCGCCCTTCGGCTCCCTCTGCGTGGACCTCTTCGGCGGCAGCCTCAGCGCGGGCATCCTCAGCAACCTGTGCGGGGAGGGCAACGCCGTCGTGCTCACGGACGCGCGGTGCTTGCCCGGCGCGGAGGGCGGCGGGCTGTTCGCGGCCGAGGCCCCGGGCGACGCGCGTCTCCTCGGGCTGATCGTGTCCCCGTTCGGTTGGAAGGCGAACGAGTGGATCGGCCTCACGCTGGTCTGCTCGGTCGACGTCATCTTCGGGAGCGTCGCGCGCTGCCGCGTCGGCGGGGATCCGCTGCGAGGCGTCTGGCCCGACCCGGGATCGGCGGCTCCCCTCGCGGCGCCGTGCGGGACGAGTGGCGCGAGAGGCCCCGCGGTGTGCTTCGTGGAGAGCGGGACGTTCTGGGGCTCGGGGGTCGTCGTCGCCCCTCGGCTGGTGGTGACCTGCCGCCACGTCGTCAACGGGAGGTCAAAAGTCGGCCTGAAGTTCCACCGCGGGGACAGGTGTGAGCACGAGACTCCCTCCAAGCGTGGGCTTAAAAAACAAACACAATTATGAATGCAACCATTGGCAGGTGGCCCCGGTGAAAAATCCAATCAGTCCTATTTGTGGGCATAACACACAAAATAAATGCATAAATAAAACACAGTGGAACCGGTGGGCAACTCCTTTCCATTTAAAGGCCCATCACACCCTTGATTCAGGTGTTTTCACATGCCTGATTGGACCCTCACTATAAGGGCTGTGTCCATGTCCACTGAACAGGACTTCTCAGGCCCTAGATTGTTTTTTAATTAATTCATCCACGAGTCTTTATTAAATATGTGGGTCTTTGCCATATTTAGGCTGTGATTGGAACCTTCTTGCATACTGGTAACTACTCAAAGTTAGAAGACCCATAATGCCTTCGGTTAAATCGGTCAGATGAAACACCTGGTGGGTTCTGGGCCTTTCAACGTGGGCCTCTGCGTTCTGGGCCTTTCTGATCACATTGTGTATCGATTTGGTTCAAACAATGCACAATATATAACTGTGTGTTTGACTTCTGTTTCGCAGAGTCCAAGATGTCACGGGTGACGTGCTGTTTGCTACCAAAGCCTCATCATCGTATGATTTGGCTTTGGTAAAGCTGAGGGACTCCGTCGCAGAGGCTGTTGTCCCTTGCATGACTCAGAGTTACAATCCAGGTCTTGTTTAGTCAAAAGTTTTTTTTTGGGTGGGGGATTCTTTACTCTTGATCAAACTGTCATGCGATTGATGTTCCGCTTGGTTGGTCCGCCCATACAGGTGAATCTGTACTGGTTGTGGGATACGGTGGCTTAGGTCGGAAATGTGGTCCGTCCTTGAACCGCGGTGTCCTCTCCAAAACCATCAGCTTCAATGACCAGCCTGTCATGCTTCAGACCACGTGTGCAGTACAAGCAGGAACCAGCGGGGGCGCCGTGGTGCGGACGCGCACAGGAGAGCTGCTGGGTAAGAAATCCTGCAACAACTAAACTATGTTCCCTTTTTGATCAGCGGGGGGCGTACGATGACCATGGAAGAAACTATAGTGTAACAATGCATCCCTTTGCAGTAAGGAGTCAGCCATCCACACCGGATCGCTCTTTCTGTGCTGCTGTATTTTTTTTCCATTTTGTCGACTTATGAGGATTATTTTCTGTTCTGCAGGTATCGTGTCCAGCAACACGAGGGACTTTGCCGCCAATGTGACCTACCCACACCTGAACTTTAGCATCCCAGTGGCTGTCTTCCAGAGCTTGTTGCAGCATTTTCACCAGACAAAGGACGTTAATGTGTTCAGGGTGTTGGATAGCACAGAAAAAGAAGTCAGCAGAGTGTGGAGGCTACAGAGCGCACAAAGCAAACTATAACTGAGGACCCCTGCAGCTCGAGATAAGCTAGAGAAAAGGATCTGATGGTTAAACCAATATGGATTATATGTATAATCATATCAAATACTCTAAATGAGTAATTTATTCATACCGTTGCTGTTTCATACCTCACTTTGTTACAAAGTCAGCCTGAGTGGTAAATGGAATTAAAATCCTTAATATGTAATGTTGATGCTCTCACCCAGAGTTATGCAGTATTGTTAAATATTGATGTTTAATTGACTTTAATAACGACAGATCGTTTTATGATCCTGTGCTGTAATCATATCAATAAGATGGTTCTTACTGGTGACATTTCAGTGTACTCTGGGTACATTTCTATGATCTCAGATACATTTTGAGCCACAGGCTGAATAAAGCAGGGTTAAATAGCCATATGATTCCTGATCCTAAAGAAATGGTAGAAAGGATCAGGTTCCATCCACCATTTAAGTCACAACTAGTTACAATATTAAACTGTTAAAATATGCAGAAAATACATTATACTTTGAATGTGTTTGAATTGAAATGTGGTCCCGTTTCATCTGGCTGGAATTGACCAAGCAGGAGGAATAATCAGCCCTGCTTGCTGATAGGCTGCTGAAAATGATTGGTCCCTTTGGGAAGCCACAGACGCGCTCAGTCAGTATCAAGTATTCACACATCTGTCGGCAGGCGCAGACACTCACAGCTAACGCGTTTAAGGTTTCACCCACTCGGACATTACTGGTGCTGATTTCCATTACCAACAAGATGTGAAACTGAGAAATGACATTTCAGAGGATTGGTTACGGTCAGTTTTTACAATGTGAAGAACGGCTCTCTGGGCCGTGGCTTCCAAGAATATGCTGTATACTGTTATGGTTTCTATTTCCCTGGTTCCCAGAATCAGTTTGCAGTGGAGAGGCTTGAGCGATGTCCCAAGGGGGGATGGGGAGACTTCTCTACGGGCGTTGTGCTGCTCCGGGTGCTGATATGCGGACTGTGTTTAAGGTCTTCTCACAGCTATAAGCTACACTGCCCTGCAGTGGGGGGTGACAATAAGACATGCTCCTCACAGGATAAATCACAGAGAGATTTTTATCTTCAAAATGGTAGTTGTTTAGATTTGCTGTCACTATCTGTTATGATGTTTGTTATTATTCAACTTTCAGGTGTAGTTTGGCTTAAACGGGAATGTTTACATCACAGTGCTCACGATTTCACACAAGGAATTAATGGAGGACAAATGCACAGTCTTACATGTATGGTGTAAGTTTATTTTATTTCATGTTTTTCTTATTAAACACAATAATTGATCCACATAATGATACGACGTATACTTGTCAGCTAAGCAGTATATTCTGCTGGTCTTTCAAGGCGTTGATAACAGGACAAATAGGTGACAATCTGTCTTCAGATACACACGTTATATACAGGCGAAAGAGTGATGCGCGGTGAACTCTTTTTTTCATCAAGTCACGAATGAGTGAGTCACATGAGCACATGACATGAAAAACAGCACAGTGAAAGGGTGCTTTTCAACATCCTAATGTGGCTTCCTCTCTTTATCGCCAAATCAAAACTGGTTGTCTAACTGGTGTTAATCCGCAGAAATAAAAGATGAAAGAGGCCAATTGGGACCATTGAAATGCACCCAGTCTTTCCACATTTTTCAATGCAAGCACATGACATGCACCTGCAACTGCTTAAAGCCTCCATTATGCACCAGCTTAAAACTGCTCAAAGATAGTTCAAAGGACTCCCAACAGAAGAGAACAAACATTCACAAGTATGGGGGATAAAATTCTCTAAACCTAGAATTAATAGTGATTTGTCCCCTTCCCCTGCCTGCTTAAAGTACATCCTGTAACATTGAATACGCCCATAACATGTTCCCTCTACCTTTCGCTTTTTCAAAAGCAAGTGTTGAGTGTGAGAGCTTCAACGCGTCCTCCTCCTCGCAGGATCTTTGTGTGTGTGTGTGTGTGTGTGTGTGTGGGGGGGGGGGGGGGGTTAGGAACAACAAAAAGAAAGCTTGGACTACATGTTTACCCGATGGGGCCCCCGGTTATCACCTCCTCCCCCTCTCCCTCTTCCTCTTCAACCCCCTTCGGAAACTCCCCTGGCGTCCTTTCTTCTCCTCATTTTTCCCATCCCAAACCCCCTGGCCAAAATAACTGAAATATGCCATTTTCATCATCTGTAAAAGATGGGCAGAAAACACACAGGGGAGGGGGACCCCGGGGGGGGGGGGGGCCAGATTTAGCTATCCCACTGTGGCAGTCTTGTTCCCATAGTTCTGCAGAATGTTCTACATTCTGTTGGGCATGTCTTCCTCTCCACTTTGATACGGTTCTTTCTATCCACGAGAAAAGCCAACATCAATTCAAATACATTGAGTGCGTTTGTAAAAAGGGGGGCATGTGTTTGACTTTGTCTGGATTTAAGAAAACATTTCTAAACCTTGTCAGAGGAGCCACTCTAATCAAGAGCAAGTTTTAGTCCAACGTGCCCTGATTTATCTTAAGAGACTTTTTCCCACAGCGGCTCTTTAGAATGCAAATGACTCCGGACACATGAATGTGTCACTGGTCCCTGTAGCGAGTTATGTTGTGTTGGGCCCTTTAACATAAAGAAAGCCTTGTGCAGAAGCAGTGTGGGGGTAGAGTGGGTAGTGGGCCAAGGCATAGGAGACAATTCCAGCTTTTTTTCCTGCCACATTCAAGCTTTCAGTTTCAAATTATATGTATATACCTATATATATATATATATATATATATATATTGACAACTGAAACGTACCGCAGTCTGGCTTGCCACGCATCCTAGATCCAGCCACTTTTCCTCCGTTTTGGTCAACACACCAGCACTCTCCCCTGTCACACTGCTGCTTCCTGTAGAAGCCGTCCTCGTCACAGCTTGGGATGAAGCGACCTGGCGTTCAAACGAAACAGTCGGTATGTTGACGAACAAGCAGATGAACACATTGTGCGCGACGCCTCATCAGACACGGGCGAGAGTGTAAATGCACGCAGCATATGTGGCCCCCAATTCCATTTTCCATGAATACAAATATGCTCACGGAGCGACACAGGGGGGAGACAGTATGAACTCGGCATATGGGGGATGTGTGTGTGTGGGTGTGGGGGTGTGGGGGGGGGGCACAAGATTGGAAAGTTTTCAATTTCTGAACTATTACATGAATATGAAGTATACCGCCTGTGTCAGAAAGCCAAGCACAACATACTGGAGGTGAATGTGCCAGCATCTTCTAGGCTGTTGTTCTAAAGAAGAGCAAACCGTCAACTCATATGATCATCAGAGGTGATAACGTAAAACATTTCAGAGAATAATGTTAAAAAAGAAGTAAAAAAAAAACATCAAAAAAGAACCGTGACCGTCTTTCGAAGGAACATCTGAGCATCGGGCTGGCAGCCTGCTCCGTGTCCTTGGAGAGTCCTGACTCAGAGCCCAGCCAGCCAGCCCAAATCTGCAGTGCGCACATACATGCACACACACGCACACACGTTCACGTATTCACCCGCTCACACATGCATGTAAGACACGCTGATGGCTGCTTTTCCTTTGCCGTCTGTCAGTATCAAGTTCTAATCCACGAGACTGATCAAGGACTAATCCCCGCCTCCTGCTCGTCATCTGCTGGATGAAATCCCCCAAACCAAGGAAGACAGACGCAATGGTGATGAAATGTTCTAATGAGGAGTCAGATACATACCAAACTTCCTCTTGCCGCCGTCTAATACTTGGATCCTCTCGAGTACAGCCAGGCAAGGTGGCTCTAAAAAAGGACAGAAAAATATGTTTTTAGATGAGAACATAACACACAGTTGAAGTATCTTCTAATCAAGTCCAATCAAGAGCCCGAATCACCTCGTGCAATTTTAAAATCAATCCAAGAACTGTAAGAACCAGGCTGCCAACAAGCAGCAGGAACGTTTTAAAGCTCCTCGTGGTGACCGTTTCACCCCTCGGGGGAACGAGGGGAGGAGCGGCAAGACAAATAGTGATGGACCAGCACAGAAACGAGGAATGGCCACACCTGGGGGGCAGTTCAGCGCCTTGAAGTTTGAATGCATGGGGAATATGCCGGCACACAGGCGCCTGACACAGACACACACAAACAGTCTTTAAACCTCCCCACCGCCCCAGAATACTCACTCTCTCTCCAGAAGCAGAGGCACCACTCGGCAGTGGAGACCTTGCCGTCCCTGTAGGAGTCACATGAGTTGAAGAAGGGCCGGATGCACACCTCGTACTTGTCCAGGTTGATGGCGGCCAGCTCAGCCTGGTCCAGGTACAGGTCGCCATTTGTGTCCAACTTGGAAAACATCCAGCCTATGGAGTCCTTACAGCTGGCCACCAGGCTCCTGTCCAGCACTGCAAACACAAACACACACACAGACAGACAAACAAACATTTCGTTTTCATCAAGAGACAGCTGCACAGATGGAAAGTGAAACCAAGCCAGTGTGCTGAGAATTACCTCCTTTTCCCAATGCAAATCAGTTTCTTAATTATGTTCCTAGTTTCAACAAAAAAAAATAAAGTTCCAGTTGGGAAAAAGCGGCATCGTCATCAACATTCTGGTGTGTCGTGGCCACTAATCTGTGGCCAAAATGGTCTGGGGGCTTTTGCATGGAAGCACAACATGTTATGACATGTTACCTTAAACTTCCAAGCCAACACTATGAAGCGTTTCCAACCCCAAACACGTTTTCAGATGTGTTTGATATCCAGCATTGCTTTCCAGACTTATCCACTGAGATCTGCAGAAGACATGAAGGTGGAGGCACTACCAGTTGAACCGTGAAGCCGCAATCTGAGAGCTTTTTAAATTTTCTCTCTATGTACTTCTTTGTTTTCCAATTAACAGACAACCTGGACTTGTTTATTGACATTTTTTGTGGAACTCCGCCTGTAACTGTAGTGTTGTAACTCCCTCTGCATGACGTCTGGATTCATTTATTAGGTCTGACCTGACGTAGAGCTGGCTGCAGTGGTTCTGGCCCCAGTCTTGCTATTGTTGTTCTGCTTGGCATTGCCCTGCAGGAGCTGGAACCAGTCCCTCAGACGCTCTCCGAGATCAGCCAGATCCTGTCCAGTACACCCCTCTGTGGAGGTCAGAGAGAGATGATTAATATGATCAATTCTGCACCTGATCATGGATTTATGATTGTGTGTGTGTGTGTAAGAGAGAGACATACAGAATAAAAGACGCGGGAGGTCTTGTAATGTCGTAAATTCATGTCGAACAGACTCATTGTTCTGTATGTGTTTAATCTTACCATGTATAGTCTCCGTGGATGCAGGAGCAGCGGTTGCACAAGGACAGAGACCTGAACACTTCAGGGTTAGATCTTTCCCTATAAGACATGCCTGCTGCTCCAGCTTGCACTACAACACAAATTCACACCAATACACGCGCCAACACACACAGACACACACACACACACGCAGGCGACACGGAGAAGGGGACACAAAGGTGAAGTAAAATGAGTTATTGCCGCGAGATAGATCAAATATTTATGAGGGGACGGACTGCACGCCTTAATTCAAATCGGGGATTCGCTCCTGAATGTGCTTTACGACCTCTGCCTGCACACAAGGTCGGGAATAGTTATCCAAAAGACAACGCATAAATCACAAAACACTTGAGTTACTGCCACCACCAGCCTGCAATTGGTCCTCCTGAGGCTTTGTTTCGTGGCTCTTTGTCTCGACTTTTCCCACAAGAGTCTCTTCGCGAGTGCGAGTTGGATGTCACAATTTCCCCCACGATGCTTAGCACGTTATTTTAGCACGTTATTTTAGCACGTGTAAAAAGCAAAAAGATTAAGCTGTGAACAAATGTACCAACAGTGGACTTTCTGTATCTTTTATTATAATTGCTGTTTTATGGGTGTCAAGACTATTTTGGAAATTCTATATCACAACATATGTTACCATAAAGCATGCAGAGCATGTGTGATGCTGGAGCCACGGATTCAATATGTTCACTTCGTTATCGAGGCAGATGCTGAAGACTCCACTGCCAATGCACTCGCCTCCTCCACGTAATGATTATTCCTCTTTCTTTTCCCAGATAATTATTTTTCTTTTTCTGTATGTTAACTGCAGCGCTTGTCTTTCAGACGACTGGAAACAAACCGTAAACACAGAATTGACATTTTAACATCCCGTGAAGTTTATGGTGTTCTAGCAAACAATTGTAAATCCAGAAAACAATGAAGACTTTCTTTCAGAGTTGCACTTCTGGCCAGCTGGCAAACGGAGGTCTGACATTCACGCTCCTTTTTAATTTGCTTTACGCTCCAACAACTCCTGAGGCAAATATCTGCCTCTTTAGCCGCTTAAATGCTTCTTTATGTATGTTTTTATGTCTGTCTGGTTAGCGCTCGGCATGTATTCTAAAACACCACAAATAACAGCTCCCATAAAGGCCCATACAGTTGAATAAATACCCCTGTGAAAGAGTTTAAACATTTGGTAGACTCTATAGCAGAGCTGTATTAGACTGCGATAATGAATTGGCAACTGAAAATATACAGCAGTATTCAACAAAAATGTTAGTTTTATATTTAATAATTCTCAAATAACCTCCACTAAGGTGTTTTAAATTGTATTTACGCCCATCTTTCCTTTTTGTAGAGCACTTTTTGCTGCATTTCCACCAGCAAGGTGCTATAATCATTAATTTGATGTCAATTTACTTGGAGTCAACCAATTGGACTGCAAATCTTTGTAAAATCATCAATCAATCAATTACCATTTCAGTGGGACATGAAACCGCCGCGGCTCGTACAAACTGATCATATTGACTTATGCACCAGCTTTGCGTGTGTGCATTTGTTCTGTGTGTACCTTTGAGGCGTAGCTGCGACCGTCTGATCCGCACACGGGCCCGGCGGAGGAGATGGGACACGGCTGACAGTTTCCATCAGGAGACCTGAGAGCCGGCTGCTTCAGTCTGCAGGACAGAGGACACGCAAACACCTCACTAAGTCACGCCGAGGCGCCGACTGCTGTGCTAATTCACGACCTCCTCCGTGGCATTAACGCGTCGGTCAGCAGCGGGCAGTCGCTTTATTTTTTGATCACATCCCAAAGCGGCGCCAGCTGATTGTGAACTTGCTAGTGTTGACTTAATTTTGGGGCACAAGATTTTTGGCGTGTCATTGGGGAGTTCTACACACTCACCTGTGTTCAAGTTTCTTGCGGTTGACGCACACAGCTTTCTGGTCTCCCTGGGCGACGCACACCTTGTGTCGGCTGCACTTAACCTTTTGACAGGGGTCCTTGGTGGTGTCCACATCTGGAGACAAAATGAAAGAAATTAAATGTACAATGGAGTATAATCACTGTCTCGCTCTCACTCTATTCGTATTATATTCTATATTCTCTGCTCATTATCTCTCTACTGCCAGTTTTGAATATCAAATCTCTCGCCTCGATTCTCACCACACAACTCGAGTCCTTCAAATGTATTAGAGTCAACTGTTGGGCTTGCACTGTGACAAATATGTACCGTGAGTACTTTTCAATATAAGTATGCGTGTGCTGGAGTAGAGTGCAATTTCCACACCCCACTGGCAGATTTCTTCTTCTCATTTTCTCGTCTCAATATGACGTTTTTATTACTTTTAATAGATGGCATGCTGAGACCAATAATTTTCGCGATGTCGGTTGAAGCCTGCACGGCTCGCTCACTCCTCGCCTTATCCATCTATCCGTCACACTGAGTGTCGGCACCCAACTCACCCTCACATGTCACAGATGTCTGTTCCTAGCATGCGCCCCTGTGCCCGACCTAGATGTCGCCCTCTATTCTCTTCAAATCCCCGGGCCTTTATTCACCTACACCATCCATCAGCACAGCGCGCCGGGACGCTGACTATTCGAGGACAGCTGCTGCAGGTTCTACATAACGCCACCGTTTGAATTCACTCCCCTGCTCTTATTGTATCCTGTTTAATGCCGCCGTCAGATTTTTTTGCGGACAGGCTTTGGATCACCTCGCTTGTCCTCTGCGGTGGCTGAATAGATTAATGCTGCCAACATCACAGGATTATTGAAGCAAACCGACAGATATCTGATTCGAGAAGTAAATCCAAAACAATTCACGCCCCTGTCATGGCTGAGCGTGTTGTATAACCGACTGACTGGTCTAACTGAAAAAACAGCGAGGCTCGGAGGAATTAATGCCTCGACGCAGTCCTCATCCATTTAGACTGTCAGCGTTAGCCTTATGCAGCCCCCCCCCAACACACACACACACACATACACCCATACACACTCTAATGCACACCAGTGCATCAGCAGAATCAGTGCAGCAGCAAATTAAACCTGCGTGACACATCCTGACACAAAAGAGGACAAGGAGAGCAAGGCACTAATGGGAAAAAGCTCATGGAGTAGGGTGGGGATGTACACCAAAAATTGCAATCCATCCAATAAAGATGTAAAACAGTGAATTCAAGAATCATGGAGGCGGGATGCAGATCAGGCCGAGGAGATCATCCTGCCTTCTAATAGTAAGTATTTGTAAATAAACCTTGTTGGTAGCGAGCGGCTACAATGCTGGCACGGCGTTGTGTTGTGAGTACAGAAGCATAAGGTGGCTGCCTGAGCCTCATGTTAACTTAACAGGCTTCCGCGGATTAAAGCAGCGCCTGCGATGATGACGTTTCCATAGCAACAGGCTCTCCGTGGTCCAGGAATCATTTCTGGGTTGACTGTGATTTGCAGCTCAATCTGGTTTTTCTGAGAACTCGCTCCCTCTCCGTTCCTGAAATCCCTGTTGTGCAATCGTGTATATCAGTGCTCCTCTTTTCACTCCTTTGTCTCTTCATATCAGACGGCACCCTGTATTCTCACTCATGTCCTACCGGCTCGATTATTACTTTTTCTCATCACATCCACAGTCTGTCTATTTAACCCCACCATCAACCAATTTTTACTTTTTGAAAGTCTCTCCTTTGGTATTTGGTATATCTCTCCTAATGCCTGCAGCAGTAAAGCTCTCCTAATTAGGCTCCCCTGCTTCGGTCTAATACAATCCAGATTTGCGTGAAGTTTATCCCTGCAGATTGAGGATAACAGAAGCGGAGCTCAGGCCACATCCTCGTCATCAACCCTCTTATCTACTATTTAAACGCTCAGTCGTTAACATCATTAGTGCTGTTTTGTAAGTAGCCGTGAAGCCAGTCATGGACTGTTAGTCCGGTTCATGCAAAAAAACGGGCTTGAATTCCCCCACAGAGACTAAAGACGATCAGCAGGGAAATAAAGTTCAAAACATAAACCTGCATTAATTGATTTTTGGGGCAGACCAACAAGCTGAATAAATTGCATGACGTGGACAAATTTTATTTTTGTTATGTTTCTGTCTACATCGTGCATCCAAGCGCAATAGTGAATTCATTTTTAAGATCAGATCCACCAACTCGAAAAAATGTCAAGCCTTCAAACCAAAACAATGCCAATGAAACTAAAATGTTCAGCAGAGCTCGAGCTGAGAGTGACTGCAGTCAGGTGGTGAGTCTCCATGGGTGCCTGCCTACATAAATTATACAGCCATTTGATTAATTGTTAAAGGAGTGTCTCTACGTGGATAATAGGGAAATTCACATTCTTATCAAGTGTTCATTACTCTTTAACACACTTTAAACACCAATTGCTATGTAATTTATTGCCAACTTCAGCTATACCGGTATAATTAATAAGGATGTAATTGAAAATCAGTACTGATTTAAAGCCCCAGAAAATAATAATTTAGCAAAATAGGTTTGTGTGTATAATAACACATTAAGAGTTTCCATCCAGCTCCAAGGTCCCACGTTATGGCAAAAGAAAGTTCTATTTGAACGCTCAAATTTGTGGTGTGTGAAGGTGAGAAGGGCAACAGTAGACCCTGGAGGATTGTAGTGGCTACATAGAGGGTGACAGTGTGTGTGTGTGTGTGTGTGTGTGTGTGTGTGTGTGTGTGTGTGTGTGTGTGTGTGTGTGTGTGTGTGTGTGTGTGTGTGTGTGTGTGTGTGTGAGTGTGAGGTCCAAGCAACAGTATCTATCAATAACCTCAATAGGAATTAAACCATAGACCTTGTGAGTGTCGACCCACCAAGTATTTTTCCTCTGTGTCTGCTGTTGATCTGAATCCATAGATTTACAAGAAAGTGTCTACACCTTGGAATATACATATATATAAATAATAAAACTGTTCTTCTGTGTGCTCTATACTCGAGTGTTTGTGCGTTGCAGCGTGCACATACAAGTTGCTCTGAAAACTCCCCAAACACAACTGCTCCCCTTTAGTGTTTGTTTAGCGTCTTAACAGGGAGGTTATTGAATCAGTTGCCGGGTTAAAGTAACCCTGACGTCTCCCTCACTCTGCACCCCGCCGGCTGAAGTGGAGTTCGCCACAACGGCGCCTGCATGCAAATGTCCACCTCAGTGTGCCGTCGGGCCTCGGCTGCCGGTGCGTTAGGAGTGTTGACAGTTCAAAAGCCCCGTGTCTCTCTTCACGGCAGAGCAGAAGTCTGGGCTTCCTGGCTGAGAAATGAGGCCTGCGGGCTCACCCGAGCTCTGGGGCGAAGACGTCGCGCTGATTTAGCGATGTCTCAGAGGGACACGCTTCCTCTTTTTTGCTCTTTTGCTCTTTTGGGGGGGGGGTTGTATACTCATGTCAAAACAAAAGAAAGGATAGATGAGGGGCTTTGTATGGTGTGAAATGAAAGGTGCCATGTGACTACCTAAGGCAAGGCATATAAAGCGGGACAGTTGAACACCTATCATAGCTAAGGGCATGAATGTCGACTAGGCTGAGGATGCTCCGTCATTGCTACACCTTCATTGATAAGGCTGTCTGTCTACGCGTTATGCAGAAACATGTTGGACAATACACCATGCATTCTCGGGTTTTCGTGTACTCTGCACCCACACTCTTACACTTGTTAACTTGCTTCTCCTCCCCAGTCCACAATTTCCCAATCAGCACACGGACAGAAGAGTTGGCAGGAATTATTTTTACATTTCTTTACATTACATCAAGGCCACTTCTGTCACTCTCTTCTTGTGCTTTTACTTCCCTCTATGGCCTTTCACTGGAACTCATAATTAGACCTTTATTAAGCCTTTGCAAATTGCACTAATGGACTCAGCCGACTTCATTTAAGCTGCAAATCAAGCGGCAACCGGTCGAGGACACGACTCTGTCATGACTTCATCTTGCCGAGGCTCAATTAAGGCGTAGAGCCAATGTTTGTGGCATCTCCTTTGGGACGTGTATATATCGGATTCCCCTCGAGCAGATGAACTGCGGCGCCAATCTCTTTCAACCTGCTATCACCGAGGAACAACGGCGAGTGTGGAGAGCGAACGTCCGACCCCGGGATACAAACGCAGAGCATACGCGATCGAACGTGACGAACCACTGACACTCTGAGAAGCGTCACGGTTCAAATACAGGCCACAGATTCTGTCTCCGTGCTGCGGCATACCCTTTGAAATAATCATGAGGCTTTGCTTTCCCTGCATCAACATGGATTTGTCAAATAAATTGACAGAGTTAATTTAGTACAGTTCTTTCTTTAAATCTTGGATCGATATATGTGGATATACAGGTGGAAATGCTGTGTTTTGGTTATTAAGCTTTGATGGCTTCAACACAATTTACGTGAAATGAGTCATATTTAGTAATAAGAGCAATATGGAGAAAAATGAAGAGATGCCTTTTTGGATAACAGTGTTTGTTTTCATTTTCAAAACAAACACAGCTTTGGTCCAATTCACTCATGGGAACATTTGGCTGACTTCATGTGTCACTGCACCGTGTGCAGTGCAGGCAGATCAACATCCAGCGAGTGATGCAAAACAACTGGCGGAGATTTTCTGACGGGTCAGCTGGAAGCTTGAGTGCTGGCAGCACTACTTTTTAGGGGCCCATCAAATGCAAAACAGGGGGTCTGACAATTGCCCGACAGGAGAGAGTGTGAGTTATTGAAGAAGCTTCTGCACACAGCCTCACAACTGAGGATGTACATGGAAATGAAAATATAAAATGGCATTCAAGGACTTCCCCCAACCACACAGTAAGGAAGAGGCGGGAGACTCACTGTCATTAGATCCTTGACTTTCCTCCCCAGTACGGACATAATCATCCTGCAGAAAACAAGAAGAAAACAATCGTTTATCATCAGAACAACGGAGTGAACGCCTGAGTGCAGTGTGATTGATGGCACATCAACTCCCCGTCGACTCCGTAGAGGAAAAGTGATGTAGTTTACATTATTATTTATAACGCGGCGTGTACATTAGTCTTGCAGCATTAGAATAATACGACGAGTGAAACCAGAAACAGATGGGTACGACAAGATGTACATATCAGTGGAAATGAGCACAACAAATCTGCACTCAATATATATATATAATTAATAAGAACAGTCATTCTAATTAAGATGACAAAGGACATTTGGATTTTGGGTTGGATTGAGAATTATAGATAAAGACACAGAAGCAGACAAGGAAATGAGTCATGAATGGAATAGACACATTTACAAAGGCAGCTGGAGAAACTGTAGAAAATCAGGACAAAACTAACCTCTACCTCCTGGTGAAATGACAGCAAAAGGACAGAAAGGACAGATATTAGTGAAGAAGATGCTGTACTATTAATAGATTCAATTGACAGGGACATGAAACTCAACTGCACTAAAATGCATGACATCACATTTTCAGGGATTTCAAGAAAATAAAAAATTTTAGTAAACAAATCCAATTTGCTTTTGGTCCCTGATCGCAGGGAGGTGCCCGCTCATTACTGATATATGTTAATAATCCTATTCTTATTAACATATTTCAATTAACCTCCACATTCATAAGAGTAAGAGCATTAAAATACGCATTCACGATTGTATTTCCTTGAAACATAAGCACATCCCACAGATCACACAAAGCTTTTGTTGAGCATATTGCTGCTCCTGAAATAATAAACATGAGTCATTTTACGATACTTGGAGATGACTCACTCATCACCGTAAACATTTACTGTACTGGAAGCGCGTGGCAAACAGCTCGCGGCGAGGGCGGTAATTCCCGACACAACACATGATAAAAACAGCCCTCGGGGGAAGCTGGGACCTCGTGGGAGACGTGCGATCCGCACGGTTCCATTTCGCAGAGGCAGGCTACGCATTTTCACCCCTCGCAAGGGTTCCACTCGAGTCTTGGAATCTCCCAAACTGTGCCGCTGTTGCTCTTCTCGCCCTCCACCTCGCTGCAGCGGCAGGTGACGGAAGAACCCTCTTCCAGTGAGCTGCTTAGTGTGTTGATTTTTAAACTCAACACTCCAGCAGAGCTTTATGAATGACTGCCGGTTGTGTAGTTTAACCTCGTTGGGCCTGGTGGACTCACGCCTTCTCAGGATAAGATCTCACAGGGTTTACGTCCTTGCTGTTAGTCAGACGCCTCCGCCGTCTCCTTTATTGATGCTTCAGCTCCTGCATTATTTAAAAGCCTTTCAGTAGCCGTGTGTCTGCCAGGGCCGATGATGGAAGCGTCGTGCCGTTCTGACAGGACTGGAAATCAATGATTTCATAAAAGAGAGGCTGCAGAATACGCATTCGGGGGGAAATAAATTCTCCTGAGTACACAGGGGAAAAGTGAGTAAGAGTAGCAGAGCATGCTGACAAGTTTGGCAGACGTGGTACATCACTTCAAAATATCACTCACAAAGAAGAAACAGACTTTTTTTTTTTTTTTACACATGATTAGGACGCAAGCTGAGAGCTGAAAACAGAGCTCAGCGATGTACCCGTTAACACCCGAGAGACTTACCACGGCGGACTGTTCACTCTGACGTAATGCATAACGACGGGTCACTACTAAAGCAAAACAGTATGAAAAGTGAGGGACGTGGTGCTTGTCAGGGTGGATGGAAAAACAGAGCGCAAACAGTGAACCCACCACAGGAACACGAGCATCCATCTGTTACTGTAGTGCGTGTGAGTGACTGACAGGTGTTGCTGGGTGAAAATCCGAACTGTCAGATGCATTCTGCGCTCACTGTGGTTATCTTGAGGGGTTCGTTGGCGTCGACAAGGACAGCGGAGTGCATCGGTGCCTCGTGGGCGACAAAGGACACGGTGATAACGCTGTCATGTGCAGATGCGTCTGCCAGATAAAGGTTCATACCGAACCGTTTTCACACAGTTAATATCAGCCTCCGGGGGACTGATCAAACCCATGCAGAACACACCTTCCATGTTCTGACTGTCAAAGCAACTATGGGACATTCATTTTAGCCCACATAGAGTCCAATCCCTCATATATATAAGGGTATATATAGACCAATATGTATATGCTATGTATATATGTTTGTTTCTATATGCACATATATGATTTTGGTGGTCTTTCTTCATGAAAACCCCAAAGCTCCATGAGCTGCGTCTCCCGTTTTTTTGACACATTCCGATTTCTTATGCAGATTGAAACTGAGTGCCTCTCCACACTGAGATTCCCCCTCACTGTAATCTCCCTCCAGACTTAATTGAGGAACAGGCTGCATGCCCAACACATCTGCACAATGAATTCCTCTGTTTCCATCCTCCTCCCAGTCAACTCTGTGGACAGTAAATGGTGCTCAGGTAAATGCAGGAACCCCCTCAATGGATCTCTCACTGAGACGAAAGGCAGGCGGATCAGCAAGCAATGCGCCTTCTTAATCAGACTTAAATCTATTTTTCTCAACAGTGCACTGATGTTATGACACAAGCGGACTATTTTGAATACCGTTTTAGTATGAAATACAACCTCCAAATCAAACAAAGAAGCTCAGAGTTAACCTTCGGCCGCTTCACACAGGACCGTGTCACTTCCTCCCACCTCGACATTCACGCCATTAGCTGCTGTTCACACAACCACTTAGCTCCGGTTTACAGATCACACGAGACACGTCTGAGATGAAACAACCCCCCTTCAACGATATTCTCAGCCTGTACGTTCTCCTCTTATCTGCATGCACACTGGGCTGCAGGGCACAAGAAGCAAGGATGCTGATTCCCGTATTTCGGCCCTCACGCGGGACTCTGAGCCGACGCTTAAGAGATTGCAGAGGCAGAGCATCCGGCGATGAGAATATGGTTTGCTTGTGCCTTATGTAAGAGAGCTGGGAGGACTGGAAAAGTACAATTTATATAATATAACCACGTTAGGACTGGGATTATGTTGAACCCCAGACAAGGTTTTGGAATGAAAGGGAGGAACAGTTTACTGACTGCTCTTTGGAAATGGTTAAATTATATAAACCTGTTTGTTTAGAAGAAATAAAACACAAAGATCATGAATTAGCCTCCTTAAACACACACACAAATAACAGTCAGCCTAATTACTTTCATTAATTCCTACTTACTTATTGCTACTATTTTCCCCATTTTTACATAGGACTCTTTCTTCATAATTGTCTTTATTTTTGAGATATATTTTAACGTAGCGCTTATTATTCGAAGGCTATTTTTGTATGGATAGTTTCACCCAAAATATATTGAAATTAATCTCATTTCTGTCGAGTGGAATATTATTTGTTACTCAGATATTTGTGTAGCTGGCCAATTGTTACCTTGGTAACTCGGTGGGTTAAACAAGAGCAAAAAGAGTTTGATACAAGCAAATTTAAAGAATATTTGTCCATTACATTGATATCCTGATTTATTTCTGAAGTCATCTTCTGTTTTTGTGATATTTTCGACAATATTTATAAAATGCAAATCCCATGTAAACTTTGGCACAAAGATTTTTCCCACTGAGGGTTTAGTGAGAGCAAGCTAGACTTCATTATTATAGAGCCTTCCATTTCCTTATAATCCCAGAATTTTCAAATGCGATGTTAAACCACCAAACCAAAATCCTGCTGGTCGTCAGATTTGTGTGACAAAATCAGATATTAAATTTAAACCCACCACTTCTACACGTGGATTGTCATACACTGCATATGGAAAACATTACATGCAGTATATGAATGAACAAAAAAAAGCAGTTAAGCTCTTGAACGTTGTCCCTTTCTTATGCTTCAGTTTACGGATAGATTTCCATTTCTATCATAAAACACGCTAGGACTAACTAAGCCTGTTGTCTGCACTGCACACTCATTGTTACATGAGGAATCTCTTTCATACTGAAGGAGTTGAACGAAGGTTACATTCACCTCTGCACCGAAGTGTGTGACACTCAAATAGAACAGATGATTATCTCTATTGTTCCTTATTCCCCGTCTCGCCTAAGAAAGGCTCTTCGTGTACCGTCTTCATCCTCAAGTAGAAAATGAGGGCCGTCAGAAAGGCTTTGACATCAAAGGATGTGTAGAAGGTCAAATACAAAAGCTGGACGAAAATTGCACTCAATTTTGTAATCAGTGAATTGCCTTTTCCCTTCCCCCAAATACATCTTCAAAAGAATCTACTGAAGTCAGTGAACTTGACAGAAAGTTTGAGGCAAATCTGAAACTTGTGTTGTCCATAATGTGTTTTGTTGTGTGTGCATAAAGCAGCACAAGGCCTGCACACACAGACACACCTACAGCTGCGGCTTACAAAAAGCACACTTCGATCACCAAGTCTCTGTGCGCTCATGCTAGCCCTGTACTCAACATCTATAAATAAAATCAGCTCTTGTGATTTCAGTGCCCTGCAGTGAATAAAAACACAGCCGGCAACTCACAGGAGCTTCTGTTCCCGGCCGAGAAACACACATGCAACAATGGGAAATCAATGAAGTTGCCTCGGTAGGAGCAACAAGAAGGATAAGAATGAGCCAATGATTGGAGACGGGGGAGTCAAAAACAATGTAATGCAATAAGAGAGTCTTAACCAGATCAGCAGGAACAAAGGACTGAAACCCGGCTCATCAAGTGGAAAAAAGGCAGACGGGCTGCTGGTGCCTGAGAAACACAGTCAGCTTACTCATATCATTCACTAATAATAGATTCACATCACTACGGTATTTTTTCAAAAAATGTGCAACCTACAAATTGAACCTCCTAATAGAAGATGTATCCATCATCCCCTGTGCTCTCGTATGGCGTTTTTTCAAAAGTATCTTTATATTTCAAAATAACAAACGTCTTCAAGTAACTTGACCTCCTTTGTTAGAGTATTTTTCAACGCCTGCAAGCTTTCCATCCTGGCACAGAGAAGGTTTTACTCCTACTAAACCTTCTATGCCAACCTGATGTTGGAGCAGACAAACACACCTAAATCTCTTCTTTTCTGTTTTGCTCTCAGAAAGGTTGGAAAATGATCAACGTGGACAGCATCGCTCTCACCACAGCCCTCAAAGTATGTTTCAAGTTGGTTCTGACACCAAACAAGCCTCTCCCCTCCCGACACTGTGCGCATTAGTCTGGATGTGGGTGCGTTTTTCAGCGTGTGAGTTTGATCACACATCACACCTTCTCAACAAGCCCACTCAATAGCTCTCAGGTGCAAGATCCAGTTTTGTGCTGCTACCATTTCAACCACCTCTAACTTTTCCCAAATTCTCCTGCATCAGCCACTGTGCGTGACTCAGTTCGGCTCGAGCCCGAAGGAAATTACCACTTGGGTGGCATTTAGTGCACGGGCGGCTGCTGCCATTAGAGTTTTGAGTTTGCGAGCAAACAATTGTGATGTACAGATCTGGCCTTACATAATCTCAAAAAGCCCACAGTCTTGTAATGTAATGTTCTCCGCATCAAACCCTCTATTTGGCACACCGACTCGCAGGTGAAGCCATCACAGAAGCCGGTCGCTCTGAGCAGTCATGCGCGTGAGATGCTGAAATAGAGGCGTTTCTATCACCTGTGGACTGGAAAATGTTGCGCAAAAGTCATACTCTTTTCTGCAGCTATTGCTAACAGCTGTGTTCAGTCATATGAAAAAACTGCATCTGCTAAGAAATGTGATATTCATCACCTCTCTCCACTGGTTGGACAATCCGCTCCCTGTCCCTCTGCGGCACCTGTGCCCTTCAGCTGTGGCCATTGTGCTGCAGTGAGGAGCAGCTGTGGCCGTGCCAGCGTGGATGAAAGGCTGTTTCCCCTGTTTTTTTCTCCCTCTATTCAATTACAGCCCACCTAGTGCACCATAGTGGGCTCCAAAGCAACCGGACCAACTCCCCCAAAACTGTTGGACGTGATCAAGATCCACCCGCTACGCCAACACAGCTCTGGACGACATTAATGCATCTGGAGAGCACAATAAGAGACGACTCGGGCCAGCGCAGAGCATGACTAGATAGACTAATGGGTTTGCAATAAGATCTTATCACCATTCATAGCTTCATCGCATCAGTGGCATTCTTCTCTAACATCACAGAGCTGAGCTTAAGGAAAGCCAGTCTGAGCACAAGGGTGCTGAGGATAATTTATGGTTCATCTGGTCTTTAATGGGTTACTTGGCACCACTGCTGCACATGATGTTTTTGTTCTTCAAGAAAGTGAATGCATAACAGGTGCAGGCAGGACTGGCAGTGTGTGGTCCAGAGCTGCCTCAGAGGAGAGCTACGTGTTTCTAAGATAAGGACTTACCGGGTAGGAAGCAGAGAAAAACAGGGGCAAATATTTACCAAAACTCACGTCAATGAGTTCTTTAATGCATGTCAATGGGAGGGATGCTGATGATAAACGGTTGCAGTCCTAATCGTTATCCATTTGAGTCATATATCTGAGTTTATCTTGAATTAACAGGAATTAAACCTCCCAGTTTGGTTTGGTCTCACAGACAGTAGTTCTAAGAGAAGTGGGCAAAAAAAACTAATTTACTGTTGATTTTCTTTTAGCAGACGTAGCAAATTGGATCAGCAATGCATAAAATGCATTAGTCTCCAGCCCTTTAATCTCACACTGAAAATAGACCAGTCCTCGACTAGGATGATCCCCTTGACATTTCTGTTTTTTTTAACTGCCTGGTCTTGGAAACGGAGCTTGCGTGCATAATGAACAACACGATCTATTTTTATTATTTAATATGTGCAATTTTTTTTCAAAAACTGTATGTCAGCATCTTTCATTGATCCGTTATAGCGCTGGTCCATTATTGGGAGTAAATTCCTGGTTGGTTATAATAATAGAGAGATTGGACACATGTATTCCATCTCATACCTGTTTTAAATGTCAAATAACAGCGCTTCATATCTTATGATAATGCAGCAAATAACAGCAAGTGATTGAAGTGGTTGAAGACTTGCACTCAGTTACCACGACTGCCTTCCCGGTTCCCTGTTTTCCTTTTTTTTCTGAGGATTTGGTGCATTAGTGAAATGAAATGTTGAGTGCACCTGTCAGATTAAAGGATTGAAGGTATCCCATTCTATTAAGTGTTGACTGTAACTATTAAATCTAATCGCCTTGTCTTCGCGTGAAATAGATGGAATTGAAGTGTGGGAGCTATTTATATTGGAAGAGAAAGAGCCTCTTACGCAGATTTTCTTCAACATTTCATAAGTGCATATTTACAGTATGTGTTCTGTGGCCTCTGCATCGTGTGTTTATGTGTGCCGTGGTTTCATTTGCATCCGTGTTGGTTACATGCAAAAGAGAGAATGAAAGAGGTCGTCTTTCATTCGGTGCAGCTTTGATTATTGCTTTCCAGCGTCAAATTAATATTCAACATTCAGCCCCGCAGAGGACTGTGCAAATCAACATTAATTAGTGTCCTCTGAATTCCTATAACGGTGACATTATACATAAACCATGTTATTCTGTTGAATTCAGTTCAGTCGAAGACGTTTGCAGCAATGATTTGGCACGAAAAAACGTAATAAGAAATGATTCCATCCAGAAGCAGGACTGTTGGGGGAGATAATCATCGAACCCTCAGCGTTGCATCCTCCATATCAACACTCAAACACAGCGATGGCTGTTGCTACGGCAGCAAGCCGACATCAAAGTGGTTTCTATTGGCGATTCCCCCCCGGGAGTTTCAGTGGTTTGCTACTCTGATGTTTCTCCTGTCATCATCATCATCATCAACACCACCAGAGACAACACCACTCCTATCTGACACGCACGGATGCAACAGCCCTGACAAAATCCCGCTTTCACACATGTATGAACCGAATCCTCCCTCCGTGCCCACGCAGATGTGCAGATTAAGACAAAACCTCTGGGAATAATGAACATAAAAGAGACAGGGTATGTGTTGCGCAGCAGCTTTGATGTTAAATCAACGGGGGGGGGGGGTCAGAGTGATATCTTCATACTAGACGGGCATCCCTTCAGGCAAAGTTAACAGGAACTGTTTAAATCTTGGGAGGCTTCTTGTGTGTGTTTGTTCTTTTATTCACTGTTGGGGGGGTGGGGGGGGGGATGTTGTTGGGCACAATCAATCACAATGCGCTGAATTCAGAGTGAAGTTTCCGCTCTAACATTTTGGATCAAAGCCGAGTAAATATAGAGCAGCATCCACTGAGTTATAATCCCACAATAATTCTAACTAAATCTTTTCATGCCCACAATTTCATTACTTCCCGTAATACAGTTTACTGAGAACATTCTCCGTAAGTAATAACCGAGTGATCCGATTCCAGGAGGGGCGGCTGCTAATTTTCACACGTATTTACCTGCACTCTTTGGGAGGCGTACGGCTCCGTATTGAAAAAGACACCAAAGCCTCTCCACCATTGTTTATTACCTGTAAAGGCTTGTGGTCCTGAGAAGATCGTGCATTGTTCTGATTCACGACACAAGCCGAGGCCAGCTGCTCACATTTTCAGTCTGACAACGACACCCACCACGTGATACAAACAACCCAATTAACAGGAGTTCTAAGGAACATGGTCCAACCTTCCTGCTGGGGTCATTAGTTATCACTTCACAAGAGCTCGCAGGCAAAATGATGTCCACACATTCACAGACACGGCAATATATCACTGTCCGTAGCCTGCAGGCTTTAATCAATCTGTGCAACCCAGTTCGGTCTGTGCAGTTGGTAAATATGCACATCAATCAATCCCCGGCTCTCTGCTTTAAGTGCTTATTTCTCTTGTTCGTGAAATCTCCTGAGACACGTTCAGAAGCACATCTGTGGTAGCCCACATTAAGAGCAGTATGATGGAATAGGTCTACAATGCTCCTGCTGTGCAGGTGGGACTTGAACGTGAATTGCTTAATACCAACGAAAAGGCCTGTATACTAAAAGTGGGAAGAGTAATATCATCAGTGGCTTTATTTGTTGACCAAACAATTGTGGTCAAGTCCTCCAATTCAATATCGGGACAGTTTCCCTTTGCTATCGAATTCACATGAAATATATATTTTGAGAAATTCTTTAAAATCAAGAAATGTGTATAAAACCCAACCCCTCCTAGAACACATGCCCTGTTTCCATCACCGTATTGCTGATCGTTCGTTGGTTATAACTCAAGCTTTTTTCTTTCTTTAAAAAAAGTGTTCATGTGTTTCTACCGATTGGGACGTGTCCCAACAACCAAACCACAACTATTATTGCAGTTTGCGAGCGCGTCTTCTGCCGCATTACACCGCGCATCTCACGATCCACGCGCAGGACTTACGTCTCTGAACCGATTCCAGTGCTTGATCTTGCGGCTGTACTGGGAAATGGTGGATAGCCATTGCTCGTCTTCCATGAAGTTCCCCGTTTTTTCCGCCTCCTTGACGCCCTTCACGTCGGTCTGGAAGGTGGAACCGGCGAGCACCGCCAGCGGGACGAGAAGGCACGCGATATCCGTAATTCCCACCATGGTAGCGGACTAAAAAAAGAAAGACCTCTCGCGCTGTCCGACCGTCGGCTTTCCTCTGCTGGGAGGAGGAGGAGGGGGGAGGAGAAGGGGAGGAGGGGGAGGATGCTGAGGCTGGTTTGAAACCACCAGCTGATTAGCCTATGGGATGCTCCTTCTGCCGCCGAGGGAGGGAGAGAGAGGGAGAGAGAGAGGGGGGGAGAGAGTGGGAGGTGATGATAGTGCTCATGGTCCTGGGGTCGCGTGGTAGTATTTGGTGTGTTTGTATGAATATGTCACGGATTTATTTGCATTTTAACACACACTTATGGTTTCTTAGGTGGGACAATTGGTTTGGTACAGAATGAGCTGAGCACCATTTTTCATATAAGACGGAGAATAGCGATTGATTGATTAAGACAATACACCAATTGTGTTGATTACACTAATTTATAGTCGCATTAAGAATATTTTAATTATGTTTTTGTATTGTTTTATCGTTTTGTTTTGAATTAGGCCTACAGTATTTTACTAATGAATTCAAGGTCCACTTTATAGCTTCTTCGATCACATCATCCATGAAAGGACTTAGCTGGTCGTGTGACCTGCTGTTCAGCTTTCATCCATAACAGTTGAATAATTTATGTTAATCGAAATATGCAGACTTGACTAAGAACAACTGTGTTTACGTTTCAATTGAAAGTTGTCAATATCAGAATTAAAATGCAATACTATAATGAATTAATTCCTGAATTAAATCATTTGACAGACAGCTTTAAATGACGGCATCTTTCAGAGCTGCCAATTGGATTTGTAAATCCTTTCTTGTTATTTTAGTAGCAGGTGTCGCTTATTTGAAAGCACAGAGTGGCCAGAATTACCTCAACGAGAAAATACACAACTACATTTCAGGAACATTATTGTGTTGTTTTGTGGACTAGAAGCTTCATGTTATCAATTGTAACATTATCAAAATACCTTTATGTTTGATGTGGGATACCCAGGAATAAACTAAATTGATTGTTAGTTGCATTTGACCACATTTTTTTCCATAATGTCCAAATCTGCAGGAAGAGCCACTATAACAGCGCAGCAGAATTACACAGCAAGCCTTCATAAAACTGGAAAGATGAAGTATTTGCTGCCTCTTTGCCTCAGGATTCTTACTTGGAGCGACAAGGAGGCAACAGAAAGAGGAGGGTTAGTTTATCAGTCTGCTCTTGGGCTCTGTTGCAGATTGCCCGCAGATAATGGCATCCCTTCTCATATACAATACAGGAAAGCCCCATTTAGCATATATCTGCCCTGTCGGCTGTATCGCTGCTTGCTACAGTCTCACGCGGTTCCCAGAGCGCCGTAGTATATCACGGCTTGTAATTGAAATGCTGGATTAACTGATGCCATCTTTATTTCATCCTGGAGAGTGTCTTTGAGGCCCTCTTAATAAAAGCATGCAGGCAGGAGACAGGGTGTCATCTAATCCCTCAGCTGAAAGCAATCAAGTTCACCAGCGAAGCCAAAAAGAGAGGGCCAGTTGTTTAAAATGAACACAATGTGATCAAATCTGTGTCTGAAAGCAACAAGGGATTTTTGAATCTATATATTCAGGCGTACATGTGACGCTTATTTGCAGATTGGGAAAAACAAAATCTATGTATGCAAACACCAAATCTGTTTACCACATGTCAGTTTGAACTGGATTGTCCTCAGTTTGAACTCTCTGCTGCAAAACAACATCACAGTGACATTTATACTGATGCGTTTTAACATGTCGCTCTGCAGCTGCTGCAATCAGCCAGCTTCATCCTCGGGGACAATAATCAAACCAAAGGCGATGGGTTCGAATTCAGCAAAACGGCCTGGTGATTAACATTACGCTCGCTTTAAGGCACATATTAGGTGGAAACCTTGCGGCCGCTGCACACAGGGAGTCAGGCACAGAACCCGGATCGTGAACCAACAGAAAGATGTGATGTGACAATCATCCGGAGAGACAAGAGCAGAACATGGCAGGCCAACAATGTGCAACTCATTTATTGAAGCAAGGTAAAGAGAAAAGGGGGGTAATCCTAGAATCACAGAGCCATAGGGGGGGGGGGGGGTTCAGGTAATCCCTTCATAAAAGACAGGGAGAATACGTTCCTGTCAGTCACGAGAGCGTGGTTGCCCCAGGTCTGATGCTTTGTTGAAGCCATCTCATTTTGTTGACAAGAAATGTGTGGATCAGACGGTGCACAATGAGAACGGGATGTTGTGTGCTGTTATCAGGAACCGGCGCCTTGCACGCTTAGACACAAATGGGCCCATCATTGAGCCCAAATCAGTGGTAGACATTATGAAGTTGTTTCTTTGTGTTTCATTAAGAACGGTAAGGAGGAATAGCTACCGTGAGAGCCGTAGTTGGATTTAACTGCGCGCAGCCGGGCTAGCTCTTCCCTCCAGCTGCACTGGCTGCTAGCGCCAACTTTGCATCCAACTTAAGAATAGTGGTATCATCTAGCTCAATTTGAATGATATACAGTACACTGCGAAACCCAAACAGCAGTCACAATTAAAGGTCTTAAGTTTAATTCCAAACCAAATAAAAAAAGCCAAACATTGGCAGCATTGTTAAATAATGCACATGCTTCTAAAATGAGAGCTGGCGTCACCCAGGGACGTGTCACGGTAAGAGTAGTTATAAATAATGATCAGGATCCTTTTCTCTGTCTTGATGTCATGTGGTTCATCATATGTGCATCGACTTTCTCACTCCTGCAACTATCTTTAAGCAACGGCGCCCGTGTGTGTGATGACATTCAATCAATAGCAATGATAAGACATGATAACACAACCTGGAGACTGCAAATTATCCAGTTCCTTTGGGTGCTTTACGTCAAGTCAGTATTTAGAGAAGAGACACAAGATAATACCTTTAATATGTTTGCATTCAGTGCTGCTCATGTCTGGCCGAGGAAAAGAAAAACGAAAGGCCTGATTAAAACCGTTACACAGTACGAGTAGAGAAAAGTGAAAGGAAAAGCATGAGACAAAACAACTGGATATGAAATGTCTCAAAATTGTGAACAATGCATCAGAACACCAGACAGAAAGCCTTTAACTATTATACATGCATAACAATATTGTTTAATTGTCTGGCTATTTTGCACGATTCCACTGCCATTTTGACATGTCATAGCAGGGTAAACACAGATGTAATAGATCAAATGATTTTTCCCCAGTTAATTGATTCCAGTGGGCCAGCTTGACAAAATACCAGAGCCTGGTCCACCTAAATGGAACACAGCCATAAATAATAGTATTAGCTACACCTCTATTCATCCTGCAATGGCATGGCAATATGGCTTCTGGGCAAAGGGCCTATTGTTTTTATATAAACAAACTGCACTCCTGGTAACCTTCTCTGAATACTTACTTCAAAATGCTCTCAAAATGGCAGAATTATGTTGCCTTTATTCAACCTGGTCCTTGTGAGCAGCAGCTTGCACCCCTCTACTGTTTCCCACCAATCTGCTGAGTGGGAGCTTCGTTAACTGTCAATGTGGAAGCCTGTTGGCCAAAAGCAAGAAAGTGGTATGTCATCAAAAGACAGGTAAAAAAAGGGGAGGGGCCAGGGAAAGGGAGATAAGCGGTTACCTGAGCCTTGTAATACCCATACAACCATGTTATTTAGTATTCACGATAATAAGTTCTTCACATTACCTAGTCTGTCAAATGCAAACATACCGACAACCGACATATGAGCCAATTGTAATCATACCGCGTGCAGCATACTTTGTAAAGACAGCATTAGTTTGTACGAAAAGTAGAATTTGGAGTTAATTTCTCTCAAAGGGCTTTTTCAGTTCAACCTCAGCTCATAAACCACATATCATCATTATTTTTAAATCACGGTTGGTCAGAAATAAACTCCTAATTAAACCAGTACCCCCAAAAGTGATGATTTTTTTAAATTAGTGTGTAAAGCCTTCATGATTTGTAATGTGCCTCTTAGCAAAACATGCCAGACATCGGTTTCTCTGTCCCCCATACGGCCTGTTTCTGCTTCCTCCAGCAATAAATAAAAACCTAAAGGGAACGCCGTACAAGCTCCCCCCTCAGCCGACGCAATGAGTCCTGCACTTATCTGTAAGGATTTACAGAGAAAAATCTGTAGGGATTTACAGATAAACACTTGCAAGGATTTACAGATAAACATGGCTCAGATGACACAGGGACACGCGGTTGAATATTCCTCATGAAGATGTAATGCTACTTTATTTTTTCTTTTATTAGATTTGACATCATTACCTCACTTTTTCAGTCATGAGCAGTGATAAACAAAGCAACCATGGTTATTACACTACAGCTCCGACCCTGCTCACAAATAGCATGCTGTTGCTATAGCTACAGCACGGCAAATGCAATCCAGGGACCCTTTTACCCCCCTACTGAATTAATTAACAACATGAGCATATTTAAGAGTCCGGAAGAGAGGGTTGTATCTGAGCTAAATCAAGTGTAAATATGCTTCATTTTCCATTGAAGTGCCTCGCGATTGCTCCGGGTCCTTTCACACCAATTAGTGAACTAGTCCTTTGGAGGGAAAAATATAGGAAGCGGTAGGTTTTTGTTGTTGTTGTGATACACTACTGAGTACCTCAGCTAGAGCAAATAGTTACCCCAAAAGAAATCCATTCCCAACAACCCATTAGGTAGCTGATTTATTATATATGAATTACATAGCCCGAGGCTGGCTCAACTCGCAGCTCTCTCGGGCCTGTTGGATCTGTAAAACACAATGCCTGTCAAGCTTTATTTGCTCTTATTCATTTGACTTTTCCCCCAAAACAACATCGCGTAGATGTTTTTTCCCTCCAAAATGGTGACACAGAAGCTTAAGCTTGGTTAGAAGACATATTTTTGGAGTCATATGCAGTGACACAGTAGAGAAGCAGAATAAACACGCAGTTGTGACTGTCAAAGCGCGCATGCGCGTCAAAGATTGTGTGTGTTCAGGCACATTCACTCAAAACAATAGGTGCACCCAGGCACGAACATCTAACATCCAGTCATGCACACAGACACTTTTGATTTAAAGCTTCTTTACTGTGGGTTTTACAAGTAATGCAAATGCGCCCCCCTCATAATATGCAGTGTATTACACCAGTAAGGACAGACCCCCCGGCAAATTCATTTATTTTATACTAGTTTGCATCATTGAGTTCCGCACAGGTCAGAATCACAATCTCCAACAAACGTGAAAAAGAATTAGCAATAATTCAGCCTTAGCGGACAAAGAGAGACCGTGTATGCACTATCGATTTTTACAGAGGACGCAAACGCAAAAACAAGAAAAACACTTACTGTAAACACGTTGACCAACGTATGATAAAAAGTTAAAGTCAATAATCTACATGTCTCCGTGCTCGTTATTGACCAAGAGGTCCATAAACAAAATGTTCTGAATCTAATGGTTTCAGAATAGTTGAACGAATGTTACAACAGGACATTGTAGGGCGCTGACTTCACCGATCTGCAACTTAAAAGAACTTTATTGAGTGTGCGTCGGTGTCGTAAAGAGGCTCTTTGAGGGACTCGCGAAGATTACAATGCATCGATTTTAGAAAAAAGAAAAAAGGTCAGCGTGCGTGTTTCCGATCATTTGGAGAAAACACGCCCCGTACGTGCGGTACGTGACGGCTTGAGCTGCAGGAATGAGTCTTTCCCACAGCGGTTTCATCATCTTTTGCCCCCCAGCTGAGAGGGTGGGTCATAATGTTATTTCATGGCATTTTGACCAAAGGGCACTGATTGGTCCGTCGATTCGGATGTTTGATCCCAGATTTGTATAAAACTACTTTAGAGCAGAAAAAAATAAAACAAATATAAGTGTGTTTGGGGGTCGGTGCCTGCTTATGGGGCTTAAATCCTTCGCCTCACCCGAGGGACCACAAATGTTGCTCGACTGGATGAAGCGCTGAAGACGTGAGCTGAAACCTCATTGGTTGATAAACACAGAGGGCGGGGCCTCCGCTCTGTGTATGTATATATAGAGCTTTGTTCCATTGTTGCAGTGTGTTTTCCAGTTGGTTTGACTCAGAAGTGGTGTGGGGGGGGGGTCACCGTTTGAAGACACCATAGCACTTACTTTACTTTTTTAACCATCAGATCCTGTTTTTCTTTCGTTTGAAAAAATGTCTTCTTCTTCCAACTACTCCCTGGATGGCAGCTTTCCTCCGTCTCCGGCGGGGGGCGAAGGTGCAAAGCGACTGTCCTGGGGCAGGCTGCTGCAGAGGCTGACTGAGCTGAAGGGGAGCAAGCAGAGGATCACAGATGACCATCGGTGGAGCAGAAGGGGAACTGGTGAGCGTTGCTGGCTTTTGCATGACGAAGCTCCATTGTGTTTAGTCCAAGATGTCATTTAGTTTTTATTTCAGTTGACTTGAACTTCTACAAAAATATGGATTATGAACAGACAAAGAGCGAGAGGGTTAAACAAGGCAGAGGCCTTCATTTTAGTAAGCCCAGCACTACCAGGGCGAGACTTTGACCTGTATTCTTTTGTTTTTAGGGTCGGTGGCGGACATCTCCTTGTCAGAATCAGACAGCAGCTTCTTCTGTTACCCTCTGGAGGAAGCCCTGGCTGCCGACGTCGTAGCAACGATATCCCAGAGCCTCACAGACGCCTCGAATGTCCTGGGCTGCTCCAAACTCGTCTTACCCAACTTACTGCTGCACAACATCAGCCAGCAGCTGCTCCACCTGGCTGTCAGCGAACCCTGCGGCCTCAGGGGAGCACTGATTGACCTGTGCGTGGACAACGGGGGCCAGGGCCCCCTGTGCGCCGTGGACCAAATAGCCGTGGACGCCAGCCTGGTCTCCACCTTCCACGTGACCCTGGTGCTGAGGCTCGAGTCCGGTGGACTGTGGCCAAAAGTTCAGAAGCTCTTCAAGGGTCGCAAGTCAGAGACGTCTGCAAGGAACCAGGGCACTCGGAGGATGAGTAAGAACTTCAGGGCCATCAAGAGGAAACTGTATTGTTCGGGGGCGCTGCTGATTGAGGAGTGTTGCTGACCAAGCGCTCCGAGCTGAACTCGCATGTGGGACTTGCTCTAGAAGGAGGCTGGTGGGATAAAAGGTTGTTTTTTGTAAATACAGTAGCTTATGGGTCAAACAGGATGGTTGTGAGTTACAACATTGTAATTACAAGTGTACCAAACTGTTCCTGGAAACAGACTGTGACTCACGGCAGCTGCTCACCTGGATGCGTGTGACATGAAACGGCATCGATTCATGTTTGATCATGTGTTTGTTTCATTCCTATGAATGTAAAGTCACAGCCTTAAGGGAACAACTCACGTATTTTGATAGTCAAATGTGACCTAAAACATGCGTTTTGTACTTTCAACTTGAACATATCGAAATAAATATTTTGTTAATGGCTCACTTGTAAGCAGTCAATTACTTCTCATGTGTATGTATGTTTAACAAACAATGTGTCATTAGGGTTTGGAACATCAGTCCGTTCATTCACCACGTAAAGGGAAAAGTGTCAACAATTATAGGTTGAATTATCTTTAAACCTGGTTCTGAAGTTCATGTCCATACAAAATAATTTTTACTGTTCATCTTTTGCACTTATCAGGTAAAAATGTGTCCAATACTTTAACATCCTTTGTTTTGCATCATGACCCAAACAGACATTACATCTGCATCAACAAGTTAGCAATGTCATTGTGAGCATGAATTGAATCATTTGAATAGCTTAAAGCACCACTGCGCGCAAGTACAGCCTCACCCGACCACTAGCATGGCTGTAGACTGAAGTCTTATTTTAAAGAAAAAAACATGCACTAGTTAACCATCGGACAAGTTTAATTCAAAAAAAAATCTTATACAATTTTAGCATGTTAATTTAATAAATATGGTTTACTTTTATTTGTGCAACAATTCAATACTTCCAACAGGCTACAAGCGAATCCACAAAAAAACAATAGTAGATGATATCAACTCCAATAAACCCTGCACTGTTAAAAGAAAATGAATATTTACATTGGTTAAGAACTATAAAAATTACACTTTCCTTGTGAGTGGCTCAGACATTTGTCTATGAGAAGGCCATATGGTTTCTCAAAAATGATTAAGGACAACAAAAAAGACTGGGACAGAGAAAACTAATCTTAGCAGCTTTGTTTACCGTCCGGACAGACAACTATGCTCTTACTTTCCACGGTGACGCCCAGCGGACTCTCACCATAATGAAGAGACCAGAGTGAGAAAACGTCAGCGGTCAACTCAATGCTTCTCATAAATGTACAGGAAGTCAATCTACGACAAGTCGCAGAGAGGTTCCATGATCAGGTTTGCTGCCCACTGCACGTAAGGCATTTTTTATTCTCTTGGTTTGCTGCAGAAATATGCTCCAATTTCAGTGGGCTCCGACCGATTTCTTCTAATGATTCAAGTACCGAGAAACCTGCAAAAACAAAAGAAAGAAATCACTGATAGCTTTGCAGCGGCCACTACGTGGGATGAACTCTGATTAGATTCCATACATGCAAAGATAAACCCCAAAACAGATCCTTCACTATCACTTGCACAACGCTCAGAATCAGTGAACCAGCAGCACGGAGAAATTGAGCTTTGACATTTTTGCATGTTTTACACAATGTCAAACCTCTCACAGCCGTGCTCTATTTTTCAAAAATGTTTTTCCCATCTTCAAGACAGTTGAAAAACGTTTTGGCTATGATGATGATGGCTAATTTTTTTAAATCAATCAAATCAAAAGTTTTACCATGTCATGACAAAGCTGCTGTGAGCAGGACATGCTATAAAACCCCTTTTTGGTGATGTCGTAAAGTGCTTGTAGGAAACACCGACATTGGAGACAACATAGCCAATTCTTAAATATCAGGTGTCAGTCCTGCTTCCAACTGGACTACCTCGCGTCAACAAGTAAAGGAACGGAGTCAATGCTTGCTACAGTTCATTACATACAGGAAGCAAGTAGTTTAAATTTAAATGAATGGCATGAGTTGCCCGGTAATGTTTGGATTCAACCCGAAAACCTTTGGTATGTTTTGAAAAACCTCTAACCATAATGAAGTGTGTTTGAATGGGATCAAAAAAGCAACACACTCTAGTTTTTTGCAGTTCATGTACTATATTTTTGGTTTCACACATTTTCTTCTGTGGACTGGTGTTAATATCTTTACCGCTACATTACTAGCATTGAGCAGCTGCTTTCAGTTAATCTATATGTATGGCTTCTGTTCCTATCAAATAAATACAGACACCATTATACTGTAAAGAGACTGACGGTAGTGGCAACTTACCCGTGCGTGCACGAGGGGTTTCTAGCCATCCAATAGAACCTGAATCTCAGATAGTCTGGAACAGCTGGGAGTCCCCATTCTCTGTGCCCTTTGGTACAACTCGGAATCCCCAAAGTAACGAGCACGGTACAGCAGGCCCTCCTCTGAAAGGAGAGGAGGTCAGTACGCATGGCACGGTTTCAGTGCTAAAATGCTACAATGATTGATGATACAGCCGCTCCGATGTGGCTGTAGCATCAATTTACTAATCCTTAAAAATAGGACATGATTAGGCTCATACCAATAAACTAAGAACACACCACATTTAGAATGAAGATGGCATACTGCGCAGTGGCAGAAATATAAAGCTGTACTAGTTAAATTACAATCAACTGATTCATTGTTTCGGGGCGCAAGCCAAAACTTACTCTGCTGCTTCTCCTTCCAACAGTTGTTTCTGAGGTTGGAGATGTAGTCTTCTTCGACACTTCTCTCAACATTCTTCATGTTGTTTCCAGAGAATTCTTCATTGAAGCGATCTCCCACATAGAAAAGCACCTTCAGGTTTGATGTATGCCTTTTGTGAATATGTCCAGCTGAGCTGATGTATAAAAAAAGTCATTAGAACCGGGTGAAACAGATGAGACATCTCAGACTGCCTGAGAACGATCTCCGAGTGGTGAAACACTTACGGACGGTAGCTAAGGCTGTAGGGAGGCTGGGTGACCATCATTTGGCTAAGAGCAGAAACAATGATGAGGATTAAGATGGGCATCAGCTGGACAAACAGAGCCAGACCTCCCTGTTCAGGAACAAACACAAAAAATCATTTGATTATGGTTTCCTTGCAGAGAGCGTACAGGACATCCGCTCGTATCAAAAGCAAGTGTTAGTATGGTATTTTAAAGACGACTTACCTCTCTCTGCTGTTCTCGTCTTTCTGGCCTATTTTGGTGTGCAAAATGCATTCTTCCATTTCTGTAAACGTGGACATTACCTGAAAAGAGCGTAAGAAAAGACATACAGTGCATTTTAATGATCAGCTATGGGCAGAATAAAGTTTTGCACCACTTCCCACCCGAGGGTTTTTTCCTTAGAAGATAAAAGGCAAAGACAGTCTAATAAAATTAAGAGATTCACAATCGCCTTGACTCCAGCGAGAGGATGATAGCTTATTAGAGCCGACAGCATACAGCATAGAACACGCAAAAACGCCATTATAATCAGTGCTGTAGTGGTAAAATTAGAGGTGGGTAAACTCTGAATTTTGTGATCAGACAGACCTCGACGCGATGCGAAGCAACGCAACACAAATTGTTGCGACTCTGTAAGGCTGTCCTGGCTATATTACATTATGCTATCAGTAAAAGTCATATACAATCAATGACAATGAATAAATGGTTAGTTTGTAGTTTATTAAATCTAAGAAAAAAGTGAAGAAAAGTATGTCAACACAACAACACAATTGCAGATTAAGAACTATCTACATATGGAGTCTCCTTTTTACAGTAGTGCCCAGAGGGCCTCCTTGTCCTCCACGTCAGGTCCTGCCTTGCACAGAGGAGCCATGAACCCCAGAACACGCGTTCTGGGGTTCATGGCTCCTCTGTGCTTCTCTCTCTATTGGACCTGGTGTTTCTCCTCTCCCTGTGCTCTCTGCATCATTGCCTGTCCTATCACTGCCTGAACAAATATGTTGAATTTAAGAGTTAACCAGTTAAGCAGCCTGTCAATTACACTGACAACACAAGTTGAAGGAACACTACGTCAGCATAAATAGCCTATACAGCACGGTTTTTTTCACGTTGAGAATTGACTTGTTTTCTAATCTACGCGTCACCAGGCGTTTTTCTTGTCCTTTTACCGTGCACGACCAGCGAACACAGAGCGCGCGACTACCCCCTCCACCGTCGGTCGTTCCGCCCGCAACGACTACTACACCCCTCCCCCCGTCGGACCTTCTCGGCCGGTCCGCGAAATATTGTCTGACATGAAACCGGTCTGTGGGGTAAGAAAGGTTGGGGACCACTGGGCTGATCCACAGCGTGTATGTGCCTCCTGGATCCTGATTGGTCGCTGCTGCAGTCGCAAGGCGCTGATTGGATGCTCACAGACCGTAATACAGCGCAGATGAACATGATCCAGACTACGGCGTTTATATGTTCAACAATAGGAAACGTAGTCTTAGCTGTTTTAAAATTACACCAAGTTTATTTCGGATTATTCCAAAGGAAGAATACAAGGCACAGGGAACTTTGAGGTGCGTAAACGCTATTTCCAAAATTCCAGAGGTGCGTAAACGGCGTTTACGTGCGTTTACCCTCCACTACAGCCCTGATTATAATCAACACTCAGCCTGCGCAGAACGCAGTGAAGAAGGCTGGCTTGCTGCAAAATGAGGCTGCTGAGGCGTGTAAACGTGTTACTACAAAACATGAAAACCACAATACTTGTGGACCTCCAAAGCACTGCGCTAAAGTACCACATCCGTCAAGTCCAATACTCATGTGCCTTCTACTTACTTGATGGAAAGCCTCCACCAAAGAACATGTTGAAGAGGTCCTCAGGTGAGATGTCGGCTTCAAAATCCCGGTGGTTTCTCTGCCTGGTTGGGTGTGATGGTTCCTCTCCATACTGGTCATACTGCCTTCGTTTTTCAGTGTTACTCAGCAAAGCATAAGCATTACCAATAGCTGAAAGGCAAATAAAAGAGTCCCCACATGGTTACACTGAAAATTACATGTGTGTCAAAGAACGGCACTGGATTAACTCTAGTTTACCTTTAAATGCATCCGTGGCTCCAGGCGCGTGATTTTTATCCGGATGAAATTTTAGAGCGAGCTTTCTGTAAGCTTTTTTAAGATCCTCCTCAGAGGCCGTCTTTTCAACCCCCAGAATTTGGTAATAATCTTTACAACTCTTAATCCTGTAGCAAAAACACAAACAAAAGCAGAGAGTTAGGGGATTAAAGAGGAAGAAATGTAGAAACATTAACAGACAAGATACCTTAATATGGAAGCAGTAAAGACAAACATTTATCATTGAACGAACACAAGATCATTTTCCCATATAATTGCTGTGGCATTTTGGATTTACTGCATATTTCTTCAGAGACCGCATTCCCTACACCCAAAAAGATTGTGTATGCTTTAATACATAGTTTAATCAAGGTAAAATGTTGCACGTCCCTTCAGTTTGCTCAAACAAAAGAACACATATGCAGTTACTTTTTGACAGCGTCGAGCTGATCGGCCGTGTACGGTTTTCCCGAATCGGTGGCCCCCTGTGCGGACACATTGGGCTCCTCTCCGTGGCTGCTTCGGTGTCTCATAGTGGGTCCGTCTGCGTTCGCAGGACCGCCATTCTCCTCCGGAGGCTTTCCTTTCTGAGCCAGCAGCTCCAGCAAGTCTGCGGAGAAGGTGGGAGTCGAGTCATTCAAGGCTGACGCCGGAGTCTGGTTAATAATCAGATAACGTATTTAGCTTAGTCAGCTAACGTTTAGCACTGGAACGTTAGCGGCTAACAAGGACGTCAATGGTGCAAATGCGACCCGCGTTGGGACAATTTAAGACATTCAGTAACCAAATACGTTGCTGAATTTGGGGGTGGTGCTGAAAAACTACAAATACCAGTGTCGGCTTGGAGCAGCTGGTGTAACGTTAAGATGGTTATGCTAAGGTTAGCTGATTTCCAGCGATGGCCCACCGAACGACGTTAAATCTCTACCAAAACAGCCGTTCGTTCGACGTACTTTTCGCCTTGTCTGTCGGAAACAGCCGCTGTGCTTTCTCCAGGAACTTCCGCGCTTTGTCCGGCTGGTTGTTGCTGACTGAAATTAGGGCTATTTTAATGCACCGCTCCGCTTCGTCCTTGTTTGAGTCCATCTCGGTACAGCGGAAGTGTTTACTTGCCCCGGGACGCACGGAGATGACGTGTACAAGCTGTCGGTCTCTGAAATAACGCGTCATAACAATTGAATGAAACTAACAGCATGCCGTTCGCACGCGCGACTAACACCCCGATGTTTGAATTCAGTGGTGTTCATTTGATGCATATATGAATATATAACTGATCCTTTACGACACTAGCTAACGTTACTTTGAAAGTCGAAATGGCTTCGGCAGCTTCACACTGCAGGTCAGTTATATTTGCCAAACGTAACATTCTGTATAACATTGCAGTGAGGCAAAGCCGTCTGTTGTTTTCAACTAACGACGCTACCTCAGATGGGCAGAGGAAACCGTCACAGCGGATAAAAAGTCAGAATAATTCTCCCAGGACAGATCACCTGTCGTGGGAGGAAAGGCTGGCTGACGTGGTCACTCCTCTGTGGAGGCTGAGTTATGAAGAGCAACTTGAGGTCAAGCGAAAGCATCAGCAGAGGATCCTCTCTCAGCTGGCCGGGCACCTCACAGGGGACCCACAAGGCTCACCTGTCAGGGGTAAACTCGGCTTCCCCGTGTTGCCCGTTCTGCCGTCGCCAGTCCGGGATGGCTACCGCAACAAGTCCACGTTTTCAGTTAACAGAGGAGCGGATGGAAATCCAAAGACGGTTGGGTTTTACGTGGGCACGGGCCGGAAGGGAAACATCGTCTGCGTCAACGGAGACCACCTGCTCAACATGCCGGAGAAGCACAAACTGGTGGCCAGGTGTTATCAGGACTTTCTCCGCCTCTCGCCTCTGGAGCCCTGCCTGCTGTTCCACGCTGGGGGTCACTGGAGAGAGGTCACGGCGAGGACCAACGCAGAGGGCCACACCATGGCCATAGTGTACTTTCATCCACAGGGGCTCACCCGAGAAGAGGTGGCGGCCCACAAGGCCGAGCTGGTGGAATACTTCACGCTGGGGCCTGGGTCGGTCTGTCAGTTGGACTCGCTGTATTTCCAAGAGAGCGGCATGACCCGCTGCAGCCACGAGGAATCGCCCTACCAGCTCCTGCATGGTCAGCCACACATATACGAAGAGGTATAACACGACACCGTCGAGCCACCATGTGTTTGAATGGGACTTTACGTAGTGTACAGAATACATTCCAGCACTTGCAACCATGACATTGTGTTTGAAGAACAGTAGATTTGTTCAAGCAGGTGCAAAATATAGCTTCACCTTTTTACGCAGGCCAGCCTCACGGCAATTACAAACCAATGAACAAGATGACAGATACAATTTGTTGTTAGTTATAGTTTGATTTGATGACATAATTGTGAACTAATGTTTCCCAAATCTGTACTGGATTACTAAATTGATCCAGGACGGATTAGCAGTGGAGGAGAAATGGAACTAAAGGTTTTAAATAAAATTAGTGAGATACGTCTCTAATTATTAAAAAAAAAATACCTCAACAGCTTTTGTTATGTATTATTATTCAACATGACATTGACATGTCAATAAGTTCTGCATTTGTTATGATAATAGACAAAGGAATGCAGGCACCACAATATCCGTGTAGTTATACGGAGCTTTTTTCTGTGTTCTTCACAGGTGCTGGGCTACAAATTCCGCATTTCTGCCGATGCCTTTTTCCAGGTAAACCGGGCAGCTGCTGAGGTGCTGTATACCACCGTGAGACACCTGTGCTTCCCTACGCCCGAGGATGGTGGAGGAACAACAACAAAGCCTGGCGGTACCCTCCTGGATGTGTGCTGTGGGACGGGGGCCATCGGCATCACCGTTTCTCCCAGAGTGGACCGAATCATTGGCGTGGAGCTCATAGAGCAGGCGGTGGAAGATGCTCGACACAACGCCGCTCTAAATAAAGTACTGAACTGCGAGTTTGTCGCCGGGAAGGCGGAGGTCGTGCTGCCTGCCGTCATGTCCCAGTTGAGCGCCGCAGGCGGAGGCCCCCTGGCAGCCGTGGTGAACCCCGCCCGAGCTGGGCTGCATCACAGGGTGGTCCGAGCTCTGCGAAACCAACCCGCCATCCGCAGGCTGGTGTACGTGTCCTGCAAGCCGGATGGGGAGGCCATGAGGAACTTCCGGGAGCTTTGCTGTGCCCCGGATCCCCGGAAGAAACTCTGGGGAGATGCGTTTTCTCCAAGTCTGGCTGTGCCTGTGGACATGTTCCCACACACGCCCCATTGTGAAGTGGTGCTTCTCTTTGAGAGGTAGCACGTGTTTTTCTTGGTCCACGGGTGGGCTTTCATCCCCGCAACACCTACATTATTTCAAAAACCCAAAAGGTCCTTGAATAATTATATATGTTAAATGATTAAATTACCCCCATGTTCAGTACCTTGGTTTTAGTCCTGCGAAGAAATGTTTTTTGAAAATCTTATGATCAATCCTGTGATGTATAAAATGTCAGAAAACAGAGTGCAAAGTGATGATTCAAAGTTGCTTTTTTTGTACAGACCAACCATTCTGAACTCGTATAATATACTTATTTTACAATGCTGTAGAAGAGTTCATTCATTTGTGAAGTCGAAGTGAGTAAAGGTAATTCTGCGTGAGCATGTGCAGTTTTTCCATTCAATGTAGACCTTTTGTTAATCTGGTTTGTTAATGAAGTTCTTTAATGTGCTTTTAGTTCAGTTTGGTGACCTTGAGTGATACAATCTGACATACAGCAGATTGACAGGGGGAATTGACATTAGAGTTCGGTCAATGCAACCATCACACAATATAAGCTTCACAAAATGACATCTGCTGTTCACATTGGATGTCATTACAGTGGTTTAGATGTGCCTTTACTGGTGTGCAGGTCGTGTAGTAGACGTACTCGAGCAGCAGATGGCGCCATTACTACTCGTTTCGGAGGCATCCTGTGAGAAGACGTCCCATTTATTCCAGTTCACTTAAGGTCAGTAAAATCATGACTGTACAGTAGAGGTTACCAACGTTTATCCGAGATGGTACAATTGAAACAAGGCGTCCCTGGCTTATGAATAGTTATTTTATCTTTTTTACGACTTGGGAAAACCCCCCAGTTACCCTGGCAATGCACATTTATGGCACAATCTTCTCATATTTCACTCATTTTTGTTTCTGTAAAATAAATAATTTGTTCACAATACATTTATGTTTTATGCACCAAAAGTACAAAGTCTCATAAATATAAGAACCACATCTCTGCTGCAAAGTTTCACAAAGGCTTCAAATGGTCAATGAGATGTTCTGTTCAGTCTTTGCGAGTTGATATCCACATCTGACAGAACTATTTTCGACGTCGTCTGAAGGGAAAACTGTATTTTATCTACCAAAAGTTGGGAAAACACATTTGAGGAGTTCCCATCCATTTCAGATCAGACCTTGAAATCGTTAACTGAAGCTTGCAAAACCCAAATTTGCCTTTGCACTGGAAATGTTGACATGCCGGCGGGGCCACCGGGTGCAGTCATGCGAATGCAAATGTGCCCATGGCCAAAATGTCAGCGTCACTGGCGCGTGACATAATGCCGGGCGTGAAGAGTTGACCCGCGTTTACAACATCTTGCCACATTACATCAGATTGCAGGGGCCATATTAAGATCAAAAGGTAGATATGGCATTGGGCCATGGGGGAAACATGTGGGACATTCGGAGGGTGACCCCCAAGAAGAAGAAACAAGGAGGTGGTTAACATAATAAAACAGCCAATAGGGTATTTCACAGCGCGTGGCATCAATTTCCTCGTCGGGCAGTTGCTTTAAAAACCACCTCAGCAGTCGGCTGCAGCAGCGACGACTCGAGCCACCGGAGACCCACGCAGCAAAGAGTCGCCTCTCGCTCGTCATCCTTTCCCCCCCTAAAGCCTCTTCTTCTCTTCTCTTCCTCCGCACGGTGAGTACTCTCGACTTGGGCAGACGGACACGCCTGAACGGACATTAACGAAGACACGACGAGTGCTCATGCAAATTGTAAGCGCTATTTGAGTTGTGGCGTCGCTGCTATATTTTTTTTTTTTGGAACCCATTTTTCCACCGCAGATAATGTTACGAAACCGTAACTTTTTTGGGGTTGATCCGATCAAAACACCGCTTCGGCACAACGTTTAACGCTCACGTGGGGATGCTCACTTTATTCTTTCGTTGAACTTTTCATTCAAAGGATACGAGGCTGCCGTTAGCGACACACACACACACACGGCAAACTTCGAGCAACACGCCCACCATTCAGCTAGCTAGCTAGCTAGCTTAGCTACCAGAAAAGTTTAGCCCAACCGCCCACAGTACGCGTAGTTTTATTTTATTAATTTTACCCGCCGTCGTAACCGTGGCTTGTTTTTGTTTTCTTGGGAGGGTTTAGACTACGGTTCTACACAAAATGTTTGCCTTTACGTGTTGGTGCCAAGCGGCATCTTCCGGTGCAACAATTGTGGCATGACGACGTCACCGCTTTCATGCGAAGTGGCAGCAGCAAAGCGGAGTGACGTCCTGTTTTCATGCGTTCGTGCCCGCAGCTTTCCCACTCACGCTGCGTATGACACCAATAAAAGGAGGCGGAATGGGGGGGGGGGTCAAGGTGGTCTGTGTATTATCGGGTGACACGCGAGTGATGAGCCGTTAGGTTCTCTCTCTCTCATAACCGTGTCAGAATAATCGTTTCAGCCGAGTTTATTTTCCGCGCACCGTGTGCGCAGCAAGCCGCCGTACCTTCCTCTCTGTTCCTGCATCCCGCCGTGCGCATTCAACTGAGAAACATCTCTCTTTCCCTCCCCCTCTCTCTCCGTTTTTTTTTTCGGTCTCCCTGCTGCGCACTACCGTTACAGAACCCCTTCAGCCAAGATGACAGAGACCGTAACCAGGACCCATCGCGATGGCAAGCAACAGATCGCAGACAGCTCGACGGTGGAGGACGTTTTTGACGACACCTACAAAGAGAAAGATGGACCCAAGCCGCCGACTGCTCTGGTGTGGAGAAACATCGTGTTGATGTCCGTCCTTCATGCCGCCGCTCTTTACGGGCTGGTTCTCCTTCCATCTGCGTCAGTTCCAACTCTTGCGTGGAGTAAGTATTTACTATGCTGCGAGAGGCTTAGCAGTGCACTGTTTATTGTGAGCGTGTTTTGGGCCACAGTCGCAGTAGAGAATGTGCTGATGTTGTCATTGCAAACTACAATACATAAGGGGGGGGGGGGGGGTCATGCCTATTGGAGAATGAGTCACTCGGCCTTGTGCTTTTTTTCATTTTACAAATCCCGATGCAAGTTTTAACTTACTTCTGAGGGGCTGATCGCAATTTGTCCAAATACTTTGCAGTGTTTTGACTGTCCAAAAATAGATTTGTTTTAATTTCACTGACACCAAACGTTTAGCTGCATAATTGCAATTTGTGCCCCATGGATGCATTACTTGATTTTTGAACAGTTCCAACCTTGTTTTCACTTCGGCACTGCATAATTCCCCCTCTCCTCTTCTATCTTTGCAATGCTGAGCTGCATATTATTTCACCGGGGGAAGACAAAGCACAATCACCATTTCCATAGACATCCCATTGTGAGCTGTGTGGCACCACAACAGAATGCTCTCTGGCAGTCCGAAGCCCCCGGGTCTCAAATCCTGGGCCGTCTTGTCTGGGCTCCACATTGGAACGCATTCAGCAGTTTAGAACAACAAACGTGTGAGGGCCAACCTGCGTGTCCCCATCTCCCCGCATAGATGACTTTCTCTGAACAAAGAGGCCAGGGTGTAATGGAAAGAACATGGTGCCCCAGTGACTTTGCTCTCCCGGGTGTAAAATGAATCTCTGTGTGGTGGTGACAGTTTCCCCTAAGCTGTGTCTTTCCTCCACTCTTCCTTCCAGCTGCAGTGTGCTACATCATCAGCGCCCTCGGTGTGACTGCAGGTGCCCACAGATTATGGAGCCACAGATCCTACAAGGCCGCGTTCCCTCTGCGAGTCTTCCTCGCTCTCGCCAACTCCATGGCCTTTCAGGTAAAACGGGAACAGATGTGGATGTCAAGTTGCGCTTTCATTGATCTCCAAAGGTGGAAGTTTGGTGTTTGCAGAAGCACAATGTTGCCATGTGTGTTCATTGGCAGTCTTCCTTAACTCTGACAACTGTAACAAAAAGTGATTGTGGAAACTTAACTCTAATGAGGGAAAAGGAGTCTATCCAATTCGGACCATTTTAAATCTGGCTATTAGAGGAGGGGGAAAAAAAAACCTCTGAACACACAGTATTGCTGAAAGCGGGTCATTTCTACATCTCTTAAAAGATTCGTTACTTGAAGGCTTAATATTCAGCTCTAAGATCAATAAATGCACAACAGTGCAGGGATTTCACTAAGCTAAAGCAATCTGAGGGCTATGCATTTATTGTTTTGTTACCACTGTTATCTCTGACCTTAATCAGGCTATCTGATTAAGGCTATCTATCTGTTTGTGCCTCACCTAATGTTCTCTGTGTGAGCAGAATGACATCTATGAGTGGGCGAGGGACCACCGTGTCCACCACAAGTACTCTGAGACTGATGCAGACCCCCACAATGCCACGCGGGGCTTCTTCTTCGCCCACGTCGGTTGGCTGATGGTTCGCAAACATCCGGACGTCATTGAAAAGGGCAAAAAACTGGAGCTGTCGGACTTGAAGGCCGACAAAGTGGTTATGTTCCAGAGAAAGTGAGTCAACGTTGCCAATAGTTGCTGTTCTTGTGTCTGTGTTGTCTCAAAAGGGAGCTAAAAGACGCTTACTTCATCTTTTATAGAATCCAAATGTTATCAAAACTTCATTTTTGTTTTAATAAAGTTTTCTTTTGGGGTGTGAAAAAATAAATACAACCTACTTTATCTTTCAACATACGTAATCTTTTACCCATCTGCTGGACTGCCAATACTCTGGGTGGGGTTATCGGATAGAAGATTAAAGGAGTGTTTTCAACCCCTAGGTTTACAACTTTAGAGGGCCGGGGGTGTAGTCTGTCTGCTGGAGCTCCACGTGTGCGTGGAACTGCCTGTGCAAACAAAATAAAGGGGGGGACGCTGAATAAGACCGATGGAAGCACAAGCAGCATCCACCACCTCGCCCTTCACACCCAAAGTTTGATACAGGCGTTGTCGCACCATTAAAAGGAATTTCGCCTTTTCGCCCAGTCGGTGCCGCATGTTGTCGGCTGGGTTGTTTTGATCGTCATAACACCTGGTTCCACAATCTAATACTGGGTGCATTTTGGACCATGGATCACATCAGTTTTGGACCTTTGGTGCCCTCTGTCAACATGCCAACTTTTCTGGACACAGTCCCAGATTTTCCTTCTTGATTCCTTTACTTTTTTTTTTTTAACCTGACTGGGTAGAAACTTTGTGCAAATTATATGTTAATTAATATTAATTAAACTGTCTTATGTATATTCATTTCCACAATCTGCTACCCAAAAGAGTGACCGTCTGTTACATTGTTTTTAATTATTTAGAATTTAATATCCAATTTAATCTGTTTGAGTGAGAATGGCTCTGGTGTTCTTTTATTCCAGGCACTACAAGGTCTCCGTGGTGATCCTTTGCTTCCTCCTGCCCACGTTTGTGCCCTGGTACTTTTGGGGGGAGTCCTTGACTGTGGGATACTTTGTCCCTGGACTGCTAAGATACGCTGTGATGCTCAACGCCACCTGGCTGGTCAACAGCGCTGCGCACCTCTGGGGCAACCGGCCTTATGACAAGACCATTAACCCGAGGGAAAACCGACTGGTTGCTTTGAGTGCCATAGGTAAGGAAACTCCCTGTTTGTTGTATGTGTGTCACTGTTTAGTTACTACGGGTGTTTGCCTGATATTCACATGCCTGGTTGAAAGCGGATCCAGCTCAGCATCTGTAGTGCGTGGGTTTCATAATCCACTGGTCCGTGTTTATTTCGGGTCCGTTTAAGCTTTTGAGCTGTGTATTTAAATGTTTGTCAAGAGATGAACACTGGGTTATTTCAGTGTCATTGTTTTCCACGAGCGACGACTTTTATTTGTGGTGGCTGACACCGTGGGGGTGTGATGCTGCAAACAGCAAAGAGCATTGTTTTAGCAGAACGGCAACAAAGTCACACGCTAAATTGTGATTGCACAAGACTACACAATTCTGGGAGACATTCTTTTCGTCGGCAGAACATTATCTTCCATGATTGTAATGTGTAGCTTTTAGTTTTTGTATTGCATCAAACTAAATGTTAACCTGAGAGCTAATGGAGGAATGATTTTATTGGAAACAATTTTTTTTAAACTTTCCTACTGACCCAGAACGGCTGTCATAAACTCGTTCTTATTAAATGGAGGAGTAGACTATTGCCTTGAAGCATTTTCCACTCACGTTAACTTCTGATAAATAAAAGTCTCCTGGATTACTTCCTAACAGGTTTCAAAGACTGAATTCGTTCTGAAGTTGTTCAGAGTAACTATTGCAGCAATACCTTTTTTTGGGGGGGCTTCATGACTTTAAGCTCAAACTCTACTGCAATGCCCCATGAGATTCGTTGGCGCCGTATCGCCTAAGGCTGCGGGCACACCACACGGTTACCGTGGCAACCAATGTTTCAATGATAACGGAAAGTCATTTGACAAATCGGATAGTCTGGTGGCTCGTTTTGCATCATTTGCATTGCACCACATGTCTGTCGGCATTTTAATCTCCAAATCCCCAAAAAGCATAAAATATCAATCAAATGTTGTCAAAAGCTATTTGTTACTGTGCTACCGTCCTGTGACTGTTAAATTTATTTTTAAATGAGCGAAACGGAACCATTAAATTGTTTTCCTGCGTATCGTCTTTCATGCAATAAACTTTGGAGCTTAAGCCCAACACTTAAGTCTTTCGCGCTGGTTTTTCAGGGGAAGGCTTCCACAACTACCACCACACATTCCCCTTCGACTACGCCACCAGTGAGTTTGGCTGCAAGCTGAACATCACCACCGCCTTCATAGACACCATGTGCTTCTTCGGACTGGCCAAGGACACCAAAAAGGTGTCGAAGGAAATCATCGCGGCGCGCATCCAGCGAACGGGCGACAGCAGCAACAAAAGTGGCTGAGTCATACCAGCTCTTTAACTGATACCTAACGTGTCGAACCAAGACCGAACGTAGCAGCAGGTATAGCAGCATTTCAGTGGTGATTACAATGCTTCTAAATATAAGATCAACCTTCCTCCCAGAGACTAATATTGGCTTTTGAGAGTTGTAGACTTTCCCTAAATGTGTGGGTCTCATAAGTTTTTGAAGTGTCCTCACCAACTATTCGTCACAGCCAGTGACCTGGCTTCATGTGCAAGCACAGCTTTTCACCATAATATATATAGATATATAAAAAAAGAAACCGCACAAAGAGAATGGGGAGGGGGGGGAATGCTAATTGTGATTAAATGCTCTACTGGCAGCAGTAGAACAAACTAGAATAAGTCTGAGCAGTGAGTACAGAATAATTGACTGCGTATGTCTTGATTGTTAATGTGCTATTTATTAATCTTTGGCACTTTGAAAGCTTTATTGAAACTCCTAACAACATTGAGGTTTCTCTACAGGTGATACTGAGGGCCTTTTTGCTCTAACGTCTGTCCGTACTGCTATGTATCATTCCACAAGTGAGTGCAGTGTCATTTATTTTTGTCTCTTATAAGCTACGGTCTACTCTATTTTTGGTAAGATGGTAGTCTTACGAAATCATAAGCTGCTGTGGTCAAGGCCAAGACCGTCAACGCTCAATTGAACTGCCCTTTATTTATCATACCTGAGTAAATCCGGGTGAATACAGTACAAATGTGTTACACTTGAATTTTTTTCACACCCACTGTCTTTAACTGTACAAGAGTGGTTCTCAATGAGGATAAAACTCTGGTGTAATGCATTGTATACCTCCCGTTGAGTAGGGAAGCCGACTCTGAATCAGACTGAAACCTAGAACCGGACTTCTCACTTAAACTGAAGAGATATATATTTGCATTTATTTTGTATTAATTTGAAATACACTGAGACGCGGTCTCTTAGACATGGCTCATGAAGGAATTGCCTTTTTGTGCTGTATGATATATATTGACACTTGTGTCAGGACTCTTGCCCGATTGCCTTATTTGGGTCGCACACCTGAGAAAAATAAATCTAAGTGCAAGTTATGAAAATAAATTAGTGTTCAGCCCAGTTCTTTTTGTCTGTCTCTTTTATAAGGAACACTTTAAAATATTTATAATGAAAGAGGGACTATTCATCAAATCTTAAAACAAAAAAAAGCGTAACTGATTTAACGTATGCAGAACCAAACAAGATCCAAAACTTGTTATCTCGATGATAATGCTGTGATATTTGTCACACATACTCTTTTACAGAGCAACACTTTGTTTTACAGTGTTAACTTCTTGAAGTTTGATTGCCTTAAAAAATGGCACCCTTTTTTTGAAAGTATATTTTTGCCCACTGTATGTACCGTAAATAAACCAAATTTTCTACTTGTGACAAATGTGTTTGCTGTTTCTGTTGATTCTGTAATGTTCCGGATTCGTATACTGAATAAAAATATGACCATACCCTTCGTTACATTCTTTCCTTGGTGCTTTGCACATACTAGTAGCCATTGCCGATAATAAACTATGACATTTGGTATAAAGAAATAATCCAAACGACACTACTTGTGAATAACGGCAATATTTGAAACTTAAGTCAATGCCAAAAAAACGTCAAAAGTTATAAAATGGAAAAAATCTTGGTCTCCTGATTGATGCTCATGTTTCCAAAGTGCACTGTCATACATCATGTCATAAATATACTCTCCGAAAAAGCGTGAACTTGAGTGAATCTTGTGAAATGCAGGTTAACCGCTTGTCCTCCGTTACCTGTGTTAGGATGGGGATCTACCTGCTACCAGAGCGGTCGCACCTTTAAGGATTCCTGAGGACAGACTTCTGTTGGTACAGACGGTGCTTGGTGTTTTGCGGACTCGTCACCTGACAACCTGATTTGATCAGCAGTGCTTGAGCAAAACAACCTAATTTCCTCCCTTGGGTCTTTAATAAAGAAGATTTAGTTAATCAACACAACTTTTCGACCACGTCACGCGGTCTGTGCACTGGCTCCCCCTGCTGGTGAACGGCTTCATGGGCAAGTCAAAGACATGGCCGCACATGGCCGAGCCTTTTGCGGCGTGCAGAGAACGCGATCCGCTTTTTTTGGGGGTGGGGGAGGCATAAACTGCTGCAGTCCGACCGGCCGAGTCCGGTCCAAGTGTTGTGTAAGTGGTCCCTTCATTGATGATGTGTGATCAGCCTTTTGTCCATTGGCTGCCGACTGTCAGCCCACCCTCGCACGGCATGTATCACCTCCGTGTGGACCACGGCTCTTCACTGCGAACAATCACGCAGTTTTCAACCCCTCCCGGGTTTGTGCATCACATGGGGGACACGTGTTGCATGGCGCAATGCTACTTGCCTGATAGTCGCACTGACTAAATTGGCCGCATAAACACGAACATGCGTTGTTCCCATAGGCGCCAATTAGATGCACATTGACGCCCAAGCGACCAAATGTGCACGAAAGACACCCAAAGGGGCGCTACTTTCACACTGAGCGACCAACGTGGAGGTTTGCAGACACCTCTCAGTTTCTCAAATCACCTGTTACAATAACACACCGGGCATGACTGCGCACTTTTGGTGACGCTTCGATCATTGATCTTGTATTGAAATGCCAAAACAACAGGAAGGATCCCGCTGTTGTCTAAATTTCCCTGTCATTCCTTTGTGAATCGAAATCCAAAAACATCCCTCAGAGGTCACCCCCCAACCCCGCCCACCGCCCTCCTCCTCACCCCCCACCCTAAATCGCTTTTCTTTAATCCTAATTTGCACACAAGAAGTTTGCTAAAGGGCTGCCTGTGCCAAAGGAAAGGGTCCCAAGGGTCAGACGGGGTTATTTGGGAATTACCCTCCATGCAATGTTAGGTAGGGACCGTCTGGATTAGCGATGCAAATGCGCCATATCTGATCAATGGCTCGGCCGTCACGCTGCCGCAACGCACCCCTCTTTCTCCGTTGGAAGGGTCTTAACCGGAGAAACTCTCTCTGGTAAATCCACTCAAATTCGTGATTGAAATATTGCAGGAAAACGTGAAAACTACAAACATGAAGATGGCCATTAAGGTCTCATTAAAGGGAACAGTCCACTCGATAAATGATTCTGTATGACCTCGTTTGAGTAATATAATTCCATATTGTATGGGATGCAAAACGAATCATTTTCTTATCTGCATCCGTCCGAAATAACGACCTAAATATACGCAAAGTCCCATCCGACGCAGTTGTGCCACTGTAACTGCGCAGAAGGTTGGAAAAACTAGGAGCGAGTCCCCTCGATGGATATCATAAGAAATAACCTCCTTTTAATCCGGTTCATTAAAGATGCTGTTATTTTAATATATAATGAGCCGGTTTGAGCCCGATCGAAGCGAAAGGCGTCGGATGAAACGTTGGATGCTGCGTCGTCTCCCATGTGAGTAAAGGTTTGTTTCGGGGGTGATACACATTGATTCAATCACACCTTTTGTTGTGTTATAGCCACGAATCACTTCCTCGAGGACAACCAGTATTTTGTAACACATCAAACTTAACACTTCGTCATCCGCAGCACTATCTGCGACTAATCCCGGACGATCAACTGCGCGGGTTGGATTGCTTTAAATAAACTCATTTTCCTCCGTCCAATAAAATGTCGAGGGATCAGTGTTACACTTTTCCTATAGGATTAAAGAGATCTTCCTTGGCTCTTGAATGGAGGCAGGGAACCCAGCGTTGCCCAGCCCTGAAGGCCCAGGGTGCCCTTTTGATCATCGAAGTCTCCCATTGGTGAAATACTTCTGATTGGCCAAGAGAGTAAGATGGGGGAAAATCTTTAATTAAGCAGATAATCTCTTGTTGGGACGAGAGCGGCTCCATTTCAGAGCCCCCTCCTTGAATCTCGGAAGCCCTGGAGAAGTTTCATGTGCTGGTAGCTCAGTTTCCTCTCCATCGTCAGACTGTCTGCAGGCTTTGGACGGGCTCAAGAGTCACCGTCACCCGCCTCACCTGTCAGGATGTTCATGCATTTGGAGGTTTTCTATTACGTTTTCATTCTCCTGGCTCACATGAGGCCACACTGCTGCTGGTAAGTTTTAAATGATCTTGAAATATTATCAAAAATCTATTTTGCGCCTTGTAGAGGTCAACTATTCATTTCACGGCGTTGTAAGTTCTGTAATGAATATGTAAAATTTGTATTTTTTTCTCTCCTGGTTTGTGGTAATTTAAATGAATCTTTTTCTCATTTAGTGACCAATAAAATCAATTAATTTTACAACTTTGAAAATAGATATAAGGAAATAATAATAAAAGGAAAATAATAAACTTTTTGGATTTTTGTTGTTTTGCATTTCACAAAAAATATTTATTATATTTTTAATTATTATTTGTTAGTTATAAATAATGGCTTTATTAGTGGGGGATTAGTTATTTACTAATGCTCCATAATTCAGTTGTAAACCATTAGTTTTGGCCGCCTTTGGTTGCCAGGTTGTTAAAAACTGCATCTCACCGCTCATTCAAAAAAGACTCAAGACAAAAAACAATTTGTTATCTTATCCCACTTTGAACTGTGGACGTGATGAGTTAAACATATTTATTAATGACTTAAACAAAATATATAAAACAGTCCTGTTGGATTTTTAGAGATTGATAAACCCATGAGCATTTAAAATTCAGCATCAATTAATTAATTTTCAAAGGTATGAACACAAGTCAAAGAAACTGGCAACCCCAACATTTTAAATAAACCACACAGTTATGGCCATTCATTCTAAAGTCTTTCTTTCTCCACATATTACATATAAATATATATGTATATATACATATATATAGTGAAATAAATTGAGTCACTATTGAGTCGCTATGTCGGGATGCCCACGGTGTCACGGTTTAACATGTTACAAAGCGCACTAATGAGAGATGTTAGCAGAGGAATTTGTGAAGGACACTGAGCTTCCCTGAGTGAATAAGCTGTCTCCTTTTCCAGGTCAGTGAATAATTTCCTGATGACCGGACCCAAGGTAAGCCAACATTCGTTTGATCTTTTCTCCCTGTCCTTTCCCCAAAAGAGAGACGGAGAGAAAACACGCTGCCGTGCGTGTGATATCTGAACTCCAGTGTATGGACACATTATTGTACCTGTGTCAATGGCACTTATGCTATATCAGTGATATTCTTGGCCCTTTGATTCCCCCCCCCCCCCCTACGTACACTTGACCTTATTCAGAGGCTCTGCGTATCCGCGGGTTTAATGTTTTTAAGAGGCCCGGGCGGGCATTGCTGTAGTGGGTGGTCATCATTAGCAGACCAGACCCCTGTGAAAGAGGTGGCACTCCATCTCCCCAAAGGCCACTTGAGACATATTAGTTATATTATCGCTCACACAGTGTGAACAAGCCGCGGAGAGAGGCGGGCGAAAGCCAAGGACGGAGTGTACTGGTTCAAGAGCGCTCAACCATTCAGCACATTCACTGCGGGTTGGTAGAGTTTAACAAGTAGAATAATGTTTTAATCAGTTCAAAATGTTTTTTGTCATGACCGTTGGCAATGAGTTCCAGCCCCGTGAAGGGCCGGCTGATGGGGCATCCTCTTAGATAGTAAATCATTTGACCCTCCAGCAGGGAGATACCAACGTAAAATATATAATATGTAAAAGTGACGGATGCTCGGTCACGTCACCGATCCTAGTGTTCTTCCACACATACTGTTTGGTGCATTGAACCCTGAGTGTGTTGGGAAGTACAAGAAGGGCTCTCGTGATTGGTTGGATCTGTGGCCACTTACTGTTATTAAGTGTTAAATGTCTGGTCTCTTCTTTCCCTGACGACAATGCAAATATCTAACCATGGGAACGTGGTCATTGAATCAAGCCGAGCCAGATGCTTCAAAAACACCTCAACCTCTTAGTTATCGTTTTCGTCTCTGTCGAACAGGTGAGGGATGCTCGTGCACCATGTCGTGGGTTTTAAACATATCCACTGTGTCCTCTCCGCTGCTGCAGGCGTACCTGATCTACTCCAGCAGTGTGGCGGCAGGAGCTCAGAGTGGCATAGAGGAGTGCAAATACCAGTTTGCATGGGACCGTTGGAACTGCCCCGAGAGAGCTCTGCAGCTGTCCACGCACAGCAGCCTGCGCAGCGGTGAGTCCCCCGGGGGCCCAGACACCGGCTGCAGCATCTCCACACTGCGGCTCGGCTCGGCGGGAGAATTTTAAAGACGTTTCAAATGTGTTTTGTAATTGTGCGTTTGTGTTTCAAACGTCTGTGTTGGAAGAGGGGTTTTGTATTTCATTCACGTTGGGAAATCGAGATGTTTGCTGGTTGGAAACATTCATCACCCTTTGGGATAGTTGCAGCCGGCACGGTCGCTAACCCCAAGCCAAAATAAACACACTAATCCATTTCCCAACATCGTCCCGAATCACTGCTTCTTTTGGCAGCTTCGCTGAGATCCATGAGACAAAGACCCAAATGTGTTGGGCAATAGAACGTGAACCTCAGTTAAGAAATCCAGATGCCATTATGTCTGGTTTTATGGGTCTGGGCAAAAATAAATTCTAAATATAAAAGTGACTCATAATTAAGTAATTCATAAATTAAAACTACTAAACGCGTACTAAAAGATAGATGAATCTGTTTGAATTAGATGAGCTAAGCTAATGAGTCTTTCTGCTGACAGCAAATCGGGAGACTGCGTTCGTACACGCCATCAGTTCCGCCGGAGTCATGTACACTTTAACCAGGAACTGCAGCCTCGGAGAATTTGACAACTGTGGCTGTGACGACAGCCGGAACGGACAAAGAGGTCAGAGGAATACGCATAGCGTGTGCATAACCTCCCGCTTTTCAATCACACGGCACAGATGTTTTAAACCGAGTACTTCTTCTTCTTCGTTCCTTCCCAGGGGGTCACGGTTGGCTCTGGGGAGGCTGCAGCGACAATGTTGGCTTCGGCGAGGCCATCTCCAAGCAGTTTGTTGACGCGCTGGAGACCGGACAGGATTCACGAGCAGCCATGAACCTCCACAACAACGAGGCTGGCCGCAAGGTACAGCGGCGGCCTCCAAGTTCCCGTCCATCCACTTTGCAATGCGAGATGAGCCCTGGGTATAAGTTGTAGCGCGAGTTTGGGACGTTAGCGCCGTGAATTCCCCCTTACAGTACTTGAACCGGGTGGCGGCTGGCTGGACATTTAGGGACATGGTGTTCGTGGCCCACCGACTGATTGCAAAGTGCAAAGCACCTTTTGAATAATTTTCCCCTGCTCAGAATTACACTGACTGTGCCACCCAAGCATCCCTTTCACGCCGCTATAAGTGAGGTGCGACTCGTCCCCGATGATAACAGTGTGTTCGGTGTACCAGAAGGGCCTATTTACTAGTGCTGAATGCCCCCTGTGACAATACCTCGACTAGAGGATCTCGGGATCACTGGTGCAAGCTTAATTAGAGATCCTGGGGAGCCAGACATTGCGCAGCGTTCTGTATTATGCCGCTTTTTAAAATAAGTGTTTAGTTTTATTCTTGCAATAAGGATCCCACATTTATGTTGGTCTTTGTTTGGCCTCGAGGGAGTCTGAGGGGACCACAGGCGTGCAGCTGAAGTGCTCTTTGTTTACGGTGCCTTTGCTCCCCCCTGTTGGGCCCTAGGATCCCCACGGCACCTGGAGCATCATTGTAACAGAAAAAAATGGGATAGAAAGAGAGAAGAAAACTCCCCTTTTCCATTCCTCCACTCAACGGGACTCTCCATTGGGTCTTCTCACACCAGAAAACATGTTGATAATGAACATGCTAAATAAATACCCCTATTTCTTCTGGGGGGACAATAGGTCTCAATGTGAAACTTTGATTCAGCCGTACCTCAACAGAAAGTTCATCCCCCTCCTCTCAAAAAGAAAACGTCCCCTTTCAAACGACAGCTGTTTCGTGTCGGGTAAAGTCAGGAGACTCTGCGAACCACAAAGGAACTCAGTTGTGCACTATGAAGCTATCATTTCTTCCTTTCAATGTATTCAGCCCTCCTTTTACTTAACTGGAAAACATAGAAAAAAATTCAATCAGTTAATTTGACAACACATCAATCAAGAGACAATGGGCATCCTGTATTTTACACACACACACACATTCATTTGACACTGTTTTTCATATGAAGCAGACATTATTTAACACAGTAAACGATGAAAATACATTACAGTTTTTTTCTGCCGTCTCCAGGCTGTGAAAGGAACCATGCAGAAGACATGCAAGTGCCACGGGGTGTCAGGAAGCTGCACCACTCAGACCTGCTGGCTGCAGCTGCCAGAATTCCGGGAAGTGGGGAACTACCTGAAGGAGAAGTACCACAGGGCTCTGAAGGTGGATCTCCTGCGGGGAGCAGGGAACAGCGCGGCCAGCAGGGGGGCCATCGCCGAGACCTTCAGCTCCATCTCTCGCAAGGAGCTGGTCCACCTCGAAGACTCCCCCGATTACTGCCTGGAGAACCGCACGCTGGGCTTGCCGGGCACGGAGGGCCGAGAGTGCCTCAAGAAGGGCAAGAACCTGAGCAAGTGGGAGAAGCGGAGCTGCAAGAGGCTCTGCGGTGAGTGCGGGCTGGCCGTGGAGGAACGCAAGGCCGAGATTGTGTCGAGCTGTAATTGTAAATTCCACTGGTGCTGCACGGTTAAGTGCGAGCAGTGCAGGAAGACGGCGACCAAGTACTTTTGCGTAAAGAAGGGAGGTCAGAGGGGAAGGAATGAGAGTGCCGGTAGCCGAAGGAAGAACCTCAGACTGAGGAAGAAGCAGTGAGCACCTTCATAACGGGGGTCATCATGTCGGTACCGCCGCCGCTCCAGTTTGGACCATCTTCATTGTCAAATATGTAGAAAGTTTTAAAGACAGTGGGATGTGCTCAGAGTCACATGTTAGACAAGTTTGTAGAGTTTTTGGTACAAAGGTATTTAAAGATATATTTTTTATACGTTCCTTTTCACTGGGCCTTTCTCTGGCATCAAAATTCTCCACAACACAATTTATTTATTTATTTACATACATACATGTAAAACTTAAAAGTTATTATTAATACATTTCTTTTGATCATGAGTGTTAGCTTTTAAAATCACAACTTTTAGGAACCCTTCAACCCTTTAAATTTATTTAGAAATACTTTTACATTTTTAGGGAAAAGTGTCCTCTCCCGTCATCTATCTCGCCCTGACCTTTTCTGCCCTCCTGTATGTATTTAATTGTATATAAATTGAAGCACTTTGTTAATTTATTGCACACTGTTTCCCAGTCTTCTTGTGTTAGTTTTTCTTTTCATTTTTATTAAATTGTAATAACAGAATAAAAAATCCATCAATCTTCATTCCCGTTCTTCCTTCTTTACTCTTTGAGGCGGCGATACCTGATGCTCTGCAGTAAACACGACCTTCCTTTCACATCGGGGTCAGGAAACTCTGGGGCAAAGCAGCAAGAATAGAAAAACCTTTCAGCGCACTCGTCGTTCCATCACGCCTTTCTCAATTTTGCCTCTACAAATACCTCCCCGTTCTTTCCCTCATCATGGTAATCCTCAAAGAGCCCCCTAACTCCCAAGCGCTTGCAAGTTTCTTTACTGTTTAATACTAGTTTAATTAACTTTGTCCAGACAGAGTAGGGCCTTGGGGGTGGAGGGCATGAGGCAAGTTGCCCTTAAAAATCATCCCGCCTCTAATTTTGTATGCTAATCTCCTTTTTCACGCCGCACCTCCTCAGGAGAGGGGGAAAGAAATGTTGGGAAAACTTTGGGTTGCTTGTGCGGGGCTTCCTGCGGCTGTTTTATTTCTGGGCCCACCTATTTGGATCCTTTCACTCCTCTAGGGCCTTCCTTTGCTCGATTTAACAATGAATGCAGAGCTAATCAGCTCTCTCGGAAATGCACCACTGTCGAGGAAGGTAATCCCTCCTTCTCTACTCTCAATGGGCTGTCGCCTTCTAAAGGACTTTGGGAAAAGGCTTTGCACTGATTCACACTGTTCTCTCAAAAGAAGTTAGTTCAAGTATTGTGCCCAAACAAGTGGGTTTTATAAACACATGCTTGCCAGGATACTCACCCCACCTGCAAGTAAGAAGCGCCGGGCCCGGGCAAACTAGCACATGGCAGCCGAGGCCGAAGCCCCTTCAGACGAGATGGGACATGAAAGAGGAGATTAGAGGTCCCGTTGAGAGGGGTGGGGGGGGGGGTTTCATTTCTGCACCTTCCTCCTTTTACTCAATAAAGTGTCAAGGAAACACCTTGTTGACATCTTATTTACCAAATAATGATCATAATCAAAACTCCTCCCCCCCTCCGACGACCCCTGTGGCGGGCTGGATTGCTCCGCCTGGCATGCAGACCCTCTCCCCAACAAAGGAACCAGCATACCGACATACCAAGCGGCTCCGTGCAACTCCTGCGATGTGCGGCCATAGGGGGTGTTCATGCACAGGAACTTTAAATGTAACGCTAAGTTGTAAATGAATGAATGGATTCTTATTTGGACGTTTTTGTTGTTTAAGCATGTGAGTCGCGCCGTCATGCACTGGCCCACTATATCAGCCAGATAAAAGTATACATCCAATAATGTGTGGGAAAGACTCGTTTAGCCGTTTCTTCCGATCAGCAGTTTTGACACAACTGTGGGAATGTTCACATAATCAGACAAGATCTGTCATGCATCGGCAGCGGAGAGGAACGGGAGGAAATTGCTCTAGCTGGCTGTATATGAGGATAACACCACGGTTAAAAGTGACCGTAACATCTTAATATTAGCTTTAACGATGCAGAGAAAATGAATGCGTATTTTGCAAAATTGCCTCTAAGCCTTCACAGCGCTGCACTGTACTTCTCTGCTTGTCTTAAATCAGGGGGTCGTTGGTAATGGAGTACTATAAGTAGACCATGTGACTCACATAAAGAGCCAGGGGCCACAGTTGAAGCCTAAACCTGAGTTACAGACACACAAAAACAGCACTTTATCATCCGTATTCTCTCTGTCAATTGTATTACCTCGAATGAACAACCACACCAATGGGAAAAACGGAAGGGAGGTGAACTGAATGAGACACACACACACACACACACACACACACACACACACACACACACACACACACACACAGACGCACACATTATAATGGCGTGTGAAACAGCTCACAATGTTGATCATGACACATAATTTCCCAGAGAGTGACACGACCTCCGACCGCGGGGGTCTGAACTTCCGTCTCCTGGGCCGGCCCGCCACGTCCAATTTGCTGTAAGGTGGAGGGGGAGGGAACACCACAGAGGAAGGGTGGGGTTTTAAGCAGGTGATTTCTCACAAAGCTTCAATAGTCTATTGGAAAGTAGGAACACCAAAAAAATATTGATAGACATGTTTGCATGTTTTTTAAGACGGTCAAAAGAGAGAAGTAGAGGTGGGATGTGTTTTTGTTTAAATCAGTACTTTTGTGTCTCTGTGACACACCACATACGTCTAAATAATTGCTGTCAGGTAACAAGTGGTAATGCAATCATTGAAAGATGGGAAAACGACTTATAATGCTTCAGAGAATCCTTGGCTAATAGGATTTATGGCTTAAGGGTTCTGGACCTACAACACCTAGAGGGGCGAGGGTCAATATGAATGTGAGAGAAAGCCAAATGAGTACAGATGAGTGGAGCGGGGAATTCATTGAAAGCTCCTAAAAAAAAAAGAAAACGTCACAAGTTAACTTCACCTGTGTGAATATCGCGGCAGTTTGCCAGTTAATCTCAAGAAACATCAGACGCTGTTTCGTTGTAACAGTGTCTCCTCAAGAGAACCTTTGTTTTGACAGCAGGCCATCTGTTGGGGAGAAGGCGGCCGTGTTACGTGTTTGTTGCTATCCAGCAGGATTGAGATGCTAGAGGCTTTTCGGGGCTCTCACCGGGGTGGTCAATCTCCCGGTTCTATCTGCAAAGAATGGGGAGAGGGGAGCATCGGGGGATCAGCTCAGCTCAGCTCACTGATCTGCACAGGAAACACAGAGCATGGGAACCCACCAGGGAGTCCCCCGACCAGTCACTGCCGTGGAAACCCGCTGGTAAAGCCTGGATCAAGAGAAAACATACAAGATGTGTCAGGTTTTACTGACATTTCGGGAGATGCTTTTGATTCTGTCTTTTGGGACGTTAAAAAGGTTAAAAACGGGGATATGATCTGAGTGATTAAAGATTATCTCAAACAAGTTCAATTCCAGTTTGATATCTACAAAACTACATCAGCCGATCAGTCCAGTGAGCAAGAACTGTGTGCCCCGTTATCTAATGAAAAGGGATCAATACAAACATGCTGAGGCAATGATGACCATAGTTCAATATTGGCTCAGGATTACAAAAGTGTTTGCTCAATTTTTCATATCTTCTCAGAGAGAGAGAGAGAGAGAGAGAGAGAGAGAGAGAGAGAAAGAGAGGGACCATTTCTCAACATGTCAATAATATATGCTCAATATTAATTTGCATTATTGTAAGTATTACAAGCAAAATGTACTCAAACATACTCAAAGACCAAGCACCTATTATGTAGTATAGCAGTGTTTGCACTTTTAGATTCAAGTTAGTCAAGATATAACAGTTTTAGCAGTTTTAATTGTTTAATGCTTAATGCAAGACTACATCTTCATAAATTATTCGTCAGTATTCCTGGGACTTCAATTTAGTGGATGAGAAGTAAAAGGTATCACATGATGAAAATGCTACCGGAAAAGTGAATTTAAAAATACAACATACATACAATTTGGATCATGCTCACTCAGAGTATAATGTTATGTGTCCATTTTTATTAAATTGAAATGATATATTGTATAATTATTCTCCTATTATAATTATTCTAATAATAGTAATTGTTATTTATCTGCAATGCCTATTTTGTGGGATTAATAGCGGGACAAAATAAGTACTAAGTAATATTTCTTTTGAAATATAGTGTGGATGGATAAAGTTGTAAAATACTTTTTTACTTGGGCAATGTATAAAACGATTAGATTTAGAGGGTGATAAAAATTACTCATCTTTGTCTCCTTTTTCTGGAGATCATTTTTCTGAAGAAAAAAAAACGGCAAGAAAACCAAGTCCGACGGCTCCCTCTGGTGGTCAGCACGTGTCATTACAGGTGGGGCGCGTAGTCCTCCGGCCCGCTAGGTGTCGCTGTCCGACATCCGGGGCCTCGACACTCTCCAAGTGTTGCCTTTCCGTTGGTTAGCTGGTGTCGTTTGTTTTCTGCCCCGTCAAACCGGTGTGTAAACACTGCGGAGCGGAGCCAGCGAGAGGAGCCGCCGCCGCTACCGGACGGCCCAACTATTACCTCAATTTATTGAATAACGGTGAATGGGAAAGCTCCTGTGACCGCCCCGGTCCAGAGGAGAGGCGGGTTATTCCCTCGTTGGGAGGACGGAGACCATGGCGGCGGCGACCGTTGCGGAGGCGGATCCGGCGGCGAGCGAAGGTGGCACCGACTTCATCGGGCTCCAGAACCCGGACTGGGATGAGTCTCAGCTCCGGAAATATGCCTTCCCAACACAGCCGATTCCCAGGCTGTCCCACACGGACCCCAGAGCAGAGGTGCTAATACACAACGAGGTAAAGCCGCTTGGTTAGCTTGATGGAAGTCGCCTACAACAATTTAAGAGACCTGAGATCTTTACAAGAAGCCTTAGAAGGTGGACCTGCAGCCTTCACACCCCCAACTAAGATCATCAGAGTGCATTACACCCGGAATCTAACGTAACGAGACATTGGAAGGGATCAGCACTTCATTTAGTCTGGTGTCGAGTAAAGGATTTCATAATAAAATGCCATACGGAGCTACAGACTGCGGCTCCACACACACACACACACACACACACACACACACACCTTGGAGCTCACTAGCAGGATGTGATCTAAAGGGGTTGGAAAATGTTTTGATCATTTAAGAGGAGCTCCCATGGAGCTGACAGAAATCTAGACATTTGACAGAAACGATAAAGTCATTTTTCAAGTAGTGACAATAAATTATGTCAGAAATCTTCACATTATAAAAGCTGCCCGATGGTAAATGTTCTGTAAAAGTTGAGAATTGGCTTGCTGTCATGAGCTTTTCGTGGTTTTTGGGGATTACAGCTTATTACAATTGTAAAACCCATTGGAGCTCAAGTCCAAGAGTTGATTCAATCAGCAATGTCACGTCAGGTGGTTTGGTTTTGACGGGTTAAAAACATCTGCATAGACTCCCTGTGGCTCACTGAGAAACACACATCGTGCTGTGGAGAGCCGTCAGCATCTTTCTAAAACCCTTTCCCTCGCATTATCCAGCTGCACTAACCTTTTCAATGCAGGACACAAGTTACATGTGTGTGAGACGTATTTGTCGAAAGCACGTAACACGCTTTGGTTTTGACTTCCATAAACCGGGGGGCGAACAATGGGAGACCAAAGTCGTCCCATCTCTCATTAATCTTACTCGGTGTCTAAGCCGCCTGGAGCATGTCCCAGGAGGGTCGGACACCTGTACATGGACACCAGCCTTTTCACAATGCAGTAATGGCTCACATAGAGAAGTGCACGACAACGTGTTATCTCATGTTATCACGTTTCTCATTCCACCCTAAAAGTGTTAACATAACCAAATAGATTTTGCATTACAACAATCACGACCTTGCCTCATAGGATTCTAGGTGCACGCCGGAATAGTCTTCTTCTGTCTTGTCAAAAGTGACCTGATTCTTCGTCTCCGCTCAGCTCTCCCTTTGCAGCTCTTGGGAAGTGTTTCTAAGGAATAGTAACGTTGCCCTTTAAACTAACCCACTCGCACACTGAAACCCTTTCCCACGTGCAATGTGGTTCAAGTGAAAGCAGAAGATGAATTAAACAGCCATTTCATGAAGCGCAAGGCACGCGGCTCCTTTACAGTGTTTCCATTCGGCGCCAATCATTGCCAGGTCAAGAGGTCAAGTGCAGTGGAAAACACGTTGACACCCTTTCAATCAGGACCATTACTTGTTTCACACGTTAAGGGGACAAATATTCATCCCAAGTGAGTTCAAAAGCCTCCACGAAGGCGGCGGATTAGAGGACATTCATTTAAATGAACATTCCCATTAAAGCTGTGTGGGGGTGTGTGCGCGCGCGCGCGCTCTGCACCACGCCGCCACATTATTTAACTCGTGCGCGTGCTCTCTGGAGAAATCGAGAAGGAAGGGGGAGGCGGGGAGGGGGAGGGAGGGAGAGCGACGCGCCACGGGAGCGCGCTCTGCGGTCTACGTTCAGTCAGTCACGTAGCCCTCGAGCTCCGCGTGTCCAAAGTGCTGCGCGGGCGCGTGTCGGGATGTCGGCTCCCTTTTTTTTTTGATGCATGAAATAGTCTGAAAAATATATTGATCCGTTTTTTTTTTGGAAACAAATTGTTGCGATCCATCTCCGTGTTTTCTTTTTTCATAAAATACATACATATGTATTCATCTTTATACCACCTATTTGATGCACTTCATTAACAATAGTCCGATTCGTGATTAAGTTAAAATAATAATAAAAGTTTAATAAAACTACAAAATGAACACAATTACGGTGCGTTATTCTCCAGAGGCTTGCTTGTTTTGTGAGTGTATGGGCGGGCTGGTTATATTGGATTTAATAAATATCAGTTTTTGTAATATAACTGCCCTAAAATGTTCTTTGTCTGTTTTCAGCAACCGGTGGTTTTAACAGACACCAGCCTCGTGTATCCAGCTCTTAAATGGGACATTGCATACCTCCAGGAGAACATTGGCAATGGAGACTTCTCTGTTTACACCGCAGAAAACCACAAGTTCCTCTACTATGACGAGAAGAAAATGGCCAATTTCGAGAACTTTGTCCCCAAGTCTAAACGAATGGAAATGAAATTCTCCGAATTTGTGGATAAAATGCATATAACGGAGGAAATGGGGGGAGAGGAGAGGTAAGACGTATTTATAGGGACATTTGATTTGGAACCGGAATGTAATGCGAGCTATGTTCATCGCCCCGTCTGGGCTCAGTCCAAACAAGAGTTACGGGTGACTAAGCATAGACGCCGCATTACGAGCACATTACTGTGACCTGAATTGACCTGACACACACACACACACACACACACACACACACACAGGTCACATACTAAAGTGAAGTCCCCATTTGATTCACTCTTGATGGGTTCTGCTGTCCACGTCTTTCAGCGTCATATTGTTCCTCCTGGTGTGAAGCAGTTCTAGTCCCCCAGAAATAGAACACAGTGTAAACAAACGTATAACCTTGAAGACACATTCAAAACCAACGTGAGCTGCGTTGTGACATGTTTTCAGGTCTTGGAGAGGAAAACCAGGGTGCTCATACATTTTGCCGGCTCTCTTTTCTCATGCATTTCAAGGGTGTATCTGCAGCAGACCCTAAACGACACGGTAGGGAAGAAGATTGTTGTCGACTTCCTCGGTTTCAACTGGAACTGGATCAACAAGCAGCAAGCCAAGAGGAACTGGGGACAGCTGACATCCAACCTGCTGTTGATAGGAATGGAGGGTAAGGGCTCTCCCGAAGTCATCCGCTGCGAAAGGGGACGCGGGTTTTTAAAAGTTCCTGCCGTTTAACGTGGTCCCGTTTTCTGTGAACATTCTGTCGCCACAGGCAACGTGACGCCGGCACATTACGACGAGCAGCAGAACTTCTTTGCACAGATTAAAGGCCATAAGAGGTGCATCCTCTTTCCTCCAGACCAGTTTGAGTGTCTCTATCCATATCCTGTGCACCACCCCTGTGACAGACAGAGCCAAGTAAGCCACAGCTATGTAGAAATCCAACTAGGGTTTAATAATAGGCAAGTAGAGATTAGCAGACTTGTCATTTAGTTCAAATAAAGGTTCCTTGCAGTAACTACAAATACAGTTATTATGAAGACAAATGGGTTAAGATTACCTGAACTATGGACATATATAACAACTGACACATTTGTCTGAATGAATTACTTATTCATTTTATGCCTTTTATGATTAAAGAAGTTGCACCTACGAGGTTCAGTTTGTTTGTGTTTTGTGACGAATCCTATTTGTTTCTTTTCATCTACAGGTTGATTTTGATAACCCTGATTATGAGAAATTTCCAAATTTTAAAAATATAGTTGGTTATGAGGCTGTTGTGGGCCCGGGAGACGTGCTCTACATCCCCATGTATTGGTAAGAGGTTCTTCTGTTTGCCGTTATTTATGTAGAACAGGATTATCTCCAGGCCATAGACGACCTTGGAGGCATTTCACTGAAATATTCTTTGATTTGACTGATCGACATGCTATTTAAAAGTATTGAGTGTTCCCTCTGCTTTATTGATAGGCTAATCATTGATATTCATTCAATGATGTTTAAGGCAATTACTGTATATTGCAGTTGTCATTTCTTGTCGTAAATTGAATGTGTCAAATCCACTAATTCACATTTAGTACAGAGCATTGCTTTTGTGGTGTGAACTACTCTCGACAGGTAAAACAAAGTGCTTTGACTGCCAACTGAGTTGGGTGAATCCAGTTATTGATATTTCTCTCCTCTCCTCTCAGGTGGCACCACATCGAATCGCTGCTAAACGGTGGAGTGACCATCACCGTGAACTTCTGGTACAAAGTACGCACGCTCGGGTCTTCACGGCCGTTATTTCAATTTCATCCGTGAGCGTCGCCTGACGATGTTTCTTCTTGTTCACTAACCTCTTTTGGCTCTTTCGATCAGGGCGCGTCCACACCCAAGAAGATCGAGTACCCTCTGCGAGCTCATCAAAAGGTGGCCATCATGAGGAATATTGAGAAAATGCTGGGAGAAGCCCTTGGAAACCCACACGAGGTAAACACACCTACTCGTCTTCTTTCACAATGCAAACCCCTTCCTCTCCTCGGTTGCACAAAGTCCCACTGCCGCTTCCTAGAACATTAAATCACATCGACATTTAGGTCACCTGTTACATGGAATCCCCGGAGCACGCTGACCCTTCCAGCAACCCAATTACCGGGAATATTTATGGCGCATCTGATTTACAACGAAGGGCAGATAAAAGCAATCTGGGACAGCGGGTAGAACGATGGAATAGGGCTTCTAACCAAAGCGTCCTTTTTGTCTTCCTGTAGGTCGGACCTTTACTGAAGACCATGATCAAGGGCCGATATGAGCAGGATCTCAGTTAGAGCCTCACCCTTCAAAGCTAAGGCTGCTTTGGGAAGCGTTTGCTGCGTGAGAGAGAGCGAGCGAGTGAGCGAGCGCTGTGCGTTCTGATGTTGGAGCGCCGCGTCACATGTCGACACCATTCTGCTTCCGTCGTCTCCGAGGGGCCACGGTCATTGCAAACGCAACAATCAGAGAAGAAACGTCCGACTTACTCACAGGAATCCGCCCTGCTTGAAGAAGTTTTTTTTTCCTTTGAGAAGAAAAGGCCTGATTTGGCTTTAGTTCAGGTGTATTTTTGTGAATTTGAGTTCTTGACATAATTCAAGCTAATAGGTATTCAGGTGCATTTGCTCACCCAGTCGTCGGGGATTGGTACCTTTTTGGAATTTTGACCACTAATGGATGAGTTAAAGGGTATTTACATGTACGGCACACATCGGTTACATACAGCAGATTTCTCAAACACGGCTGTGTGTTGATTACTGAGTCTTCAGTAACAAAGACAGCTTTAAAACGGAGGCGGGGCAACCCTCTAAAGACGACCGGACTTTCAAGTGTCTTCAATATAGTTTACCCACTTCATCTGCGTCTTCTCCAGGACGACGTACAACGGTGAGAGGGATCAACAGGAATGCTGTTGCAAAGAGGGAAGTACAGGCCCGGTATCAAAACCAGAAGTACAGTGATTTCAAAAACTGCAGCATAATATGATCAAAATATGTGTGGCTGCTCCTATATACAGCTGAAGGAAAATGTGACTACTTGCAGCTATATTGTTAAACTGAGTGATGCTGCTTTGTGTTTATTTATTGTTTCTGGACTAAATGTGCTATTGTGTTTACCAGTAGTAGGCATGGTGGGGTCGGGGAGGGGGGGGGTGATAATGCCTCACATTCTGCCATCTCAGTTGCAGCCACAGTTAAGGTAAAGTAACAAAAAGAGACAGCAAACTGAAAAGAGAAAAAACTGGTGGTTTCTTTGTTTTTATGTAAACCATAGATTTATGTTCAATCACCGGACTGAAGAAGTGGATCTATCTGCTGGGATGCACTTAATGTACCATCGCAACTCAATGCACCATCTAGTGGTCAAGTTGTATAATGTACATAAAATACAACTTTTTAATGTGCTGGATTAAAGACAGCAAATCTTCGATAATTTAACGCTGCAATGTGTACAAAAGTTAAATCTCAGATAGAATCCTCTACTCAGTTATTTTCACTTGCATGAAGCTGCAATCTGAAGACCTTAAAATGAGAGGACTCGGTGGTAAATATGTACATTTAAACAAGATGATTTTACATGTGCTGCATGTGCCAAACCGACGTGGACTAACCAGTGGGTGGGTACCCCCATACACAGAAGGCTTAGTTTGCATGTGTCATCAGATGAATCGGTGTAGGAATTCATTTATTTTCAGGGTTTTATGAGATCATGCATTTCAACTTCTCTAGACAGACAATTCCTCCGTAGAAAGACTTTAGTGGTGTCAGACGGATGTTTCCTCCCCCTCCTCTATTGCCAGGTTAGCTCCGTTTACGGCACGTTTGTGCCTCGCTTAACAATGGCATGGCACTTAAATTTTTTATTGACTTGATTTAAATTTTCGGTCTAAATGTCTTTCACTCTGGCCTTAAACAGCTTTAACAGGTGGGATTAACAAGGGTTCATAGAAATAGAGGCGTGTGTTTTTACTGATGGAATCCTGATTTTCGTTTTGAACGAACAGTACGTGCTCTCCTTTATCCTCTGATTAAAGTTTGTTTGCCAAGTTTTTGTGATTTTTTATAATCAAGGTTTGGGATCAAATATTCAGTGCTTTTTTTTAACGAACATCTTTCGTAACATGAGAACAATTCAAAGAATCCAACGTGAAAGATCTACTAAATGTTTACTACAAATTGTGCATCAGCAGTTTCTCAAAGCGTAGGTTAAAACTAAACAGCTTCATTTTGTAATTAACAATGATAGTTACACATAAACAACAAAAGAACTTTTCACCAAAACCATTGCTTATAAACAAAGATGGATGCAAAAGGAAACGCGTGTGACAACAGTATATTTGTTGGAAAAACACATTCATCATAATATACAACAAATAACCCAATAGTAATAAAAAATTCCACAGCAATTACAAGCAAAGCAAAATTCAAAACAGGAGTGAGATGAACGAGACCATGACATCGGACCACTTTGGTAACACATTTGTATAAAGAGGCCCTGAAAGCACCTCCTCACAAATACACAAGAGACTTTGTAAATCTAAACATCTATATCAAAAATAAAGAACGCTGTGGGAATGAACTTGAAAATCAGGTCCAACCGCAGCATTTTTGATCAACATTTATGGGTCAACCAGTAATCCAATTTATCACGACAAGAGATGGAGTGCTGTGATCGTATGTACTCTTGAAAATGTAATTTGATGGGCTGAACAAAATGTACTACCAATTCATTTATTGATGTTTTGCCATCAACTCAATTCTGGACAATTTTGTGCCACGTCAAGTCATGATTCATAAAGTAGTTTTTCATTTTAGAAATTCAAGAAAAATACAAAACTTTGCATCACACACATTTCCTTTATTGGCACTAAATGGTGTGATTCTAGAGGATAAAAACCAATCACAGCACATTTGGGTACTATAAACTACACCGCTTAGCACAACGTATCCAACAAAGAGACACTGCGCATCAAACCTTTAGGCGAGGACTGCTGTAGCTGCGTGCTGTACAAATGCTCATTAAAAATGTTTTAGATTTTAGAAATTAGTTTTCATTTAAAAAACCTTTAATAGCACAACAAATTGTCCAGATCACAATGCTTGGACAACCATTTAAACCACTTAAAATGCTCGGTATGCCTGTCAGATGGAAGAATAACTCGATACGGACATAAAAAGCAGTAGAGGAATCTACTGCACCACAAGATTTACGGAAAGACCATAGATTCACCTCTACGTCATCATGTCATGATTATGATGAAATTATGACAATATGATATTGTCTATTGGAAACCCGACCCCGCTTAACAACGGACGTGCTGAGATGGCAAAAAGGTGTTTCAACCACCTCACAAAAATATCACTACATGTTGAAAGCTTCACAAGTAACCAAAACTAATTCAATGATTTAACCAAGGCATGAGATGGTTATAATATTTAAGAAATAAGCCACTGACACTTATAAATATGTTCCTTTAGTAGGAAGAAAACCTAACATTTAAGCCTTAATAAATAAAATAATAAGTGTAAACAATATTTTCAGTTTCTGCTCTCACACTTTAGTGCTCGTCATCAATGGAATCTATACTTTCGTGCAGGTTTGAGGTTGACGTACGTCTTCTTCAGGTCCTCGGCTTCGTCTTTCTTCACCAGCTGATATCGCTCCCCTTTTGTGGTTACCACCTGGTTACCGTGGTACCGAACCAGCTTCTTTGGAGGCTGTAAAAATCACACCAGAATGCAAGTTGTATTGCATGAAACACATAGAATGTACACATAGTGCATGATATTATGTACATGGTGAATGAGAGAGCATAGCTCACATCTTTGGGGGCGACAGGCCGGTGGGTTTTCTTATCCTCCTCTCTGTCTACCAGCATGTACCTATGGAGACAACAATAGTCATACATGTAGAAACAACGGAGCGAGGCCAGCTGTGCTTTCCCAGGACAAAAGCAACCCCCAACTCACTTCTCAAGGATGCTCTCTTTAAGGTTCTTGTCTGCTCGCGAGGAAATGCTCTTCTCCTGGTTCACCTGAAGGCACAGGACACCATCAAATCAGACTGCTAACACACACAGTGGCAGTGTTCTTTTGTGTGCAGCAGAGACACCCACGTTATGGGGAGAGGGGCTGAGTTGGATGTCCCCCTCTATGATAAGGCGCACGGCCTCCCCCATGTCTCCTTTGGCGATAGACAGGGCGCTGCGAGCCTCAGACAGACCGCACTTGGGAAACATCTCCAGCAGGTGCTGCTCCTGGGACTCCCACTCGGACACCGGTAGCTGGACGCATGCACACGCTCACGTTAGCTTGCATTTCCATTAATGTGAACTACGGCTGTCGCCGATAAGGACACACAACCTGAATACGGTAAATCTTAATAATTAAAATAAGATTAAAGTGCTGCTGCATGCTGAGAGGATTACCTTGGCAGTGGCGCCCTCTGATTGTGTTTTATGGCACTGCGTTTTCCCTGGTGGCGGGTCGCAGGGCTGGGGGGTGAGTTTCAGGGAATTCTCTTCCGTCCTTGCCTTGGGCTCAACATTTTCTTCAAGTTTATAAAAAACGCAAATCAGCACAGAGTCCTATACAGGTTAAAGCGATGATCTACATGCAAAATGGGTGGCACAGCCCAATAATGTAAAGCAAGTAAGTAAAATATGCTTTGGGTATCATTAAAATGAAGAAACCTTGTGGAAAAAAGCTAGACTGTCGCAGTGTGCATGTGTTCGAGATATAGAGTACTTCGAAACCACTACCTGAGGTCCGGGCGCTGGCTAGTTTGGATGCCAGATTGAACATCATTTCACAGACCTTGACGCTGGAAAATGACAATTTTTTGTGATAACAACAGATGATCATTCAATGTGAACAGCCAACATTTTAAAAAATGTATTTATTTAAATCTGTTTGTTTACCTGTCAATTTCGGCAAAGCCAGGTATGTAAGCCTCCAACATCTCCGCAAAGACCTCAACGTCAAAGTTCTCCTCCACACTGTGCTGAGAGCCGAGGTCCTCCAGGACTCCGGTGATGTAAGACAGGAGAACATCATCCAGGGTGCTGCGTTGAGTTGTAAAAAAAAAAAAAAACGCGGTTACCTTTAAAAAAACATTATATGCAACGATGCAAAATGGTGAGGACTCACTGACCTGAGATCGGCATCCGGAATGTAAGCCTGGATGAAGTCCTGCAGCGCGCTGTGGATGATCTTGTGGAGGTCCATGGCCACTGCTGTGCTGTGGAGAGCAAAACGCGCTGACATTTACCGAATGCCGTGACCCGACTTACCTCATCGGGCTCAGACGTAACGCGCCAATGTTACAAAAGTATTCGTTACGAAAGCTCGCTGGTGAAAACGTGCCGCGGCGCCTCACGCGGACGTTTACGACCTGAAGTTACGTCAATTTCTCAGTTAGATTTTTTTTTATTACAAACATTCAGGTCAGGCAGTTTGTACAGATACAAACATAAAACTCGACGAGGGCGTAAAGAAAGTTGATATGAAGGTAACGTTGTATAACAACTGCACCGTACGCCAGCTGGTTAACGTCATCAAAATAACATTTTTTCGCGGCACACTCACGTGCCGCTAATATTGATTCCGTTCTGCCGGTGGTGTCGTTGCATTCGAAAGGTTATTAATCAGCTAGCAGTGAGAGCTAGCTAGCGTAACGGTTCTTAGCTATCCAATGTTAGCACTAACGTGGGGTTTCCGTTAGCAACCGACAGCTGCTAGCCAGCTAACGCGCCATGCCACAACACGCTGCCTTAATGCGTCGCGACGACTTTAACTTGGCTTAAAAACCGGGTGAAAACTTACGGTGACAAGGTGTTATGGGGACATGAAGCGAGGTGCTTTCCCCCCCAGGTGTATTCGGGGACGTGCAGTGGTATCCGTGCTACTTGTTAGCACGATTCAAAACATTGGTACGTCATTTCCGCCGATCGTACGCAGCGTGGCTTCACGCAGATGTGATGTTGTGACTGTCTAGTAGCCATGTGTGCACAACGGATCCCGACAAGGAGGGCATGCGTGCTGAAAAGAGACAAGAAGATGAGCTGAGATTAAAAACTAGTCTATTATATTATCTATAATAACGATTTTGGTACCGATGATTTAATTCCGTTAAATCTCCCTAACATTCCGTTAAATAACATTGCTTGTTCTCCAATATGAGGATGTTCCGTTATGTGTGTTTTAAATAAGTTCATACTGGATCTCTTTTGGTCTTGGGACAATATGTTAAAATAGGCCACGTAGTGTTTTAAAAAAATATATTTTTGTCAATTTTAGGACCAATCAACTAATTTGTTACTTGGAAAATAATTTTAATAGCAGATTCATTGAAAATAGAAGTAGTTGTTAAATGCTCATCTAAATTTAATTTACAGAAATCTGTGAACCATCAGGACTATCGTTAGTAGCTTGAAAATAATTTTCTCATTGCCTTTCCCCCTTCTATTTCAGTTTTATCTAAAAAGTGAGAATACTGCCTATCACCTGGTTAACACGTATTCACATAATACAAGTACAGTTTTTTTGTCCACATTTTTTTATATGTCATAACATTGTTTACAAACATCAATTTTCTAAGAAGAGCTTGGTTTTATGGTTTAAATATCAAACTATTTTAGACACAATTCTCTTGAAGATGTTAGTGCAGGAATATTAGAGGGTTAATATTTCCGCTTTTACAAAAAATGTATAAAATGCGATTGTTGATAAAACATCAGCAATGCGGATATGTCATAACAAGTAAAGGCAAATAGCAAAAAAGCTCCGCAATACATGTTTACTGCAGTTCAATGAAAGCTGCATGTGAAACACATGCTACTAATGCGTCCAACAGCTGTCCAAGGTAAAAAAAAACCTTTTGTAGAACTTTCAGATCTTCTTCATGTATTTCAGCTGTCATGAAATTAAGGGTGTTGCAGCTACATGTTTGAGATTCTTCCCTCACTAAATGAGGAAAGTTTCCGTCACCCTTCCCGACGAACTGTCTGAACATCAGTCGAGCCTACGTTAGGCCAGGAAACATTCTACTCTCACTCTGACATTATCTCATATCTTTTACCAGATCCATACATAGTTGATGACCGAGGTGTTATCTGAGGCAACATCAATGATGTCATCAGATCCTGCTCTCGGTTACCTCCGCCTGTGTTGGTATTATAGCAGATATGTAGCTGTGAATCATTAATGCCAATTCAATTGTTCCCCGGCTCCCTTGGCAGTGACTCTCGCCGGCTGTAGTATTTCACGGGGGTGGAAATATGGTACACAGGGCGGATAAAACGAGCGAGAACAATTCTCAACTTGGCTGAACTCTGTTTCAACTCTGAGCTCACGGCTAGACCAGCCGAGGTATCGGAGGAGAGCGCGCTAAATCTGCAGCAAAGGGGAGCATCTCGGTTTCCTCTGCAGACCCAACAACACGTACACCGGCACTCAGATGCTCTCACTCAGAAGCATCGACACGCTGAAATATTACCTTCAATCTCGTATTCAAATTCTACAGACTCGAGCTTCAGGCAGTATTTGCTTACACACTCGCATCCAGAGCCAATTCTTGACTACACTGTCAAATTTAGCCCAAATCAATAATGAATGATCTAAAGGCCACCCTGGTTCCTGTTTAATCATGTTTCTCATCCCTGCGAATGCAGAGTTCAGTGGTAAATATGAACTCATGCTGACAGGCCCACTGAAGCTGGAACAGGGATCTTTTTCCCCCCCCTTTCTTTTTAACGGTTCCCCAAACAGAAGGTGGCAGCATTGAGTTATCGGTGCACTCAGGTGCTCGTGCACGTCTCTCCGACATGGTTCGCCCTGGACTTCTTCCAGTAGAAGCAGAACTCTAGAGCTATGTTGTGAATATCAGCTCACAGCATCTCTTGGGGATGAGAGACTCTTACTGACGTTTTCCAAAGAAGCCTCTTCCATCTGCAGCACGACTTGACGTTAAAGCACAGAGGTTCCGTGTGTGGAGCTCACCAATAACATCCTGGAGCGTGACTTTGGTTCTGTGCCGGGATCTCATGTTTCGGTGGAAGCAGGAGGTCATTTTTGCCGATTGATCAGGGAGCAACAATTCAGACCGCCACAGTCGTTAATGTTTGGTACTTTTCACTGTCTTTCAGAGGAGAGGCTCCACATCTTAAGCAGTTCATGCTTTTGGAAAGAGATTTTAATTGTCAATGCACATGGGACGGTTCAGAGGTGAATTTATCTTCATTCAGAACCACTCAATGATTCATGTGAAAGTATTCTTTTGGGCGGTTTGTCTTGGTCCCAACGCCTTTAAACTGTATTACATGAAACAATAAGTCTGAGAGATTCAGCTTTATAATCATTGTATAATATCTGAACATGCACAATACGTCAAAACATTGTATACAAATGTCATATACCCTCAATTATAGCAAGGCATGTATTGTACCTTTAGCCTCAGGCAAGGTTAATAATAGCAATTGCCTTTCAGGGAGGCACAAACAATGTCCAGCATGGTTGAGTTAAAACGTTTTTGACAGAAAAGCTTTGATGGTTTTGTGAATCAATGTGAGAGTAAAACAGATGATTTTCTTGTAAAACGTATCAACCGTTATTTTGAAATGGACGTATTTTGTCCAAAGCACAAACTAATTAGTAAATTAACGCTTTTCCTTCTGATTTTTTGTCTGCTCTACAAAATCTCCAAGAGGTGTTTGGTTCAAACATAGAAGAAATCCTAAAAAAAAAACCTTGTACAAAGTCGTACATTACACATTAATAAGTTAGAGGAGGACGAACCGTAATATGTGCTAATGGTATGTTTACACATTTCCGCTACTATATGCCGGGGTACAATCAAGCATGTCATGCAACAATGTGGAGGCAGGGCACATAATGTGGATATTGTACTGGTGGCACAGATTTCCATTTTCACACAGACAATGGGGACTGGGGGTTGGCGTCGGGGATGTCTGAGCGAGAGAGAGAAAAAAAGAAAAAAAAGATCACAATTCTCATCAGAGTCACCAAAACACTGAATGATTTTCTGCCAAATTAATTACCCTTTACCCAACTTTAGACAATAATGCTCGGAGCTGTCTGTCGAAGCAGTATTATTCTATTAGCGTTCGACTTCGCAGTTCAGCCAGAGTGGCTTCATATTTCGATTTAATTGTATTTTCTTACTGAATGTGTAGCATTGCATCCACAATAGAAAGGCACAAAATTATCTGATCCTTTCAGTTGAATCACCTGCGATGGGATCTGCACATTATTTGGAGAGAGAATTTGTTAAAAATGTTAAACACTTAACATATCATTCTTAAGCGTTACAAAAGGTGCATTTACAGAGTGAATTCAAGCACATTACAGTTTAATTAATTGAAACTTTTACAATATAAGGCCTCTTTCACAATTAAAACCCACCTCCAAATCCAATCTAAGCCTCACTAATCATTTCACCTCTCTGCTTGGTCTCGAAGGTCGTGTGATTCAAGGCGTCATTGTCTGCATTATCGCACCACAGTATTTGTGCAGTCAAAGTCGGCATGTTGATTTGAATTCTACGCGTACGTTATTTCACGAGGAGCTGCAGGTCAAGAGGGGCCGGCTTGCACGGTGGACAATGTTGGACGTTTTTTAGTCGCAGGTTTGCGGTAACAACAACGACCAAGAAAGTTTCGTTCGGCGTCGCGAGTCACAGCAGATGGCCGCCAGCTTCGGTTGCTCTCAGGAAACGCGGTCGGTCTCCCTCGCGTCGGCCTGCGTCGCTCGGCTAAAACCCGCCCGTGGCATCCATCTTGTGTGGCCTCCCTCGCATTACCATTGATCTGAAGGAAATAAAGAGCACACGTGTTATTATATACAGGCCGGGGAAAAAAAAACACCCCCTCACAGTGATCGAGTGAACGGGCCGAACGTGTGAAATATTGCCCCTCCGACATATTCCGTCTTCCTGTCAATAGCGCAGCCTTTGCCCACAACCTGGATCAATAGGGACTTATCTTTTCATGATAACACACAAACGATGTCGTCTGTTGTCTTTTTCCGACGTCGTGGTTCTGTTGCTGTTCCTCCCGCCTTTTTAAAGCCGTCCACACCGATGCAGCCGTCTCTTGTTTTTTTTTTTATTCTTTGTTTCTTTGTTTTATTCCTAAAGAAACAAAATTGGCGCGGGCCCGCTAGTCGGAGACATGGCAGTTACAAATTTACATGTTGGTTTTCTGGACGTTTCTCTGAAGCTTTTGGGGGTCTCTCATGTGTGAGACTGCTCAGCGGAGAGAAGACACCCCTCTGTAAAAACATCTGTTGTGGAAATGGCTGTCAGACTCCCTTTTGTGGGCTCCGTTTCTTCTTTGCGCAGAGAGTGTCATTTGTTTTGATCATTTATGTGGGTGAAAGCGTAATGATAAAAAGAAATCTGGTGAACGTACCCAAGCAGTCTACAGTTGGGCTGTTTATTTATTTTTTGTGATGGAAAGGGAACGTACTTCTCTGATTTAGTGGCTTTGTCGCGTGCACGTCGAAGCATGTCGTGAAACTGTGTTTTTCCGTGTAAAACTAAAAGAAAACAAAATCCTGCGACTGATACGGCAAAAGTTTTTCGAAATATTTAGCAAATAAAATGTCACTGAGCAAACGTTTCCTATACGTTGGTGTACAGCGGAAAGCTGCTTAAAGATCAAAGAACAAAATCAGATTATTATTTTATGATGTGGTGATGTTCATCACGTATGGAAGAAGCCATTGGAAAACAGAACTTTGCATTGTTTCTTTTAGTTTAGAGGGATTTCATTTTGGGCCACTTCTCTTTACCCCCCCAACTGTTCTCATTCATTCGGTCCGATTTTATAAGTGAACGAGGCGGTTTGTGTAATTTAAAACCAAGCAAACAAGTAGAATACAGCATTAGTAGGTGATAAGGATAAGCGGTTGCAGTCTTGGCGTTTGCAATCTATTGGCAACAAAATGCTTTGTGCTCTGACTTTCTCTCAGCGAGGCCTCGGGGGAGGCGACCTCACTGCCCCCACCTCTCCCCCACCCTCTCCCCCCCCCACACAGGAAGGGTTTTTAGAGCACCTGTCCAGTGGTGCCACAAGGCACATCAGCTCTACGTACACGCAGGTCAGCCGCCATTTATCTCAACCAGTCAAGATGCTCTTTCTGCTAATTCCCTCTCACTGCTCAATAGTACTTTTATTATCAATATTATTATCATAAAGCCAATTCATTCTAAAATAGTTCAGCGCTTTGTATAAAATGATTAAGAAACACTGCAGATAAGAAAGGTTTGAGACAATGTATTTCCCCGTATGTGCGTTTTAATGTGTTTTTAGAGGCTCGATACCACAAAAAAAAAATCACTGCTTTGTTGAATGATTGATGCTAATTAGGGAATTTGTGAAAGCAAATTGTGACGGCTAGATAATCCAGCCAGAATCTCAAAGTTACAAGTACAACATCCAGGCATATAACTTTGACGATGTCGTCTTATAGCAGGGTTACACTGTGTTGGAGATGTTTTCATGTCTTTTCAAGCACACCGTGTTCGACATGAGGCTCTTTCTTAGTTCGCACACGGGCTGAAAAGAGAACGTCACATGGGTTTACAGTGGGAATCCTGGTGTTATACTAAGTCTTGAAGTTATGTCAACGATGTATCCTACCACATTCAGGTGTTCTCTATAAAAACAGGTAAATAACGTTTGAATGAAATATGCTTAAAAAAACTATCTTTACTCATCTGAACAAAATGAAATTGTCTATGAGTTCTGGTCTCAAGGGTTGTAAAATACATTCGATTGGGTCCATAGCAGCCGGATCCCTACACGATTAACACGGTGCCTGTTTGTGAAATGTCCTGCGGAACAGGTGAGTGTTTGAGCGGAGTGACACCCCATAAACTGGCTGATAACCTGCTCCTGTGTCTTCTTATCCGTCTTCCAGACGATCCCAGGTCCCTGAGCACGCTGTCGCTTCCCCTCGGGCCCCATTATCAGATCCCCTCCGCGGGCCCCCAGCAGCCGCAGTTATTGTGGAAGACTTTTATAGCCCCGTGATGTTTGTGACAACACCAGCTCTTATGAGTGAGTACATTTGATCTTTTCTGTCGTTTCCTTTTTTTACTGAAAAGATTCCTCCTCATTTTCTCCCTTTTTCCTCATCTAACTTCTGACAAATCCTTATTGAGGTACTTAATAATTAACACACCTGAAACATGTTTTTTTTTTACTTACTAACTAACTCAAGTTCTCAGTGGCTATTGTAGCTTGATAATAAAATTAAGATAAAAAGAAAAAGGTCAAGGTAAATAAACTACTATTGAAGTGTTAGTGTTGAGGTTATTTACAAATATGGCCTCATTAATCAGCCTTTTTCAATCGTGTTTCAGCACTCGCACTGTCTGTGGCGAACGTGTTATCTCCCTCTGCCATTCATGTACACATTTATTGGATTCCAAGTCTCTGGGATCAATCTTTTGGCCACCAGAGGAGCATAACTAATGGCAACATTAGAATGCCTTTGTGAGAGCGACTGGCCGGATGCGGGTTAACCAAGCAGGAAATAATCTAGGCTTTTATATCCTGCATGAACGGCCATAGGATATGCTGAGAATAAATTAATCCCCCCCCCAAAAAAAAATTTTCAGCAGTGAGGTTATCTTTTAACAGGCGGTTTGTTTGGCTGCTTTTATTTTCTCCTTGAAGGGAGGTTAGTTTTCTCCCCGTACGCACACATTTGGAATTTCTTGACGGATAATGACGTCATCTTAACGCTCAGCCAGGGTCAGACGATCCATTCTGTCGCTGACCGCAGGTCCAGACGGCCCTTCCTCTGCAGAGACCTTTTCCCTTCCTTTTAAAGACCCACTTCTATTTTTCTGTTGTGCCCAAACAAGGATTTTATAAAATGGGTGACATCGCCACACAAGCTGTCTGCCGAATCCCCCTTAATTAAAGTGACGTTTAAAGCCTTCCTCAGACACTAATAAACCCCCTCTCCATTAAGATCCTCCTAATTACTGCGTGCAAAGGAAAGGGGGACACACACAGACAGACAGTGTGGAGGTAAGCCTGCTGGCATTTGGCCCCATAAGCTGAGCGCCACACAAAAGAAAATGTCCCCTGGGTTACCCATCCTACAAGAGAGACTCCTTTTTTTTTTTTTTTCAACCCCCTCCCCCCCTCTCGTTGTTTTCTTCTTTATGAATGAACGTATATGACATGTGGGGCTGGGAGTGTCCATTGATGGAGCTGGTGGAATGTGTGAATAAGGGGCTTTGAATGAGGCATGAATCACAGCCACCTGATTAGTCATTAAGTAGTCTTTTGACGTTACCATTGTTTTAATGTGCATGGTGGAAGTGAGAGTGCTGTCATCTATAGACACCCGTTCAGTCAAGTGAGGCTGATTAGGAAAGATAGATATTTAGTGAAAATTGAGCGATGCGGAGAATCAGAAGTAGTTCGTTATCAAGTACTTTTCCTGGAGAAACTTTGGTACCAGCTGAGAAATTAAAAAAAAATAAAAAAGCCTGAATGTGCATTCATTTATACATCTTGCTGTTGGATTCTAGCCCCATGTTCGACCAGCTCAGCTTTATAGTGGCTCCAATTCATGCGGGAAAGAGAATCGCATATTATTACACGTCACAGTGAGCCACAAGTACAACAGCGCGTGGACAGTCACCGCAGCTACGGTGGCACAGGCGTGCCCAGAAAGGTTAAACGTGTTTGGTTCATGTCCTGGTCTGCAGATTAATGACATTAACGAAGTTTCCATTAGTCGTGCAACTGGGGGAGACATGGGCGTCCATGCGGAAAGCCGCATGACCGAGGCAGAGATAAGAGAAAATGAAATACGTCTCGGTGCAGACAGGAGGGGCCAGGAAGTGCCACTCCAAATTAGCCGCAGGCCCAGTTTGTTGTTACTTCATTAACCCAGAAGCCCCGGGAAAAATAAAAAGAGGGGTCACAACCTTAAACAACGGGGAGGCCTGAAATCCGCAAGGAGAGGCTCCTTCTTTAGCTGCAAGTATTGACACAATACCGACGAGTGTTTATAGGGAAAGTTAAAGGAGTCCAGTCAGCATGACCATGTTACAGTGTCCTCATTATTTGATCCATTCGGTTTATGTTCGTATTGTTTTATTATTTTTGCTCCAGTGTCTTGTAAACCATTACGATTGGTCACTGCTTGGTTTAAGGTTAATGATCAACTGCTCGTTTAAAGATACTTGTACGTTTCTTTAAATTCAACCTTTAATGCTACTCACTCCAGTCTTGGCCAACATCGTCGGAAAAGAGATCAAACAATCATTCAATCTGTCCGACTGATACTTGTGATGATTATGAAAACAGGTTAATCATTAAAAATGTCACATTGTACTTAACTTGTCTTTAAATCACAACGTCCAACATGTCAGTGAAATATATGACATTATTGTTCTGACTTCTGGTGCATGAATCACTCCAAAAAAAACCTGCCTGCTAAGAAACTCGAAAAAATACACTAGACCACAGCATCAGTAGATGTGCTGCCAATGGAAATAATATAAGGTGTAACGGGGTCATCAATATTTTACATTGTGCAGTGCTCGTCCCTCTCTAGGACTCGCTGGTGGGGCGCTTCAAAACAAAGAGTGGAGTTGTATAATGCCGTCCCTGTTGTTGTAAGGCGAGCTGTGCAGTGGCAGGGACTTTATTAAGAGTGTTTGGTTACAGACCCTTGGAAGGAGGGCTATTGTATTCTCACCCCTTCCCCGGCAAATATACCTCCGCTGCTCTCTTGCTTTCTACACGGTTCACAACAAACAGGCCCGATGGCGGCTGCAGTGAGTGTCGGTAAAAAGCTGCAGTTATCGGTATTCCTTTAACAAGTCTTTCAAATCAATGGCCATACATTTTTATTTTCTTAAAAAGTAAACAAACTTTGTCGTCACTACTGTTTTTTTTTTTTTCTTTCCATCTCTCCCTGTCCCTCTCTGACACAGACACACACACACTTACACACCGATACCTGCTCAGCAACGTGGATCAGCAGCAGCTGACTTGGCTATAAAGTCCGTGTCACAGGTAGAAGCAGGCAGGGTCCAGCGAGCGTCTACTGAGGCTGCCGACACGTCTGCCTGCTTGATTTCACCTGGTAACTGAGCATGTAGTATTTACTTCTCGGGCGAAATGCAATCAGCGGCTGGTAGCTGGCAAGGAAGCAGTGAGCCTGCCACGAGGCGCAGCTTGTTTCTCCCCCTCAGAAAGTAAGGACCAGTTAGAGTTGGAAGAACTGAGAGAGGGGGAAATGCATTGTAATTGTTGGACAACTTGCATGTTTTTTTTATGTTAAAGTATCAACTACATAAATAAATTAAGGAAATTATTGAAACCATCTTTACCTTCTATTTTTTCCAGTTTTCTGAAGTTTTACTATTATCATTTTATTCTAGAATTATAATAGAATAGTAGTTGCAACACCTAAACACCTAAAAGCAGCTCCATGGTGTTCTTACCATTATTTTAAACCAATTCCCCTCAACATTTAATTCCAAGGCAATGGTTATAATACAATTGCAGTTGAAGGTGTAGCTCAGACTACAAACAAAACAGCCTAATGCAGGATGATTGAACTGAGAATTAAATGCAGGTTTCATTGCTGACGAAACAGAACCATGTGAATTCCTGCAGATAAACGCAGCAATGAGACCGCTGAGGTTCCTGCGGTAGAGCGCTCCGCTGTGCGCGTACAAACATTAACATCCTCGAGACAAGAGTCACCTCTCTAATCTGCCTGAAGAAGTGCGTGGAGAGGCCTTTTATCCCGCCCCGCTTTAGCCGGTTGCTCACAGAAGAGCCGTTTACCTCCACTAATGGAGAGTGAGTCTTTCACCAGCGCCGGTTTGCCTCTCAGCCCTCTGAAAGACACTTCGCCAGAGAGGAGACATTAGGAAAACTAGGTAATCTGGAGTATTCTGTCTGTGTCTACCCAGGGAGTGGAGCGAGCTCCTTGGTGCCTCCTCAAGAGGCTTCTCCTCACTGCAGTTATACAAGTGTTGGATCAGCACTTTAGGCGCTCTGATGGAGACAAAGTGGTGAAACAAATCAGTGCTTAGTCTTTTTGGTCATTGTTTGAGTTTGAAGCCTTGAGTTTCAAATTATGTTGGTGATATTGTATCCTATTATATGCCAACATCATGGTAAATGTTCAGAATGACTGTGTCAACATGTCGATGTTTTGCAGTTATGAAATTAACCGTTCTGATCTCAGCGCGTTCGTTAAAACTTGCAAGTTAACCATAAACAGAAAGTACAGTTAATGCCAATGGGAATCTCATGGAATACGTTTTGCAGTTCAGAAATAAACCTGATGATGGCGCTGCATGAAAAGTTGAGGGGCTATCAGAGTTAATACAAAATGTCCTGAGGGGAACAGGAATGTCCCAAATGGGGTCTTGCGACAGACTGATATTGACCGTGTTATTTAGAAATTAAATATTTAAATCATGTTGATAATACACACAAGATACTATTGTATAAGTAATTCAGTAGATATCTTAAGTCCAATTGGTTACGATCTGATATGGGTGTGAATGGGTGAATGACATGTAGTGTAAAAAAGCGGTTAGAATGTTAGGCAGACTAAAATAGCGGCATACAAACGCAAATCCGTTTCCTGCCCAGTTTTGCAACAACGCACAAAACACAGGTGTCGTACAAAACAAATCCTGCAAAAACAAGCCAGTGACAAAACAAATGCATTCTCTTCTTCTTTGGCGCTCAATTCTCTCTGTAGCCTCTGTAGAGAAAGCAAATTATTGATTTTAGAGCAGCGGACAATAAAGGCTGAGTCTCCCCTAAAATGGGCTGATAAAACCGAGAACAGAAGCCCTACTACAATCACAACCAAGTCACTGTTAACGTACCTTTGTTTGTGAAAGTGGAGGCCTTTAACCTCCCAGACACTCCGTCTTTACTTATCGTTTATGGAGCAATCCTACTGTGTCAGGAGCGCCAGAACAAGGTCATCAGTGCCTGCAACCAGAGTGACCTGTTGTTAAAGATGGGACCAATAAACACAGGAAGAACTAAGAGAGAATGTGGCTAATCAGGGACACACAATGGCAGGTGGCTGGCAGGTTAGAATGAGACAGAGAAAAGCTGTGTGTTGGAGATCAGACGATTGAAAGGGGGGGGAAAAAACATTTAAATGGAATTGGTCATTGCAACAAAATGGTTCAGTAGGCAAAGTGAAAAGTACCCAACAAAATGCTCACACAAATGTGGCCACAGAGCATGCATGCATGTAAAACAAAGACACGCACACACACACACACGCGCGCTTGTGTGTCAGTGGGTACGACAGATGCCGTATGGACTCTTGTATTGTCAGCTGTAAAGGAGGGCCCCCGAGGGTCTCGGCGCTCTGACAGCACACCAGGGATCAGCTGTGACACAGTGACACCGAATCCCCTCATGTCACACACCACTCCGTCCCAACGCCACCGTGCCCGTGCGAGTGCGTACGAATGCGCGTCGTGGGGTTTTAGCAGATATCTTCATGTCCGTAATATGACATACGTCTGCCACAATGATAGCCCCCTTTTTTTTCCCCCATCGCTTCGCCATCTAAAGTGAGGTGTTTTATCGCACGGCCTTGTGGAGGATAGTTGGCGTGTGCTGCGGGTTGCACTGCTCATGTTTGGCCAGTTGAGGCCATGCTTTCCTCAGGGTGAGCCAACATACTCTGTCCCTCTGGTCCTTTCCCCGCAGCTGTACACGCGAGCCATGAAATTGGAGGCGTTTCCAATCATCCTGCATTCTATACGTCTTGGGCAGCAGTGGAAAGTAAAAATGTGTTTATCATTTCTTTGTAGAATATATCTTTTTTTTCTGCACAACATATAGCTGGATTGTTTGAGAAAATAAGATGCTCGCCACACTAACTTCTTGGAGGTCAATGCGGCAATATTTTCGAATTCTGTATTGCGCTATTCTTTATAAAATGGCCGTGTAGCGGCAATAGTTTTACACTTTTACTTACAGTTTGTAACGTTTCTAGTATTGGATTGTTAATTTGATTTGTGGTCAGGACAGGGCTTTGAACAAAGACATTCAGGGTCGGCTCAATCTTTTTATGTCCTAAGAAAGAATCATTCAAAAACAGCAGGTTACTGTTAGTTGTTTCTTAACTTAAGAGGCCATTTAAGTGGACTAAGATATGTTTGATATAGCAATTTGGAATTCCTCTAACAGTATTATCAACCAAAAAAACAGGTTGTTCCATGTGCCATTCTGGTCAGCCTCTTTCCAGGTGCGGACCCTCTCCTCTGAAAGCCCCCGTGAGCCTGTCAAATAAGTAAAGCCGGGGAGATGTGTGGCCCGTGAAAGGGATATGCTCACCCTGCAGTTGGCGCAGAGACGCTCCTTTGTTTTCCTGGCATGTCTCACATACTTTCAGAGCCCAGATAAGCCCCAGCGCCATGAAACACTGCTTTATGTTTGGCCTCGGTAACGCACCAGGGAGGGCAGAGTGGACTCGGAGGAGAGACCAGTCCGTGAGCAGGTAATATGTCCTCACTGTCGCACCTTTTATTAAAGGGACAGACACATAAATATGAGCCCAGGTTCTGTTGTCCTGCTGAAAAAATACTCCCATAACCAAACCGGACCCAAGTTTAATTGTTCTTCCCTCTAACTCCTTCCCTGTCACTCATGTTTCTGTTATTTCCTTTCTTCTCTGAAGAGAAGGGGGGGGGGGCAGTGTTTGGTGGTGGTGGGTGGGGTAGGAGCGTAGGGAGGCGGGGGCTTGGCTGTTTCCTGAAATCGGATTAGCAGCTACTCTACACTTAGATTGCAGGAACTGGGGCTTTAGTTTAGCCCAGCTCAGGACCACCCAATGGGTAAACAGGTACATTACTGTGGAGCCAAAATGAAAGTGAAGGTGAGGGGATCCAGGATAAAAAAATACTCATGAGAGATACAGAGGGAGTGAAAGAAATACGGGACTAGCCTGCAGGCTGGTGAAAGTGGACTCCTTCGTCTGGTTAATCTGAAATTAATTCCAAAAAATGCTCCAGGATGGGGTGGAAATTACTGCAATTAAACAAACAAAAAAGTAAAAAATGCCACAACTAACTTTTTTCCAATTTATTCCAAACTACCAATTTGTGAACTTCCTCATTTCTGAACCAACTCTCTGGACTTTCACAAAAGAGCCACGTATCGCGCTCACAGCCCTCCCCGCTCTATCTAAACCTCACACTGTCATGCTGCTGCCACTGCATCCCACATAAAAAACCTCCCGAAAATTAGTTTTTGGCAAACGGCTCGCAAACACATTCTCCTGTCTGCTGCAAGCCACCAAGGCTTTGTTAGGCAGGCCTGCTCTGAGCCCACAGCCTTCAAGACCCCCATTATGCAGCAGGACTCAGCGGGGCAGAAAGAGCAGGAGTGTTTTCGCCAGTCATGTGGGCATACAGGCATTATACACTCTTCAGTGGCACTGTAGATATTTTGTGAGTCTAACAAACAGAGGGGAGGCCTGCAAAGGCTGCAAGAAGTTTTGATAATTGGGAGTTATATAAGTTCCCAAATCCTCACGGGAGGATTTTAAGTTTCTACGCCTCCTTTTCTCCCCCACTGTGTGTTTTGAAAAGCTTCGTGCGAAGGCCCCACTGCGAAGGTGACAAATACTTTGAGAAGAATAGTTGTGTAAAAGGTTACAGGAATACAGTCAAGTGCTCATGAAGAAGAGTCTCTAATTGCCTATTTTGCTGAGGCTTTGCCGAGCCGTGTTTTGCAAATGAAATAACAGCTCTTGCACATTTGTGCATTTGCACTCACCTCAGCCATGTCAGTTTGTGTGTCTTTGTCTCGGCTTTGTGTGTGTGTGTCCACTGGTGGCTTGAAGGCGTGTCAAGATGCACAGATGCACATATCCGCTGCAGCTGGGCAAGAAGAGGCGAAGTATTTTCTTTTTTTACTAATCAGTGACGGACAAACTGAGGGCTCCCTGCGTCTCGAACATCGCTGCTTCTGTCAGGGACCCTCAGTGCAGAGCAGGCGGGCTGAGCAGCTCTGATCAGCAGTGTTGTGTTATTCTTTTATTTTTTTTCTCCCTCTGAATCACACTGGGGAACGTGTGTGTGTGTGTGTGTGTGTTTGAGATGCAGGGATGCATGGTGCTAACCCTCCCCTGAGTAGTAATGCATGAACTGTTAGCAAAACATTGTTGCTGCTGCTGTTGCCTTCTATGTTAATAAGACGTGGATTGAGGTAGGGAGTGTGTGTGTGTGTGTGTGTGTGTGTGTGTGTGAGAGGGGGGGTGCAGATGTGATTCAAGGTTGACATCACAGAATTCACAATGCATCTATGGTGAAGGTGGGATTCCTGCATTTGGGAACTCATCGGCGGAGTTTGAAAGTCAATAAGACGCTCGCAGAGATGAAGATTTCACATCCCGGCAGTGAGGCGAAATGATGACAAAAATGATTTCTAGTTTTAATTCTCAAACAGGGTATTTGTGGGAATCAAAATGATATATTTTTGATAATATTTTGACACCGAAAGCCCCTGGAGCTCCTTACAGCTAGTCTGTATTTGTAATCAGCGTGTCTTTCATGCAGCATCTCAAGGCTGTCAGGCTTCTCGCTGCCGTGTCACTCAGCTCTGTTTGTAGAGAGAAGAGTTCAGGATTTGTAAATGTATTTATGAATGCATGATTTTGTGAAAGTGTATACTTGGTTCTCTCCCCCTGCCCTCTAATAACTGATACCCACAGCTGTGTGTGTGTGTGTGTGTGTGTGTGTGTGTGTGTGTGTATTTGTTTGTGTGCCTGTGTAAAGCTGAGGCTCGCCGGGGCACTGAGGCGAAACTTGGCCCCAGTCAGGCCGATGTGCAGAGGGCAGAGACCAAAAAGCCTCCAGCCGTGTTGTCTCTCTCTCTCTCTCTCTCTCTCTCTCTCTCTCTCTCTCTCTCCCTCTCCCTCTCCCTCTCTCCCTTTCTCTCTCTTTCAATCTCTCTCTCTTCCACTGGGATTTGGAATAGGTAGCCCGGAAGATGTAACAAGTATTTATTTTGTATATACACCACTCAGGGATTTTTTTTCCTTCTCTTCTGTAAATGTGCAGGTAGTACATTTGACTGAAAACGACCCCCATCAACATTGTGGATGATTTGTCAATTTCACATCCTTAAGTCTAACAGAAAAAGGCAGCGTTTACTAGCTTCCCCTCGAAGGCAAACTGTTATGAATCTGCCTTCAACGGTCACAGATCACTGCCTCACATTGCAGAACGTGATATTTTGGTCTTACACAGCTACGGGCTTGGGTAAGTTTAGGTAAAAACAATACTGTAATCGTTTTGTTAACCTAAGGAGAAACTTTCTCATCACGGCCACTTAGTTAAGATGTGGGATCAAGAGTCGTCGCGGTTAAAGGAAAGCAACGCAAGCGATTGGAAGGAAACGGGGAGGGAAGAGTTCAAAGTCCAGAGTGTCGCTCACCGATTCATCAACCCTGACCTCCTTCTTCCATTTTTCCTCCTTTTCTCCTAAAGAACACGAGTCTTGATTCTACGGCTGATGTTGATTCTTTGGAGCAGATTCTCTTTTTTTCTTGTATCTTCTCAGTGATTATCCTCACTTCTCATTTTCCTTCCTTCCTCTCAGGACCCTTCAGTGGCCTAAAGAGGGAAACCAGCATGGAGCCGCGGGCCACCGGTTAAGCATTTTCATGCAAGATTTAAAATCAGATTATAGATGGGCCTGCTCAATTGACTTAATGGATTTGAGGATACTAGATCCTATTAATAAAGGAATAAAAGAGATGGTGGAAAAGGAGGAAAGGGGCGCATCGGCCCCCGAGGCTGCGGCCCACTAGTGGGACTAGAAGGCTAATCTGCCATGGAAATTAAATCCTGTCTCTATGCACCGGACCCTCTAATGTCCTCCATTACACACCTTTTATTTGTTGTGGGCAGATATTGCAAACAGATATGGTTCCAGCAACAGTCAGGGACATCAGACTGGTATGGATCTGATTATTGAGGAAGATGGAATTTGCAATGTTTCTCATCCCGGCAAAGTGCACTTTGCCTCAGAGGAACAAGCTATGGGAATATTCCTAAATGGGCTTCAGATTGGGACTGACACTTGTTTTTCTTTATCCCCTTTTATTCCCCTCTTAAAGAATCCGCCTTCATGAGTTCCAGGCGGGATTATGATGCATTTGAGACTGAGAGGTTTAATCAGTGAGAGCAGCGGCAGTATTTGGGCCATAACAGAGCTTACCTCACCGTTTTTTTCTCTTTTGTCTTAATGAGGTTGCACTTTGCTTCATTCCAAGTGCACCTTTCACACTCTGTTCCTGTCGGGTTTGTCAAAAGTGGCTGTAAAAACACATGTGTCACATATGCTAATCCGATTTGCACGGGGATCATGGCAGGGATTATACTCCACGTTATTATACTCCACGTACGGCAGCCACAGAGCTGTAAAACTTTCTGTTTTCCAGCAGCAAAGTTCACCTTCCTCTGTGTCTGGTTCAACTTTGCACGGCAGACCGTTCCTCTTTCTCTGAGTAGGATTTAAAGCTAAACGGGGCTGCGAGAAGAACAATCCTAAGAACTCTTGCATAAGTAGCTTATAGGGCTTTTTCTTTGAATAATCGCCGCAAATGAGTAGATGAAATGCAGGCTCAAGTGTTTGTTTTTGCATCGGCTAGTTGGTGGGAAAGTCTGCTTTCTGTGCTTTAAATGCTGGGAGTCGATGCGACTGATTTATTCAGTCATTGAGTTCAAAGTAAATAAATGTTTGTTAAAACACATTCACACATGAGTATCTATATGAAAAATCCCCTCTTTCTATTGCCCCCCTTATCCGCATAGGAGGGACGTTATTTCTGTCTCATCACAAATAAGAAAAACACAACTACAATGAACGCTTGCGTTCTTCACCATATAATTTTGTGTTTGACTGTTTGACCAATCACTGCAAGAGAAACTCCTTCTGCGGGATAAACATAAACTATATATAAAATATATCCCGTCTCTTTGATATCAACATCCTGCCAAATAAAAACAAATATCCACCTTTCAAACAAAGGTATGCCTGGGAGTGTGGACCTCATTTCAAGCACAATTAACTTGAAATGGAGTGCTGCAAGATCAATAGTCCCCAGTTGATCCAGAGGGAGCTGTCAGTCTATGGAAATGGCACACATATGGTAATATCCCCAGCTTAACAACAACTTAGAGGATTTACTGTTGCTGTTTCCAGACCCACATGAATAACAAACAGCGGGCCACCCCCTGGGAACCATTTTGTTTTATCCCAGCTTCAATTAATCTTTAAGGAGGAGGATACCATTTGAGAGAAGTGGCAGGGGGGGGATATGAAGAGGGCGTTTGTAGATTTGAAAGGTAGAGTGCAAATTGTTAAAATCACAAACGGACGATACACTCGCAAATTCGGTGACGTGTGCGTTCCAGTGTGGTCTTCACCCGCCACAAGCTTTTCTTCGTCTCTTTAAGCCTCTCCCTCCGTCGCATAAACACCGAGGCATGAAGCGTGTTTGCACTTTCATTTTCTAATTAGCAGACTTTTGTCTCGGTGAGAGCTGCTATTGACAGCCACGCAGACATTAGCGGGATTATATGAGTCCTCACACTGATGAGTGTGATGAGATGGTGGGAGATGTGTATGGATTTTGCCTCCTGCTGACTGCACTCCTCTGCTCGAAGCCTCGGGGGCCAGAAACCTGTGGCATAAAAGACGAGGCGACGAAGATGAGAGCGAGGACAGGCGCGGTAGTTATGCGCTCCGGTGTGATGTCATTAAGTCAGATATGTTTAGCAGAAGTCAGGTGCGGACGTCCGGCGCGTATAGACAACGCGTTGTCACTCGAGAGAGCGCCGGGTGGTCGGGTCAATCGAAATTGATTTACTTCAACCCTACGATTGATGAAGTCCGTTCAGGTTAAACTGCAGAGATCTCGATTGGGACGTGCACTTTGGGGAGTCGCTATTGGAATTGACTTCTGCGTGCCGCCCTCAGCTCAAGCCAGGTGGGAAATTGAGTTACAAAGCACACTGTGAGAGGGAAAGATGACCTCTGTGACAGTCATACAGTGTGCGTCCGGCCTACACGACTCCAGCTGAAGACAGTCAGTCAGTTGATTGAACTGAAAAGGAGTTCAAAAAATCCATATTACTCCTTCATACTCTTGTAGTCTTGCAGCAGGTTGAGTCCACCTGAGAGAGGGAGAGAGAGAGAGAGAGAGAGAGAGAGAGAGAGAGGGAGCACTAGAGAAACGACAGCATTCAAAACGTGTGCTCTGCTGCTGGCGAATCCCGGCTCTCCCTCTGCTCCTTCCGGGAGGCGGAATGCCGTAGGAGGCATGTGACAGGCACAGAGGCAATTCCCTCTCCTGTTTTACAGGGAGTGTGTTAAGCTAAATCTAAATTGCTACTATGATTTCATCACTCGCCTCCGATGAAGGAGAGGTGATGTTTGGTAAAAAAAATGAATAGATGGAGAGAAAAAAAAAAGCGCGCGCCTCCCTCCTCGGGGCCCGCGGCTCCTCCTGACTCCGGCTTTTATCATGTAAATAAGGCAAATGGGACTGGGTTAGGGGGACAATTCCCTGGCTGCCACTTGAGCCAAATACAACTTTCCTCCGCTTTAGGCCTGCAATGAGGAATGTATTTGGAGGCCTCGGTTTTAATTTAACAAGAGTGGCAGCTGAGGGGGCACCGGGGACCTCATCTCATGACTGCTGCGATGGCTCGGGTGGAACGGTGGTGGTGGTGGTGGGGGGGGGGGGGGGACCCTCAACCTGGTGCTGTACATTTCAACGTGCAAGATCTCCTCCGCGGCGCCGGCCCCCGTTGTGTGTTTTGTTTGTGTGTTGTGTGTGCTGCAGCTGGCTGTTGCGCTCGCTCTGTAGCACCTCTTTGCTTTCCCGGGGAGGCAACACGCTTCTTGCTCCAATGTAACATTTGATTCATTACGATCCGAAACAGCACATCAGTTCGCTTATTATGTCTTAAA